TAAGTTTGACCTTAAAATGTTTTTTAAAAAATTAAAACTGCTTTTATTCTAGCCTTAATAAAACAAATAAGAAAAGATAAAAATATTATCAGAAAGAAGAAAAAATATTATCAGACATACTGTGAAAATTTCCTTAATTTCCTCTGTTAAACATAATTTGGGTAATATTTAAAAAGAAAAAAAATCAAATGGGGGCTAATAATTCTGACTTCAACTGTATATACATGCATGCATTAATATATGCTGAAGGTGGTCAGTTTTCTTCCATCCATACACTGAGAGCTGCAGAAGGCTGAATTGTGATTGTTTTGATCAAATCTATTTAGACTTGCAGGTTCAAAGTGATTTCTTTCTCCTCAGTTGCTCTCTAGCTGTGCTTATGAATTTAATATCTCGATTTACAGTACGTGATGCGAAGGTCTTGTAAAAGCATGCGGCAGTAATGGGCTCCAGATGTCTTCACAAAGGACTGCAACTCTCCAAGGACTCTCCTCTCCGCAATATGATCACAATCAGGTCACTTTTCTATTGGGGGACTTTGGGAGCGAGAGCCGGGCAGTGATGCAGTATATGAAAATGACCACCTCTGCTCACAAATACGAGTGTATGTGGTGAGTTTTTCTTACATTTAAACAGGCGGATGCTTTTATCTACTGCATTTAAACATATACCATACATTTATCAGTTCATGCATTCCCTTGGAATCGAACCTGTGATATCGGTGTTGCTTACACTGTGCTCTGTTTCTAATCAATATAACATAGCTTATATAGTTGCATCATTTATTATATTTCCATTGCAAAAACAGTCCAATAATAATTAAAGGTTTACACTGTCATACTTGCAATTTAGTGTTCAGCATATATAAGTACACCCCTCACAAATCTATCTTTTAAATAAATAATTTTAATAGGAAGCTGTACAATATTATATTTGTGCATCTACATTAGATTAGTTAGTACCGAAGCCAATATCTAACAAAATAACTTATAATAACGGTCCAAAAACTAGTACAGCCAAATTTATATGTTATAGAAAAATGTTAAATACAAACTTATGAAGAGGAAAAATCAAAAGATGAAAAAAAATCTAAAAAATTAAGTTGAAATTTTGTAGTTTGTAATTTTTTTTTTGCAATATTTAGCTTGAAATTATTTGTATTATCTTTCAGTTTGTCAATATGTTTGGTGACAAAAATTTTATTTTTTATAAATATATCTGTTTAATAAATTTGTTTTGTTTAAATGCACCAAAATACATTGCCTATATTCGCTGAGGAATGGATAACAATATTTATTTCAAAATGGGATGTACTAAATTATACTGAGCACTGTATATTTATAACAAATTTCTGTTTGACAAGATTACTTACTATCTTCTGGCTTAGTTTCTAATCTATAAAGGGTCGCCACTGCAAAATAAACCGCCAATTACTTTGGCATATGTTTAATGCAGCAGATGAATAACTATTTTCAATAATATTAATATTACGAAATTATCATATGAGTAGTATTGTTTAAGGATCATGTGAGACTGAAGACTAAAGTACTGCCTGTTGACAGATTAGCTTTGCATTACAGGCATAAAAAAAAATCTTAAAACAAAAAAATACAATTATTGTCTCGTTTAATGCATTTTATTTCTAAATGCAGTCTTTGTGTACATTAAAGGGCACCTATGGTGTAAAATCTACTTTTAAAGCTGTTTGGACAGACATGTGTGTAGATAAAGTGTATAGACTGTCTTACTGAGATTATATAAACACACCTAGTCCATTTTTTTTTTTTCAAATTTAACAACATAAAAATGCTGGACTAATTGGAGCGGTTTTCAGATCGACCGCAACTTGACGTAGGAGTGCGGTCCCCCCGCCCAACAAAAGTTAATTGACAGGCTCGCGTTAACATGTCTCCGTAGTAACACATATAATCATATCAGCAAGACCAGATGTGCGCAAAGCAACAGGGAATAAAATGCCTGTTCAGTTTGCTGGGATCAACAATCATCATCAAATGTGATCAAGAGTGAGTTTTACAAGTTTAAAATGTTTTAATACAGTGCATGTGTGTAATGAATTACAGCGATTTACTTCAGCTTTACTTTATCAGCACAGCCGTGTGTCAGTACAATTATCGAGGAAGACGCTTCAATCGTGGTTTGTGGACTTTAAATCAGGTTTATTTTGTACATTAACATAACAGATATCCATACTGCGAAGCATGTCCATGCGTGCAAAAAGAGTGCGCAGCTAAACGCGTGTGCTGTGTGTGTGTGTGTGTGTGTCTGCGCTATGTCTGTCTGTCTGCACTATGTGTGTGTGTCCTCGCCATGTGTGTGCATGAACTTTGAAACAACATCAAGTGTGTGGCTTGTGGTTGCAACTTAAAAAAAATGCATTAAATAATCATTGGTAAAGTTCTTATTTTAGTATTTTTCCCAACGCGACGTAAGATCTGCTTCCTGAGGCAGCCGAGGGCGGCAATTGAGGCATATTGCTGACAGTCACGTTGGAACAGCTATAATAAATAATCTGATGGGTGTTTTGAGCTGAAACTTTACAGACACATTCTGGGGACACAAAAGATCTTAAATCTGGAAAAAGGGGTAACCTAGGTGCCCTTCAAAATATTTTGGGGTTAAAAATCTATTAAACGCTGTTATTTTGAACTTTTATTCATTAAAAATATCCTGAAAATTGTTTTATTGTGAAATATAATAGCAATGCTATTTATTAATTTTTTATTTTTTCATGACTTTTGCTGCTATTCTTGTGTCTACTGATATTCTTGTCTTTGTCCTTTTTTTGTTTTTGTTTTATGTTCACTAAAACCAACAAACAAAGACTAACAAAAAATAAATAAAATGAATATTTTTATTAATATTAGCTTTACATCAGAGGGAATTTCTTTTAAAAGTTAAAAAAGGGAAAAATGTTCAAATAATTTACATGTGCTCTTAAATTGCATTTTTGAATGAATAAATGCAGCCTTGAAGACTTCTTTCAAAACCAGTCTGACAAACTTTTGAACTCCCTGATTATCTTTATTGATTTGAGAAAAAAAGAAACAATGTAAGCGGAGCTGCAGAGCTTAACCAATTCACTGATGGCCATTTCATCAGTTTCTTTTACTGTTTGGCTTTATGAATGTTTTTATTAGAGTTTTTGTCAATAAACTTTACAATAACAAATGAAAAGAAAGAATAAATCCTCTGTCATCGGCTCCCGGGTAATGCCTGGAGCAAAGATGACAACGTTCAGGAGCCAGAAAGAATCAAACTCTCAGGGCAGCAGTGGTGAATGAGCTTTTAAAGAGGAGGCCGGACTGAACTAAAGTCTCTGCTTTCATGCTTCAGTTACTGCTGTGCTGCTGACTGTAGGCTCACTTACTGTCACTCATCAGCACTGTTTCAGCTAAACTCTTTCCCATGTACGGAAACCCTGGAAAAGTCAACAGTATCAGCTGAACACTTGCAGTTAAATGATAATTAGAGTTATGAAATACCAGTAGTTCACATCAAATTGTGTAAAATGTGTTCCCCTTTTACCTGAAGACTAACGTTTATGTAATCAAAAGGAGGGACCATATCAGTATAACAGGCATGTGTTATTATAGCAGGCAGTTTATGACATCATCTTCTGCAGTTTTACCAATCACAGATTGTCATTCATGTGGTGCATGACCAGAGTGCACGTGAATGGGCTAAAAACATTAACTAATGCCCAGCCAGCATTTTTAGGTTGTAAAAACTTCCCTTAATGTTCCCATTTGGTTAATATTTTGTTCTTAGTAAGAACACTGAAAATATCCAGTTTTTTAGACAATTTTTTTGTTTAATAATGTTATTCAAAGGATCTTCATAACATTTCAGTCTATCATTCATTCATTCATTCATTTTGCTTCGGCTTAGTCGGCTTAGAGGTCACCACAGCCCAATGAACTGCCAACTTATACAGCATGAAAATATATACAGCAGACACCATTTTTGGTTGACTATCCCGTTAATTTAAATATTTCTTTCATTTTCCTTTAGCAGAATGAACTGCCAATCTTTCCAGCATAGGTTTTACACAGCGGATGCCCTTCCAGCTGCAACCAAGTGTTGGGTAACACCCATACAAGCTTATTTTCACACTCACACACACACACTCATACACTGACCAATTTAGTTTATTTAGTTCACGTGTAGCGCATGTCTATGGACTGTAGGGGAAACCGAAGCACCCAGAGGAAACCCACGCAAAAACAGTGAGAAAATGCAAACTCCACACAGAAAGGCCAACTGACCCAGCCAGGACTCGAACAAGTGACCTTCTATCTTTGAGGCGACAGTGCTATCCACTGAGCCACCGTGTCGCCTTCTATTATTCATTTAAAACATTATTAGAACATTCCTTGCACAATATATTAATGTTCTAAGAGCATTTCCTTAAACTGTTCTCAGGAAGTTATAAAAAGATTATTGTGGAAGGTTCTTGGAATGTTCAAACTTCCATTTTTTTGGTTATAACATTATTGAGAATATAATTATTTTAATATATATATAAATAAATTGATCAAAATTATTGATAAATATTGTACAATTATTTAACAAATAAATTAATAAATAATTATTTAGAATTCATTTATTCATTCGTTTTTTTAGGCTTAGTCCCTTTATTCATCAGAAGTCGCCACAGTGGAATGAACCGCCAACTTATCCTGTAAATGTTTGACGCAGCAGATGCCTTTCCAGCCACAATCCAGTACCTGGGAAACACCCATACTCTCTTGCATTCACACACATACACTATGGCCAATTTAGCTTACTCAATTCACCTAGACCGCATGTCTTTGGACTGTGGGGGAAACCAAAGCCCCCAGAGGAAGAGCATACAAACTCCACACAGAAATGTCAAATGACCCAGCCAGGGCTCAAACCAGCAACCTTCTTGCTGTGAGGAGACAGTCCTTACCACTGAGCCATCTTGTCGCCCTGAATACATATTAATACAAATATATGTTCCTCCAAAAACATTCATTTTATTAATGTTACATGCTACCATTTCACAACTTTTAGTGATCATTATATAATGTTCTGAAAACATTCCCTATCAGCTGGGTAGTTATCGCCATATTTAACCAGTTGATTAATTACTGTAAGAATTGCAAACTGTTATGCAAATGATGCAGTGTACAATTGAACATGCATTCATTTGCATACATTTCTAGCACAAAAATCTGAATATTGGATATTGAATTTTTTGTTTATTTTATTTTGATTATTTTGTTTATTTTAGTTTGTTTATTTTACAAAAGAAACACTTAAGAGAGTGCTTTGGATGTTTTCTTTACAAACTTACTGAGAAAAAAAAACGATTTAAGAAAAACCCAAAAGTTTAAATATCTGCAAATGGACAGATGTTTTTGCTTGCAATGTCTTGCTCTAAACACTGTTTACTTTAAATTACACCTTTTAGCAGAGGAATAATTGTACTCCCTATTAACACAATTAAACACCTGGCCATTTTTTGTTTCTGCAAATGAAATTTTCATCACATAATCCCCCCAGGCCAAGCAAATGGTTCCAAAAGCAAAACTGGGTTACATCATTTGACTGGAAGCATTTAACACGTCCAAACTGTCACTCAAAATGAGTAATGGATCTCATAGCCTTGTCTATTTAGCATACATACATGCCGAACCCAGAGACATGTCATACGAGTCAAAAGCCAGTTTATCAGAGCATTATGTGCACAAAGTGAATCATTTAGTATGTGCTTTTCTGTTCCAGTGGTCTCGGTGCTATAATGAATGTTTCATATTTAGGGATTTGAGTTACATCTACACCAAAGTAGTAAAACTTGCATAGAGAATGTGCCAAAAAAAGGTGTTTAAATAGCACTGTGAATGGGTGAAGGCTGCGCCATCTGGTGGAGGATATAAGAAACAACTTTAAAAAACCGCAGGCCAAAAAGTATAACTTAAAATGATATATTGACATGTTACACAAGATAGAATATAATTAAATAACAATTACTGCATAAAGTTGTAGCATGATTTCCATAGAGAGCAAGACGGGCTTGCAAGGACGTTATCGTCTTTTCTTCTCATTAGAAATTGGTCTGCTTGGTCTCCTCACTTGCCTCCAGATCAGCTGCTATGTTTTCATAAAATCCATGCTTTTCTGCTTTTTCTGCACTTCTGCAAAGGAAGACACAATTAACTTAATGCTGTTCAGTTAAAGCCTCACATTTCACTGAGAATAGACTTTACAGGGGATAGTTCACCCAAAAATGAAAATTCTGTTTTATACCCTTTACTTGTTCAAAACCTGTGCAGAAGAAGATATGTTGAAAAACGCTCGTAGCTGGCTCTCATTAACTGCCAGATTTTTTTTTCCTACACTGTAAAAATGACTGAGTTCCAGACAATTCCTTTATGTTGTCCCAACACAAACCGATTAAGTTACCTTCATGTTAAGTTAAATTCATGAAACAATTAAGTTGTCCCAAAACAAACCCAAGAATTGTGTTGATTCAGCTCATTTTAAATAAGTATTTTGAACAAGCAGCAAAAATCATTAATCTGAGTGTACAATGAAATTTGATGGGTATCAGCAATGAGCATTCTTTAGAATATCTTCTTTTGTGTTCAACAGAAGAAAGACACTTGTTAATGTTTACAACCACATAAGTAAGAATAAATGGGGAAGTTATTTCCATTTTTGGAACTATCCTTTTAATAATTAATTAAAAGTACTACCTATGACTGGATTACTCTAACTGTAAATTGATCATTTTAAGTTCATAATATATGAATCGATCATAGGCGTCACAGTGGTTCAGTGGGTATCACGATCGCCTCAGCAAGAAGGTCGCTGGTTCGAGCTCCGGCTGGGTCAGTTGGCATCCTTTTCAGTAAAAGGTTCACATCTATGGAATGCCATGCCTGTTCATTTAAAGTTACAATCAGAACTCCCAGTTTTTTATGTAAAGCTGAAAGAATGGTTAAAATCTTTACAGCAATTTGAACATTAAGCATTACTCTTTCAGGTTGGTCCCATTTACATTTCTCTTTATCCATATGGACGTGCATCTTATGTTTATGGCTCTGTAAATATTGTACATGTTTGCTGCATTGTGTTTTATTCTTGCCGGTTTTCTTTTATTATTATTATTTTTTATTTTTTTATTTTTATTTTTTTTATAATGTAAAGCCTAACCAGGGACGAGGGCTGCAAATTAGCTTTATGCTATATGCCCTATGTACACAACATCGGTTATCTTTGTATAACAATGTCAAGTGTATTGTCCCTGTAAAATAAACAAGCAAATAAAAAAAAATAAAAAAATTTGTGTGTGGAGTTTGCATGTTCTCCCCTTGTTGGCGTGGGTTTTCTCCGAGTGCTCCGGTTTCCCCCACGGTCCAAAAACATGTGGTACAGGTGAACTGGGTAAGCTAAATTGGCCGTAGTGTATGTGTGTGAATTCAAGAGTGTATAGGTGTTTCCCAGTGTTGGGTTGCGGCTGGAAAGGCATCCTTTGCGTAAAACACATGCAAGATAAGTTGGTGGTTCATTAAGCTGTGGCGGCCCCAGATTAATAAAGGGACTAAGCCGAAAGAAGATTAATGTGTGAACGAATCAATCATGCACAGATAGTTAAATGCAAGCTTAAAGTAAAGTTTGACTATTTAGATATATTTTAAACTCTAATTTACTCTTGTCATTTAATTCCACTAATTGTCATTTAATCAATGTTCAGCACCATTATGCTCCAGTCTTTAGTGTCACATGATCCTTTAGAAATTATTCTGATGTGATCTGCTGCTCATTTCTTACCATTACCAGTATTGAAACCATGCTTTAACATGATAATGCAGTGTTAAAGCTCAATAATCTTTTGATTATAAAATAGAATGAACATAGTAAAGATTTCATTTTAACTGAAATATTGGCATAGGACGATAACAATTTTTAAAGTCAAAGTCAAAGTTTTAAAACCCCCAAAGTTTTCTGTTATACCATTTTTAAGGTATGAGTAAGATTTTTTATTTATATTCATTTATTTTATTTTTTTTAGGACAACAGTATCTTCAGCAGAAAAGAAATCCATTTTAAATTGTAAAGAAATCAGTGTTTTTGAAACAAATGAAGACAGCAGAAGTCAATGATTCATTTGAACTATTTAGTCTGACCTGTTTACTGTTCCAAAATATTATAAATCTTTAAAAAAAAAAAAAAAAAAATATATATATATATATATATATATATATATATATATATATATATATATATATATATATATATATATATATATATATATATATATATATATATATTGTTTCCAAAGGGGCAAAAAGTTGTTTTTAATAGACATTTAAAAGGAATATATTTTAGAGCAGTAAATACAATACCGTGAAACCGTGATATTTTTATCTACGATTATCATACCATCAGAACCTTATACTGGCCCCTGCCTATTGAAATCTTAATGGGCACATTTTTCGGAAAAATACTGTAAGCTATACACTGAAAAAAATGAGTTTGCTGTTTGTTCAAATTACTTATCTAAAATGAGCTGAAACAACACAACTCCTGAGTTTTTTTGTGGAGCAACTTAATTGTTTTATGTTCAATTCACCCACATTTGTAAAAATTAATAAGTTAACTTAATTCTTTCATTTTGTCCTGACACAAATCGATTGTGTTGAACCCAGTATTACAGTAAAACTATATTGGTAATGTCTATATTGTATTGTACATTAGTATTTCCTGATAATGGCTTTAGGTGTGTTTCTTGGCTGATCTCTCTGGCCTTGACAGTATCTTCAAGTGTACAGTCATAAAACGGCAGTAATCATTTTAAAAACCATAAACTCTTCATCAGCATCATGTTGTTAAATTACTTATCAAATTATTAGGAACTGTCACAAATATAAACAACACCTTGAACTATTAAAACAATGATTAAAGCATTTCCATTTAAATGAAACGCACCAACAATTATCAAACCAAAATTCAGGTATTATATTATCTGTGTAGCTTTTAATGATGACTTCAGGCACTGTAAAAAATTATTGTAAAAAGATTTCAGTTCAGTACTCACTTGTCTTTCTTGAAAAAAAGTCTTTGGATGATGAGGGCAACGAAGACGATAAAGAGAAATCCAACAACGGCTGCCAGTCCCACCAGCCATGGCTGTAATGTGACTTTTCCTGTGTCTGATGTCGCCCGTTGGCCACCTGAGTAACAGTTTAACGCATAAGGTTTTACTATAAAACTTAACACATATACAACTTCATATATATATATATATATATATATATATATATATATATATATATATATATATATATATATATATATATATATATATATATTTTTTTTTTTTTAATTCTTTCATTCATTCAATTTCTTTTCGGCTTAGTCCCTTTATTAATCTAGGGTCACCACATAGGAATTAACCGCCAACTTATCCAGCATATGTTTTTACGCAGCGGACGCCCTTCCAGCTGAAACCCATCACTGGGAAACCCATACACACTCGTTCAAACACATACATACACTATGGACAATTTAGTCTACCTAATTCACCTGTACGACATGTCTTTGCACTGTGGGAAAACCGGTGCACCCGGAGGAAACCCACGCAAACACAGGCAGAGCATGCTAACTCCACACAAAAACGCAAACTGACCCAGCCAAGGCTCGAACCAGCGACCTTCTTGCTGTGATGTGACAGCAAATCGCATATGGCATACAAAATCATGTTTGCATTTTACATATATAAAAATATATGTCTTATATGAACATATCTGCATCACATATATTTCAAAATATTGCAAAAATATTTGAATTTAATCATTAGAATTACACATATGTACATGTATGTTCAAATATATTAGTTTAAAATCTAAAGTTACAGTTTACAAAAAAATGTCATCATTTAATCACCCTTTACCTTTTCCAAACCTGTTTGAGTTTCTTTATTCTGTTGAACACAAAATATTATATTATGAAGAAAGCTGAAAACCTGCAACCTTTGACTTCCATATCCTTGTTTTACCTACTATGGATGTCAATGGTTACTGTTTTCTAGCTTGCTTCTAAATATAATCTTTTAAATTACCATCAGTATAAAGAAACACAAAGGTTTGTAACTTAAATAGTGAGTAAATGTAACATTTTTAGTGTGATCTATCCCTTTTAGAAGTTAAAACTTTACTGAGCAAAATCACAAGAAACCGTAGTACACAGGAAAATCAGCCCTGCGGATGCTAAGTGCAAAAAGAAAGCAAAATGAACAAATTATTTAGAAATGTCTGTAAATGTACTCACCAGCTTGAGCTTGATAAATGCAGGCAGAGAGTATTATGAAGGCAGCGATATTCTTTAGATGAAACATGGTGAATTTACAGTGCAGTCACACTGCCGTCTTCCTCTGTCGTCTGTAAATATGTGAAGGTTTTATTGTGTCCAAAGTACAAAATCCAATAAAGAGAGCAGAGACCGCAGCATGTAACTCCCAGAGTAATTGTGCATGATTATACTTAGATAATGATGTTATGTGCTGTAATGCTGTAAAGACAAATGGACTCTTCAGCAGAACAGAAGGGCATGCCAGTCTAAAGTGCTGAAAAAATATATTAGAGAAAAACTTTATTTACTCTTAAATGAAATAATAGTTACTTTTAGTCTGTGTGTTTGTTTCAAAGTGCTTACTTAAAGGTTTACAAAAATGACAGTCGTTCTTTTCTGGTGAAAACAGAGCAAAAATATCAATGACTCATCCTGCACTAGGCAGATGAATATTTTGTCCAATCAGATTGTGTCTACGATGATAAATCTCCACCCCCTAACATCACATCCTGCCGAATAGCAAATTGTTTTCAATGTGTCCTCCATTTTATATATCCCAACCTCATGTTTCAATTGAAAATGTAGGACAAAAAAAAACATTGATTCCAAAAAAATCTTCATAAGAAGTGTCTTTTAGGAAAAAAGAAAGAAAAACTGTTTGTTAACTATGAATAGATGACACAATGAAAAACAAGCCTTTCATGCTAGCTGTCGCTAACATCAGTCTGAATGGAGGATTTAGCAGAAGGCTGGGGTTTGTCTGAAATAACCCAAATAGCTGGTAAGTCTTCGGTGCCCTCCATGAGCTGTAGAATATCCTTGTCTGTGTCCATGTCCTCCAGCTCAGGCATCACCTCTGGTGTCCAGTCTGCCCTAAACTTCTCTCGCCTTTCCCAGGGAAACTCCTGCTCCTCCACAGGCTGCTCTCCAAACAGGTAATCTACAATATTGAAAGAGTGCAAATGTTGGTCAAATGTTGGCTTGAATTGAGTTTTTGGGGTTATTTATAGACTGCTGACAGTAATTTTTGAACCTGAACTACAAAATCTGTTTTAAATTGCACAGGTATATTTTTGGCAATAGATCCAAAACATGTTGTATGGGTCAAAATGATTTTCCTTTTATGCCAAAATATAGCACATTGAGTGAAGATCATGATCCATAGGGATATTTTGTTAATGTCCTAGGCTACTGTATATATATATATATATATATATATATATATATATATATATATATATATATATATATATATATACACACACACACACACACACACACACACATATATATATATATATATATATACACACACACACACACACACTTGAAGTCAGAATTATTAGCCCCCTTGAATTTTTAGACCGCTTGTTTATTTTTTCCCCAATTTCTGTTTAAAGGAGAGCAATTGTTTTCAACACAATTCTAAACATTATAGTTTTAATAACTCATCTCTAATAACGGATTTATTTTATCTTTGCCATGATGACTGTAAATAATATTTTACTCGATATTTTTCAAGACACTTCTATACAGCTTAAAGTGACATTTAAAGGCTTAACTGGGTTAATTAGGTTAACTAGGCAGGTTAGGGTAATTAGGCAAGTTATTGTATAACAGTGGTTTGTTCTGTAGATTATCGAAAAAAAATATAGCTTAAAGGGGCTAATAATTTTGTCCCTAAAATTGTGTTTAAAAAATTTAAAACTGCTTTTATTCTAACCTAAATAAAACAAATAAGACTTTTCAGACATACTGTGAAAATTTCCTTGCTCTGTTAAACATAATTTGGAAAATATTTAAAAAAGAAGAAAAAAAATTGAAGGGGCTAATAATTCTGACTTCAACTGTATTGTAAATAAACATATGCTTAAATAAGTATAATTTTTTTGGAGCTTTTGGCATTGCCACCTTTTCATTTGAGTACTTGTTTGGCTGAGCACCCAGTTGAGATTGATGTGCGTGCTTTTGTTAAATTATTTCTACTGTAAATAGAATACATTACAGTACAATACAATACAATACAGTATACAAATACTTGCTATATGAAACTAAATGAGATTGGATTGTTTTTAATTAGCATTTAATTAGTGATGTAATGTGATTGAATGTGGAATGAGGTGGTGGAGTGAGGAAATTGTTTCACTCTGAGGAAGGCATTGAGCTGAAATGTTGGTGTTTTGTATCTCAGAAGAATGTGAAATAAAGAAATATAAAGTAATTATTTAGTGAGTGGGATCATGAGCTTTTGAATTACTGTAAATTACTGTAAATATATCAACATTTAATTTTTGATTAGTAATATAGTAATTTGCTTGCCAAGAAATTAAAAAGCGATTTTTCTCAATATTGTAATATTTTTCAACCATTAGGTTACAGATTTTTAAACAATTGTAGCTCAGCCAAAAATTGTACTATTTATGTTTTATTTGTTCAGCTTTGAGTTGATTATATTTATTACAATAAAAAAAGACACTTTTTTTGGTTACACTTTATTTTGATGGTCTATTTGAGTATTAGTAGACTGTCTGCTTAATATCTGTTGATTCTGCTCCTTCAACAGACATCTAAATGACTATAAGAAACTTTGCAAGTACATGTCAACTTACACTAACCCCAACCATAACCACAACCTAACAGTCTACTTAGAGTAGACTCATTTAATCTGATGAGAATTGGTTGGCATGTGGATGCAATGTAACTTAAATTAAACAAACAGACCATCAAAATAAAGTGTCACCCCTTTTATAATATAATATAACTGAGGGCGACATAGTGACTCAGTGGTTAGCATTGTCACCTGACAGCAAGAAGTTGCACCTATTGGCATTTCTGTGTGGAGTTTGCATGTTCTCATGCTCAAGTGGGTTTTCCTCCGGGTGCTCTGGTTTCCCCACAGTCCAAAGACATGCACTGTAAGTGAATTGGATGAACTAAAATTGCCACAGTGTATGAGTGTGAATGTTTGTGTGTATGGTTGTTTCCCAGTGCTGTGTTGCAGCTGGAAGGGCATCCGCTGTGTAAAACATATGTTGATAAATACAGGACTAAGCTAGATGAAAATGAATGAATTAATATAACTGAGGAGAATAATGACACCCTAAGACATAAGCTACTCTCATCATTTAAAATAAGGTATAACCTAAACAGCACAACACACTAAATGTTCTACCATCTTATTAGAAACATTTATAAGGATATAAATTGTGCTTTCATGTTGTGAAGACCAAAGATCAACTGTAAACATTACATGACAATTTAAAAATAGCAATCTTTTTTGTGTGTAGTTTTACAAAATTTGACATATATTTTTCATTCATTTTCTTTTCGGCTTAGTCCCTTTATTAATTCGGGGTCGCCACAGCTGAATGAACCGCCAACTTATCCAGCACATGTTTTACGCAGCAGATACCCTTCCAGCTGCAACCCATCTCTGGAAAACATCCATATACACTAATTCACACTCTTACACTACAGACAATTTAGCTTACCCAATTCACCTGTACCACATGTCTTTCGCTGTGGAGAAACTGGAGCACCCGGAGGAAACCCTAGCAAATGCAGGGAGAACATGCAAACTCCACACAGAAACACCAGCTGACCCAGCCTAGGCTCGAACCAGGGACTTTCTTGCTATGAGGCGACAGCGCTACCTACTGCGCCACTGCATCACCTTTGACATTACATACAATTTAATTCTTTAACTATTAGTCTGTTGTCTTGCATACTGTAGCACATGCAAAGCTACTTTCTTTGTTTTCAAACTGTACATCTTATCAGGCATTCTCTAGAAATCAGCCTCATGACTAGAAGTGCTGAAGTGCAGTTTAGGCTTCAGAGGATGATCTCAAGCTGTTGCTCAGCTGGTCTCGAAAATCAGCCAAAAGCTTGGAGAACTGCTCTGACCAGCAAATCATCTTAGACTGCTTTATGTTTCTGCCAAAGAAGTCAAGTGTTCTCTAGTAAAAAGGGGATTTTTTGAACACTGTTTATAGAAAATAAGCCCGCAAATGTGCAAAGAGGATTTGCAGGTCTTTAAGTGGAAAGAGACGGGTGAATGTTTTCTTGTCTCATACCTGCCAGATCATGGATGAGGTCTATGATGAGGTGTCTGATCATGGCGAACAGGGTGACGACGGTCACACTCACAGCCAGCAGCAGATATATCACATGCTTGGGTGGAAGAAACCGATTGTTTTCTTTGGGTTTGTAGTCCTGGAAAAAGTCCTCATGCAGATTATTGCTGTTCTCGTCTAAATCCATAAGTAGCGTTGTTTAGTCCTCTGCGTCAGGGTTAACACCTAATCGATAGCTTGTTTGTTTTCTTTTATTTCCTGTCGATCTGGGTCAAAATAATTAGCAAACATCATTTACTTTTTATTGACTTGAAGCATCATTGTAGGTTAAAGACAATTGCCATTAAATAATACTGTTACAAAGCAATGTCAATACAGTTTAAATGAATAGTTTACCCAAAAATAAAAAATAACCCTTTTATTTACTCTCCCTCATGTGGTTTTTAAACCTTTTAAGTTTCTTTTTTTTTTGTGTTAAACATAAACAAAGAAGATATTTTGAAGAATGCTGGTTGCTGGAACCCATCGACTTGCAAAGAAGGAAAATAAATACTATGGATGTCAATTGGTCCCAGCAACAAGCATTATTAAAAGTATCTAATTTTATTTAGTTTGAAAGGGAAGTAAGTTGGTTCGGTTGTGTTCATATTGCATAAATACCTATGTAAAACCACATCAAACTAATAGCTATGTAATTAAATTAAAAGTAATAAATATGAAATTATAATTCAGAAAACAGAAATAGTTTGGTATACCCTTATAAACGATGCTCTAATAATCTTTGTTTAACAACCTTTTTTTACCTACAATAATGTTAGTGGTATGCTGATGTTAGTGGTGAAATCTTTATGGTGTTAGTGGTGAAACATTTAAGGTGAACTCTTTAACAGGAATTTAAAAAAGACAAGAATAGAATTTATGTAAGGGTTAAATTGCATGATTCCATAATAAATTTAATGATCATTTATACAATATATAAATGTTTTGAAGAGTTATGCTCTGCAATGCCACATTTAATTTGACTATATATATGGCAATGAAAACAATAATATTGTAAGATATTACCACAATTGAAGTGAACACTTTGTATTTTAAAAAGGTTGTTTTATTTTTGAGATAAAAAACTTCAGTGTCACATGATCCTTCAGAAATCAGTTTTAACTATTTGAAAGTCTTTACTGACACTTTCAACCAAACTACTGGATTCTTGAAAAATTGAAGTATAATTAATAAATCAATATTGTAGTTATTAATATTTTTTAATTAATAAATACAGAAAATTCTACCTACCTTTCATTATCTGAAAAAAACATTCAAAACTTTAGCAAAAGTTTAATTGAATCCAATGTTATAATTTTTAAATACACTTAAAAAAGTGTTGAAAAAGAATAACATTGCATTAACTTTAGTGTGTTTAAAGATTATAACAGTGCATTAACCTCAACTATGGCTTAAGTTTTGAATCTGTTGTTCAGATAATGAAAGGTATGTGGAATTTGTATTATAATATTTATAATAATTAATTAATTCATTTCTTTTCGGCTAAGTCCCTTTATTAATCTGGGGTTGTCACAGCGGAATGAGCAGGCAACTTACCCAGCACATGTTTTACGCAGTGGGTGCCCTTCCAGCTGCCACCCATCTATGGGAAACATCCATACACTTTCATTCACACACATACACTATAGCCAATTTAGTTTATTCTATTCACCTGTACCGCATGTCTTTGGACTGTGGGCGAAAGTGGAGCACCCGGAGGAAACCCATGCAAACGCAGGGAGAACATGCAAACTCCACACAAAATGCCAGCTGAGACTCGAACCAGCGACCTTCTTGCTGTGAGGCAACAGCACTACCTACTGCGCCACTGTGTCGCCCTTAAAATAATAATAGTAAGTGCAAATCAAATGTCCAAGTAGACACTGTACATCAGTAATGTTTATTATTTTGTCTGTAAAGGAAGCTTCATTATAAAATAAAGAAAAAGATTTGATAGTTAAAATGTTAAAAAAAAAAAAAGTAAAAAAAATGTATCTGGTTAAATTAAATGGGCTAAATTTTATATTCTTATACTTTCATATATATATATATATATATATATATATATATATATATATATATATACTTAAAATTGAAAACTCCTTTAAAATGTAAGTTTTCAAGAATAACAACAACAAAAAGTTCAAAATGTAAACATTTAAACCAGAGCTCATTATGTTAATGCACAGGTATCTTCTCCTAGTTAAGGCTAAGGTTGGACTAATGATTTACGGCAGGGTTACTGTATATCTGAGCATCAGTATCAGTAGCCGTGTTTATGGTCAGATAATAAGTTGTGTACATACCTGTGAAACCCTTTTCCTCATTTTCTTGCTTCCAGTTTGGCTCCCATTTGATGCCGAAATGTCCTCTAGCCGTCGTCCTACTTGCTGCATATCCACAAAATCACAATAAAGGATGTCAGAGGGCAATAGTTTCTCTCAATGAGGGTTTTTCTTTAGTAACAGTGTCAGGAATTCCCTCTGACCTCAAGAACTTTAACAGCATACGACAACCCAGCTAATGTGCTTAGTGTCGTAAGGAGAAGCCTTGAGCCTGGATTTAGACTTTTCTGTGTATATCGCACAACACCTGTTGATATATTTAACATACTGTACAGTTGTATGAATGACGTCAATGAAAACGCAGTCTGTTACAGGAAATGGTTTCCATTGTCAGGGGAAAAAAGAATCTTTAGACCATTTTCACTTTCGAAGGTAAAACATGTTGTCCAAACAAAAAATGCAATAAAACAGTTATATGTCATAAACACATTTTTTCTGTTAAATATTCTACCAAATTTAAAATAAAAATGTTGCATTTAAGGAGTGACAGTGGCTCAGTGGTTAGCACTGTGCCCTCACAGCAAGAAGCTCGCTGGTTCCAGTCCCGGCTGGGTCAGTGGCATTTCTGTGTGGAGTTTGCATACCATGTTCTATGCTTTCCTGCCGGTGCTCTGGTTTCCCCCACAGTCCAAAGACATGCACTCTAGGTGACTTGAATAAATTAAATTGGCCATATAGTGTATGAGTGTGTATGAATGTTTCCCAGTATTGGGTTGAGGCTGGAAGGCCATTCGCTATGTAAAGCATATGCTGGATAAGTTAGTGATTCTGCTGTGGTGACCCCTGATGAAAAAAGGGAATAAGTCGAAGGAAAATGAATGAATGACACAATTTTATGGAATTTTCAGATTTTATGATATTTTCAGACATGTATGTTTGACCACTAAACACTAATGTTGTCCCTTAGAAAATCAACCTTTTGTAGAATAGTCTTTATTTTCAATCTAGCTTAAAATCCTTTTTATGTGTGTGTGTGAAGACGGAAGTTTATCAATATTACTCGTTTTTAGTTTCCCTTTCTTCAGAAATCATTTGAATTTAGTAATCAGGTGACGTTTAATATTATAAGAAATGTTCAAAGCATTAAGTTTTTTGTGCATTTTTATTTTTATTTTAGATCTTTGATAAATAGTTTAAATTTGAAAGATACATTTTTAACATTACAAATGTTAATTCAATTCATGCTGGTTAACATTAGTAAATGCACTGTGACTTGCAATGAATGACTGTGTTTTCAATAACCAATAGAAACGAACATGAACAAATACTGTAATACATGTATTAATTAATTAAGCTTATTGTAACGTGTTACCGTTTTAAAATAATATTTAAAAAAATGAAATAAGTCCTTACAGTCAGTGTAACAAATAAAAATGATGTAAACTTGATCATAATAATACAAATTAAAGGTGTATACCTTGTGGACATTTAAATTACAGTCCAGAAATAAACAGGACACAACATAGTGCTGCAGGGCAACTGATAATTAAGGGGTGAATAAAGAGACTAAGCCGAAGGAAAATGAATGAATGAATGTTGCATTTGAAGCATTTTATGAAATTTTCAGATTTTATGATGTTTTGACATGTTAATATGCACCTTTTGACCACAAAACACCAATGTTTTTCCTTAGAAAGGCCAGGAAATCAATTCTTTGTAGAATAATCTTTATTTTCAATCACCACAAATGTTCTGACGGATTGGAGTTTTCTGAAATTATAATGAAGCTCAATATTTTATTTGAAACATGTTGTTGGACTTAAAATTAAAAAACTAAATAAAGATCAGCATTTTACTCAATCTCATACCTAATAAAGTACACCTCATACAGTAAATCAAGAACAATATATACGGTCTAAAAATATAATTGAATAATATTTCAATCTTCAGTCAGTCAGCTTGACTTCATTACATTACACCAGCCAAAGTGTTTGCGGGTAAGCTCAGGTAGCAGCATCTTCTTAATGTAACAACTGAACGAAACCGTAATCCCACACAAACAGTGTGTCAAATAAGGTCTGTGCATTCACTGGAGAACAGAAAGTACATCATCAGTGGTGATCAAACAGCTACAGCTCCCTCTGTCTGCGCCGAGCACCCTGCCTGAACTAGCACACGCTAATCATGCTAATCCGGATCAGAGAGTAGGTTACAGGAGGACAAATGCCATGTAAACAGTACCAATACTCTCTATATTATACTCATTTATTATTGTCGAGGGAATTGGGCATGTCTAAGAAAGCCACAAAGATTCACAAAACATGGGCAGCTACTTTGCTAAATATAGTTAGAAAACATACAAAATTACAAACACATTTTGCTACAGATTTACAACAAATTATAAGCTTGGTGCTTTCGTGCTCCTTGTTTTGATGGAAATGAGCAGCCATGATTGATTTTAAGACTGTAATAAAGAGTTAGAGTTTGACTAGTGGATGAAAGATGAGGGATTGTATTCAGTGACATCATGTTAATACAGTAGATATAAATGGCAGATATTCTTCAGTCAAATATCAGTCTGTTCCTTTTTGTTACATTTTCTCTTTTTCATCCTGCTTCCAAGGATTAGCTTTCCTCTTCTTCGTCATCATCTTCTTTTTCTTCTTATGGTCAAGGTCTCAGTCTGTGTGAAAAAGCAAACGTATGTCCTGAAATGTAGATATTGATTTGATAAGAGCAGAGTTCATTATACTGTGCTAAAGGCCTGTGAAGTAGCCTGATATGATTGCGTTAATCCCACTCTTAATCCTTTGGCTGACATCGCGCTGACTCTGATATTCCACAGCAGCTGTCTTTCATGAAGGTGAAAGCTGTAATCAAGGGTTAGCTATACTGTAATCCAGCTAATCCTGTCTGAGATGTGCTCTCAGGAGGCACTCTGGCCGCTTTAGAAATGCCTTTTCATAGCAGTTATAATTCACATTAATACAAAAATAAAGGATCTTTGTTGGTTCCATAAAGAACTTTTAACATCTGTGGAGACTTTGCTTTAAACAAATGGTTAAAGTGGAAAAACTTCATACTGAGAAATGTGTGGTTCTCCTAGGAACAGTTATTTTGAGAATCAAAAGGGTTCTTATGTGGCATCACTGCACTCTTTTGAAAATTTTAAAGATTCCACCATACCTTAATTATTCCAAGTAACTAACAATACTAAGTTATAGTTACATTTTCTTTGGATTTAAAGGTGCTTTTGTGGAACTATTGATCTCTTCCTTTTTAATAAAGTATCGAAACCTTTTTTTGTTAATTGTGTGTTAGAATAGTTGTATAAAACAACATAACAAAACTCATAATTATTTTAATAATTTGCAACTTTCACTAACTAAAAAAATATACTCATAATAACAACACATTTTAAAAATTATTCTTTTAAATTTTAAAATTATTTATGTATTATTTTGAATTTTAAATTATGAATTTTTATCAATATTACTTTAGTTTTTAGTTTTTACATCCTTCAAAAATCATTTGAATATTTAGTAATAAGGTGACATTTCATATTATTAGCAATGTTAAAAAGCAATGCTTTTTTGTGGAAACTTTTTTTAGATTGATAAATTGTATTGATAAATACATTGATAAATTGTTTATATTTGAAAAATACATTTTAACAGTACATTTTAAAATATTTTAACTGTAACCTTTGTAACTTTGTAACTTTGATCATTTTATTGCAGTCTTGCTGAACACCTTTAATGGTCACACTTTACAATAGGGTTTTGTTAGTTAATGTTAGGTAATGCATTTATTAAAAACATGAACTTATTATGAACATAACTTGTACAGCATTTATTAATCATGGTTCAACATTTACTAATGCATTATTAACATCTAAATTAAACATTAGTTAATGCACCGTGAGTTAACATGAGCTAACAATGAACAACTGTATTTCCATTAATTAACATGAATAAATGCTGTAATAGATTGTTTGTGAATGTTAATAAACACATTAATTGACATTAAAGATTAGATTAAAGGAGTAACACTTTACAATAAGGTTGTATTAATTAAAGTAATGATATAAGTCTTTATTGTCCGTAACTAATAAATTAAAATGAATTATACAAACTTTATCATAATAATAGAAATTTACATTTGTATATCTTGTGGACAAATTTAAATTACAGTCCAGAAATAAACATGCATACACAAGTGCTACAGGGTGCTGATGACTTTGCTAACTCTATACTCACTCAGACTGGGATTTCCTCAGGTTCAGGCGCATCCTTGAGCTTCTTGCAGAAAACCTGAGACAGAAGGAAGTTCCAGTAGATGATGGTTAAACTGGTGTTGGCAGTTACGATGCCGATCAGTACAGGATGCATGTCTGCTTTCAGTGGTGTTTCTGTTCTTCCAGAGGCTGAAGCTGAACAAGCCCTCTCTGAGTTTCTGAATGACTGACCGACTGACTGGACTGACGTGTTTGTTTGAGCCTGTGATCCAGACAGACCTGATCCTCTATGAGTCATATCTGATCTGATATTATTCATCTCCCTGTCACCTCTAACTGTCCTTCTGCATGTCTGCTGGTTAATGGATTCAGAAAAACTGGATGTTTTACTCCAGGGAAGACAGGATAGGTTTATTCATTAAATTTATGTTTTTATCCGCCTTAAAGATCAGACTATTCAAGGGCTTTTCGACATGTTTATGAAATATTTATTTCAATTAAATCAACATATGTAACCTTTGTGATAGCAAGTCACACAGCAGCCACAATAGATTGATTTATAATGAAAATACTACCATTTACTAAAAGATACAATTACACTAGCATTATCACATTCACTATTGTTAAAGGGTTTTGGGTCAGAAAAGATTGCGATCTCACTTTTTATTAATTAGCCTTAGATACTTGGAGAAAAAAGTAGATTGTACTTTTTTTTGTTCATGTTGTATTGCACAACACATGATGCTACTGAGGTGGTATACTGGTAATGTTAGGGACAAGTTTGGTGGTACGGGTAGTTTTAATGGTGGATTAAGGTGTAACGAATGTGTCAACAGTGTAATTATAAATTTAAATACATAAAATAATTACAGCTGCAATTACATGCTGATAATTTTTAAAGTATAAATGTTAAACATAAAAAATTATGTACATAGGTATATTGTACCAAATGATTTATTTTAATGCAAGTACAGAAATTAAGGCTGTTAAATAAAAAGTGGAGTAAATATTTTAGCATGAATTTATTAAACAGTGATGGTTTCAACTGATCAAAACTGTTTAACGTCATTGATAGCAAATGTAACAAATTTTAACATGAACCCCAAATCATATTGCAATAATTTTTGCACTGTAAAACATTATATGATCAATTAGTCATAGCAGCATGACTTTAGTCCATTGTAACTTATTAAACTGAATTAGTCATGTTCTAACTTAATTGCATAAGTTATGCAAGCAGTGTTAAGTCAGTTTAACGTAATAGTTCAATAGACTAATAAGGTGAAGTTGATTCAGTTTAAATTTAAGGATTTTAACCAGGATTGTTTTTACAGTGTGAAGGCTCATGACAAACAAATAAATATATATATATATATATATATATATATATATATATATATATATATATATATATATATATATATATATATATATATTGCAATATAGCGAGTACAGAGCTAAACTGTGTTGTTTTCTTTAAATTGGTTTTCTTTCTAAAAAGCTACAAAATTGCAATTATTACAAATCAAACAAGCAGACAACAGCAGCAGAAGTGGAAACATACAAAATTATACATACTTTCATTTCATTCATATTATTATCCTTCTTTTGTGCAAAAAAAAAATATATATATATATAATAATAATAAACTGAATACGTTACCTGGAAGTCAGTGCCTTCTCAATAATTTTTTTTTTGTTCTTTATTTTAAATATTAATTCAAAAGAAACTGTAGCCTAAGCAGGGTTGTCTTTTTTGTCTTCATCCTCAGTCTTCTTATAAAAGGCTTCTGTCAGAATGAAGATCCAGTATGCGATGGTCATGGAGGTGTTAATTGTGACGATACCAATCATAAAAGGATGAAGCATGTTTGCAAGCGCTGCGCCGTCTGCAATGTTTGTCTGCTTTGTACCACTTTTTAAGTGGTTTGGTCCAGCCTTTTCTTGAGGATGTGGCCTACACGCCTCCCACCAAGCTTAATATTAGCATAAAAATCCTTTGCTGAATAAGTGTTTGGTCTCCCTCCATCCACCAACATCAGTCAATTTGGAGAGCACATGTACTGTCATCTTCCTAAAGGGCCAGTTCCCCCAATAATAAACATTGAGTAAATGTTAAGATTTTTTTTCTTTATTTTTAATCTCTTTAAATGAAAATGTGCAATTGTTTTTCTCTTCTTTTGATAAAACACATTTAAAAAAAAAACGTAGATACAAAAGCAGTCGGGGTGATGCTTTCACAAAAGTGTTTGTTTACATTGATTGATTGTTATGCTAAATTGCAATGATCTCTTATGGATTAAAGAATTTGGATTTTAATTTGCCATGTGCCTCTTTAAGCTGGACTCTTATTGAATGAGATAGACTGCTGTGTGGATTAGGTTGGTCAGAATGTAGTTTAAAAACCTCGCACCAGCACTAGTGCTCTTAGCTGTGCTAATCACCTCTGCTCATGGGTGGAGGATTTACCTTTACTGAAGATAAGAGACTTAATTAGTGATATCACAAGATTTTATGATGCTTTAAGCCCAAAGTATAAAGCTATGCATTTGATAGCAGACATGAACACACGTGCTCAGAATGACAGATTCAATCTTGGTCAGATTCGCTGTCTTTTCTCTCCAAAAGTAACAGGTGATTGGAGTGATAATCACCTCACACTGTGTCTTTGGTAGTTTGTTGTTTTTGTTCCTCTTTCTTTTCTGACTGAAACAATAACCCAGTTCGGTGTTGACACCTTGTGGACAAACTAATCCACTAATCCACACAACAGTAATATTTTAAGAACAACAAAAACAATTCAGTTTACCCGCGTCTTTTTTTGCTTCAATATGAAGCTTTTAACACTACAAGCATTTTTAAATTAAAAATATTTTTTGTTGCATTTATTTGATATTATTTATACTTAGATTCAACAATAATTTTGAATTGTCAAATTAACAGTAATATTTTAAATTTAAATTTAAATATGTACATATAAATGTACTTTATATAAAGCTTTTGAGCTGCTTGTGAACCTACATTATTAAATTGGTTGACTGATTTGCACTGGTATAATACTTTCTTTGTGGCCTTTTCAAGCTTTTGCTACATCAGTTGTTTATTTCTGCCTTGTAACTACATTTACCTTATTTCTGATAATGATCTCTTAATCTCATAATTGTGTCGATTCTCTTGCGAATCAAACAATCTAGATTTAATCACAAACTCTGGGTTAAACCCCAAGTCAATAGAGAAATTTTGTCAAGCATACTGAACCACTTAATTTTACGGTTGGATCTGTTTCGTTTTTGTCAACCCTAAACTTGCACTAAAACCCAGAGTTTGCACTTGTTTTGAGCCTCACGCCTGTGAAATTTGCATATTATGCACAGCACTGTATGTATACCGCACATGTTTTCAAAAATTAAGCCAAAACATTTTGTTTGCCCCTGGAGGCTGGCTGCTTTACATCAAAAATCCCTCCATCTCCATGTAAACAGAAGAGATGTGAGCTTGATTTAAAAATCAATTAGAGATGAATCATCTACTTTTTTTATAGTCTATGATAGGGCTGCACGATATTTTAAATGTTGTACTTTTTTTGTACCCGAATGCTTTAAACTCTCTTAAAGTGCATGCGAATGATCTACTATGGTTAAACATCGCAATGACTCCACAAATCTCATGAATTCTCAATTGTTGTTCTGATCAACTATAATCCTGCGACATTGCATATCATGCGATGTGACCATTGCAGACACACACATTACAGTATCGATGCTGAAACAATTTAAAGGGTTCACACATAGCTGATCATGGGTTATAAAGCTTTTTTGGGATGCTGTCCTGAGAGAGAGCCCTGGGCTCCCTCCTGTTTGCAGGGCGAGAGGGGAGTTTAAGCTCAGGTAGATCTTGATTATCTCCACCCGGCTTATTTCTGGCTTATGACAGATACAGGATGGCTAAGGAGTGGTGTACTCTTGCTAAAAGCTTGGCTATGGTATCAATTTGGTATGTTCAATTTACCTAGGTTGCATGTTTTTTTTGGACTGTGGGAGGAACCCGGGGAAAACCCACGTGAGCAAGGGGAGAACGAGCAAACTCTGCACAGAAAGGTCAACTGGTTTAGTTGGGACTTTAACTGGACACATTTTTTTTGTTAGGCAACAGTGCTAGTCACTGGGCTGCTGTGTCACCCATCTGGAAAGAAGGGGGAGTAGGGATGGGTAGATCGGGATTCTTCAGGACAAAGATAGAGATAAGGAAACTGGTTATCTATAGTAAATAAGCAATCCTCTGATTAGAGAATCAGTCATGAGCTGATGTGGGAGCAGCTGAGAACAATCACAAGCATGTGATCCTCTCGAAATTAGTTTATAAATAAACTACACATATTGTGCAGCTGTATATGATGAAAACTGAAATATACTTAAAGGCAGAATAAGACAGGTAAATATGTGGTTGAATAAATGCTTTTATTTTGCCTTCCAAATTAATTAAATATCCAAACAGCTTTCACTTGCATTTGAAATATGGATAGTCTGTGTGTTTTGGAAAATGTGTGTAAAAGTTTTTAGTGAGCGCTCTGCAGTCTGAGCAGTCCGTCTGCATACTGGAACTGTGAGCTGTTCTCATACTCCAGCATGTCTAGTGCGACCTCACAGCTCTCCTTTACCACCCGCTCCTGGTCTTTCCTATAGCGTTCCAGGATCTGGACACACGGCTCCTTCCCGATGGAGCCCAGCGCCTCCGCACACTCATGTCGGACCATGGCATTCTCATCCATCTTCTCCAAAGCTGCCTGCAGCTGAGGGATGCTGGCCGCATGCTGGATCTGACCCAACACATAGCCAATCTCATGGCGGAACAAGGCACTGCTGCACTGAAGACCTGCCACAATGATTTTGAAAGACATTAACACGTTTATTCAGCATTCAATAGATCAAAGTGACAGTAATAGCTTATGCTCAGAATTATACTTTAAATCAATGCTGTCCTTGTTAATAACAATTATTAACTGAGCCTCAAATCAGCATAATACAGATTTCTTGAAGTCAAGTGCAACATTGTTGCCATGTTTGTGAAGCACTTTGGTCAACATTCAGCTTCAGAAAATGCAGCTTTGTAATAACAAAAAAATTTCTAACCTAAAAATGTAAAACTTATATTAGTTTACTAATTAACTTTGTTTTTATGCATCTCGCAAATCTTTTCTCACCATCTCCAAGAGCCAGAACAGCCTCTTCAGTTCCAAGATTCCTCAGAGCAAACATGGCTCTGTAGCGATCAAACAGTGGCAGAGTTTCATCTAAGAGCTGTGTCCTCAGTTCTGGGACACTTTTTCTTTGGGCAGGGGGAGCGGGGTCCACAGAGCAGTAGGGGTTTTCATCTGTCCCATCTTTTGTCTGCTCGCCACCATTCATGAGCCACTCCAGCCTCTTGACCGCCAGCTGACAAGTTTCTGCCACCTATAAAAATAAGAGTGTTGTAATAAAACCTATTAAGAGTAGGATTTTAATAATCAATATCTTTCCATGAAATACAATATTGTGATATAGACACAATTAGGACAATACTGATTAAAAACCTAGGTAAACCGATGTTTGATTGCTCCTACTTTATAAACTGCATTATTGAAATGCAGTATAGACGCATGCAAAGACTTTTTGCCAAATTGGATTTTAACCGTTAGACAACAAACAAAAAGCTTTGTTTTGAGCAATAGTTTTTATCCACTAGTCTTCACAAATAACATGACAAACCCTTAACTGCATTGCTTTTTCAACTTAAAATTAAACACCAAAAATTGCATATGGTACTTTCTTTTTTTTTTACTCATTATTCTGAAAGGAAATGAGGATGTGTGCCATTAATTAATCTATGTACCTTAAAATCTAAAATGGAAACATGAAAGAAATAATCCAAAAGCAACTCAAGTGAACATCTTATGGCATGTTTCCACTGATTGGTAAGGTACAAAGAGCTTTTATGGCTGTTTCCACTGTCAAAAGGTACTAAAAAGCGAACCGTACCATACCACTTTATGGGTACCTAGCACGACAAAAGGATACCAAAAGGTGAAGCCAGACGCACAGCTGAATGCTATTGGTTTACAAAGATATGTCACTAGTTCATGCACAAGCCAGGAGAATGAAAACAAAGAAAGAGCCATTTTTAATTACACAGCAGAGATATTACACTCTGTAATTCCTGCCCCTGTCAAGGACACCTGCGGGACTCTGGACTATGCAGGCTCACACACACACAAACATATCTACAGATAAACATTCACCACCGATCCCCATCCAAACGCCTTCGTGTGCTTTTACCCACGTGGGGCGTGGGCGGGGATGTGACTTGCGCCTTGAAATGGCTGCCCGCACTCAACGGACTGTTTTCCATTTCCCCTGTTCCCATCCCCTGTGTCTATGTTGTGTCTTGCCGGTGTGCTTATGCTAAGATAGGGATGTTTTTCTCCCTTTTCTCACTTTGTCCTAATCAAGGGCAAGCTGAGGGGGTGTTTTTTTTTTTTTGCCTAACTGTCCAAATGTATCTTTCTTCAATTCTAAATGCTACCTCCTATGATCTGTCTCCCCTGAAAAGTGTGATGTTTTGTGTATGGTCTGGGGGGTCCAATTTCGCTATACGAAAGTGTAGTGACAAATAAAGGCTTGATTGATTGATTGATTACACCGTAATAATATATACATATAATAACGAGCCATGACCAACCAGAGCTTAAACAAACCTTGTGGTCGTCTTGATGAACAGCCACAAAGCCAAGAAGAAGAGCTGAATCTAACCTGTGCCCTGTTGTTGTTTACAAGGCTGTCTTAAAGTGCAAGTGGTTTCACTTTCTCTATATAGCTTGCTGTGTGCATCTGTACTTTAAATAACAAACTTCTTGAGCTGATGATAATAACGTGTGTGTGACTTCCGACCCTTTTAGAAATGGACAAACGCGAGAGTGAAGCGCAAAAAAACAAAGGAGCGAATAATTCGTTCAGCAACCTAAATCATGAACAAACTGCCATGTATAACTATTATCATAACCTTTTAGACTATTATTAACTCGACGAATGACAGAATTACTTTCTAACAAGAGGCTACATGTGCTGGTGAAGATTAAAGATGCAAATGAGATATTTGCAACTGGTAACATATATCGCAGACTATAAGGGTCTGTATGTGCTCATATATGTAGCATTTATTTATTTCATGTAATTGCAGGTGTTACAGTAGGCTATTTCGCACCACCATTGATCTGCAGTTATAATCAAATTATGTTCATAGAAAAGTTAGTAATGAACATTTATACACAAGTATTTATTTATATAAAGCCTCTGTTTTGTGAGAAGTGCTTCTCATATGATATGTGAACGACCTGTACAGCTTTCCCTTGACATTTTCTCGAGCGAGAATGACGTTGGCTGAAACTTTCTTTCGTACACCATGCCCACCATTGGTACCCTTTTCACAGTGAAAACACAAGCCTGATAAAGGTGACCCGTACCGTACCACTAAGTGGAAACGGGCTATTAATATTGATATCATCTCAACTAGAAAAATTAAATAATTAGATTTCTGATGTCCATGTAACCATACACATTGTCTGATGAATTGTCTACTGTACCTCAATAACTGGATCTTCTGCATATTTCTTCAATAACTCTAAGACTTTGGGATTTCCAATGGCTCCCAACGCTTCTCCTAGAAATTAAAACAGAATTAATATGAGTTGAAGAAAAAATGCAATAAGCAAGAAATTATCTCTTTGTAATCTTTACCTGCTTCATGTCTGACCATTGGCTCTTGGTTTGTGTCTTTCAGGACTGCCTCTAGGGTAGGAATGGCGCTCTCGTCTTGCATTTGTCCAAGGCAGTACGCCAGCTCATGCTTCAAAAGTGCAGATTCATCCACAAAAGCTTCACTGATCCACTTCACGGCCTCTGCTCCTCCGAGGTTACGGAGAGTGAAAAGAGCTCTAAAGCGTGTTGTCAAGTCCTGCTTTGTGTTGACCAGGATGCTCCCCACCGCAGCAATATCCTTATCGTTCGCCATGAGGAAGGTTTGGTGAATGTTCTTATGTGCAGGTTAAACAGGGAGCAGCAGACATACACAACCTGGATTTACAAGCAACAACAAAGTCAACTTAGTGATAAATGAAAGTGTTGATCATATGATGATTCAGAGTCATCTGAGCTGACTATCTAGACAGCATTTTGCAATAAATGTGCAATAATATGTGATTGGTCAACCATTTACCAGAACAAGGAAAGCAGTTACTAGTTCACACTTAGTAAATTTATTTTGATAACAAAGCAACTGCACTAGAACTGTGTTCATCATTTGGATACGTGTGAAACAGTCATAAACTTTCATTGTGCTAAATAACATTAAACAATAAAAAAGAACTAAACCTATATTCTTATTCAATCCAAAAGAGAACTGAACTAGTGTGTAATGTCTCCAATTTTCTAACAAAATGCATCATTTTATGTCTAATGACTCAGCTTAATCTTTTTCATTTAGAAGGTTGTTTGCATCTAGAATAAACTGGTACAAAGGGGGAATTGAGGTCATGTTGGTTTTTATATTTGCACTTTTATTCAGTGACAACTTGTAATATAAGGCCTGAAGCTACATGGGGGTTTGAGTGGTTCCGAAGACCCTGGCCTCAGTGATAAAGGTCCAGAATTTGTCCCACTTGTGAATTCATTTGCCTGCTATGCCGTCATAAATTGTGAAAATAACCCATCGAAAAGGCTTTAAGACCAAGCAGAATCCTGGTGTGACTTCAGTTAATCAGTTTTGTTCAATGCAAACTATTATTTTTCAAGAGACCAACATCCAGCTGTGCATGAAAACATCTGATGTAAGGGAAGTCATCTTTCACTGTTTTTAAAGAGAAAACATCTGACTTTTATTTTTATAAAATGTAAAGCACCAAAAGCGACCCATGTTAAAATAAATTGAAATACTATTTTGGCAATTGTTGTCATCCAAGAATTTTCTAATGTACTTTTTTTTTTTACAAAAAGGCTAGAAAAATTGTGACGCTCTAAATTATTGTATTTTGATTTTTTGTTATACAAATTCTAGCTGAAAAAAGTCATGAATGTGCTGGCTAGTTTGTTATTTGCCTAATAAATTACATTAGTCTACAGTTTTTAATTTACAACTTTTCTCTAATGATACATAGTTTCAATAATAAATTTATACTTTAAAAACAAATAATTACCATATTTATTTATTCTAAATATTTGGGATATATTTTTGATTCTCCAAAAAGTGTGCTAATGATGACCATCTGACAAGCTAATCCAGCTAAAAATAGTGCTTTAGAACGTCACCTAAATGCAGCAGTTAAATCTTATAATTAAATAGAAAATTAAGTGAATGACTGCAAAAAGGTCCACTTTTAGAGAAAAAAACACCCCCTTCAACAGGCTGGCTACGGGCATGGATATGCTCCCCTATATTGTAAACCATGGTACTTTGAAAATTCAGTCTAATCATATGCAAGTATGACTTGAAAACTACAATAGCGCACAGTTTATTTGTCATTGGTTGCTACTATGATTTCTTTGATCAGCGTTTGAAAAAAATGTTTATCAAGGAGCAAGAATGTATAAATTTAAAATCAACTTTACATCAATAAAACACCATTTAGTCCGAAATAAGAGCTGGATGTGCATTCATTCATGCAAGCTTTTCTCCAACTTAACAGTTCTTTCGCTCGTTCATTAATATCGTAGATTAGACCAATACAAAACTACATTTTATTCTCGTGTCTATAATACATTGAGCATGGTCAATATTGACTCAGTATTATTTTACACGCACTCGTTGTTTTATCATTTAAAGGCCTGAGCACTGTAGCAGCAGCAGCACACGCGTCACTCGGTTTCACTGTCTGCTCAGTTTAAACGCCACAGGCAGCCGGAATATGAACATTACAATGATGCTGGCAGAATTAAAATTGTCACTCGCTACAGTCGCTGAACTGTACGTGTTATGAACTTACTACAAATTAGTTTTCTTCAGTCATATGGAGCTCTCCATCATCCAACTTCTCATGCTGTCCACTCAAGAAGAAACCGCTTCACTTGTGTAACCCAAAAGTGAGAATTAGAGAAGCGCCACCTATTGGACTGGAGCAATTAAAGCAAATTAACACCGATTCAAATACCGGAAAGTGGATCGCAACATTTTTTTTTTACACAATATTGTTTAATAATTATACTAATAGTCAATGAAATAATATAATTGATTTACATTTAAACAGCTTTTTAATTTAGATATATTAAAAATTATGATGTAAATAAAGTTTTCCTGTTTTGAGGCTGCCAGAGGATTAATGTTGTGTATTGAAACTTTCAGTCTCTGACGTTACATGTGACCTCTTCTGTTATGAAGAAAAAAGCACAGTAAACAACACAGTAATGGTAATAATTCAAATGTTGAAATAATTTTCTAATATTTCAAATATGCATTGTATTATTGTTTCCAAAAAACAAAGCACAAAGTTTAAAGTGTTTTCACACTTGGAAGTTTTGGTTTTATTAAAATGTACTTTGAGATTGCTCTTATTGCAGTTCATTTCTGTAAGTCTGCACTCAACAAGCAGACCTGACCAGAACCTGTGAAGAAATGGGCCTCAGTCTGCTTCTGAAACAAACTTACATTTCTTTTCTCATATCATAGTGAAGTGGCTGCTCATTATAGTTTAACATAAGCATCATAAACTTGTTTTAGCAGATTTTCAACCTTTAGACATGTTAGTAGAATTAAAAAATAAGTTTCGCATAAGCAAACGGGCAAAGTTACTTTTGAAAGTATTGCGCTACAATAATGAGGTACTCCACCAAAAAAGTAACTAGTTGCTTTTTATGATAGGAAATGTTTACTTTCTAGTTACTTTTTCTGACCTGGCTGAGGCTTGATCCTTTTCAGAACTTGCATGTTTTTTAAATAGAGCAGTTCTGAAATTAACAAAACACTGTATAACCTAAAATTAATTTACCTTTAAAAAAAAAACACATAAACCAAATTAATGTACACTTTCAGAAATAAAGTAATAAAGGTACAGGAGCTGTCTCTGTGGCAGTACCTTTTCAAAGGGTACAAATTTGTACTTAAATGGTCCACAATGGTACCTCAAAGGTACTTTTTAGGTATATTTGGGTACTGACATGCACCTTTAAGGTACCATTGTGGACTCTTTGGGTACAAATATTTATATTTTAAAATGGTACTGCCACAGAGACTCCTGTACCTTTATTTCTGAGAGTGTAGAATAATGTTATCTTTGGAGAACTTCCTGACCCCAGAGCTATACATGCCGTATATACAGGTTAATAAAATTTAAAGCAAAGTGCTTGCTACTTTTGTACTTTTTGTCTTATAAGCTCAGTAAAATCACTGTCCAGTCAAATAATCCTCTTTTTCTTTTCTTTCTTGTGTTCAAAATAATGAGAATATTTCCATCACAGAAAGACTCTGCCATCTTCATTTCTGTCTGTTCCCGCATTCTCTCATTGCATGTGATTCAATGTGACTGTTCATTTTATATCAGCAATTTAATTTTTTAAAAGCGTATTACCTAAACTAAAAAGTAACTTTTCTAACTCACGCTAATTTTTTTAAAAAGTAAAATGTAATGCTTTGCTTTACTTGTTACTTAGAAAAGTAATATTACGTAACTCGCGTTACTTGTAATGCGTTTCCTCCAACACTAGTCATAAGTATATGTCACTGTTAAATACATGTCACAGAAGCTGATAAGTTTGATGATGAACCAGAACAAAATGTGTCATTTTCTTTGTTTAGAAATCAGAGAACCTGATTAACCTGATGTTATAGCAGGCAATCTAACATGATCTAGGATTGCTTGGTGTTTTGTAGCTCATCCTGGGATTGTTGTCATGGCAGCAGGCCTGTAAGCTCAAATATGTGTGGGAGAAAAATTACTTTAGGCGAAAACAAAGAAAGATTGTAAAAAATTTCAACTTCAAGAAAAGGTGATACTGACAGTCAGTAGCTAACACTGATATTTTCTGATTATCCTATTGAATTGGAGAAAATAATGAAAGATAATTCATAAAATGAGATGCTGATTTAAATACATGTTTAAATATAAATGTATAGCTTTCCTAATGCCATTTGAGAGTATTAAAAAGCAGCTATAATGAGGCTAATAAAATGAACAGTCTAACACCAGCTATGTTGTTCCAGCACTGTCCACTTGAGGAGGCTCTGGCACAGGCAGAACCGGGCTGCTTGTTGGGGACTGATCAAATGTTTGGCTCTGCTGCTGCTGCTCAAAATAACTACAGACTACAGAACGTACGGCCTCAGCATTAGGATCATCTATATATACCGTAGACACATCTTTGGGCTGTGGACATTCATTCTGACTCAGTGCTTCAACCCACTCGTCTTTAAACGGGCTGTCGTGAACACTACAGATATTGTGTAATATACAGCAAGCTACAGCCATCTTGGACACCAAATCGACGTTGTTGTCATTTCTGTTGTGCAGACACTGCCAGCGTGCTTTGAGGCGCTGGAAAGCTTGCTCGATGACTTTAAGGCCGAGGTTGAGTTTGACGTTGAAGGTTTGCTGTTGTGGGGTTAGATTGGATGAAGATGGATAACATTTCAGTAACCAATTCTGAAGAGAAAACCCCACATCCCCCAACAACAGAAACCCCAACGGGCGTCCCATGAGTTCTTTGGGCGGCTGAGAGCAAAAACCTCCCTTCTCTGCCATAGTCCACAGTTCTGAGCTCTGCAAGATGGTCATATCATCTGTGCTGCCTGTAAAACCAGAACACACGTCCCAGAAATTACCATGAGCGTTCACCACCCCTTGGAGAACCACAGAGTGCCACCCGCTTGGGTTCCAGCAGTCCTGGCTCTCCGCGGCAGGCAGGTTAACTGGGATGTGAAGGGAATCGATGACGCCGATGCAATGAGGAAAACCCCACAAGCTACGAAACTGCTCCACATTGTCCTCTAGTTCATGTTGTGCTGGTAGTTGCATGTAGATGGGTTTTAATAACAAAATGATGGCTTCACACACCTCCCGCACACACTGACACACAGCAGGGATTGGCACCCCAAATAGTTCGCTTAAAAAGCAGTACTCTGTGCTGGTGGACAAACGCATTAAGGCCATGGCTATGCATTTCTCCAATGTTATGGTTTGTTGGGTTTGCTGTATGTACACTTGCTCCAGCTGAGGCTTGAGTTTCGTGCTCAGGAGGAGGAAGATTTCTCTTGTGACGTGGAACTTGTCAAGCCAGTCTTCCGGTCCAAACTCAGTCATTACCACTCTTTCCCACCAGTCTGGGTCTGAAGGGATTGGGACATGATTTGGCAAATCTTCTTCAGTCGGTGATGGAGACTGGATTATACGGAGAGGCAACAATAAATTACATTACATACATGCATTTTTGAGGAGTTATTCTGTAAAGCTTCAATATAATTTATTAACATTTTATTTTCTTCACATTCCTGTGCACAATAAAGAGTTACTTCAGTAGAGTCAAGTCTTGGAAATTAATGTAAACATTCACAGAAATGTGGTTTACCGTTCTCGTGCTCAGGTAATTCTGGAAAAGATGCCTTCGATATCGGATTCTTTTGTGAATTTCTGCTCGCCTTTCTAATATGTAGTTGCGGATTTCTTCTTTTCGGCGGCGAATTTTGGATGCAAGCAAGTATTTCATCTCTGCGGCATCTCTCGCCTCGTCCGTTTTCAAATACGAACGTGGCATTTTGTGTGGAAGGTGTAAATACTTTACACAGTAAAACGGTTTATTCGTGATTTAAAAAGGACTGATCATAGTCAAAGAGGATAGCACCATGATCATCACTCACATAACATTGCAACTGTGAACTAACTTAATAAGGAGCGCCACTTCCGGTTTCCCAAAGTTTTAACAAAATAAAAGTATTTATTTTAAAACAATGGTACATGTTTACTGTTATTATTATCATCATTATTAGTATTAGTAGTATTTGTTCATTTGTTTTTACCTATATTTAAATAATTTCTTCTCCTATATTCTGTCTTAATTGAACCAGTTACACTAGTAACGTAAACAGTGGATTTAGTTATAGATCAATAGATGTTATTACTTCAGTACTATTATGTATTAGTGTTCATTTACAAAGAAATAATAAAAATACTCTAGATGATATATATATATATATATATATATATATATATATATATATATATATATATATATATATATATATACTTTATAAAACAGTTTTAAAATGACAGTACAACATGAGTACACGTCAGGCGTCATGAATTGAATCTCATCTCAGTAATTCTTTATCATAATGTGCAAAATTTTACATTTTTTTACAAATAAATTCAATTCAAACATATATAATTTAATGGATTTTTTTCGTACAGAATAATGTACCAATCTTCGCAATTAAAAAAGAAATACGTCAACGTTTTTGTTTTGTTTCAAATTTCGTGACGTCACCGTTTAACTCAGTCCCATGATTCCTTGCGGAGCCATCGACAACAACAGCTTCGTCTTGCTAACAACATCGAAGCGGCGAATAAAACATTATTAATCACATATTTCCCATTTCACCCCAAGATTTACAGTCGTCGGTTTTGCTTCGATCGAGGTTGAGCCGATCAGATTAGAAATTCGCCGAATAGCGTTGTCAAGGTAGGTCCGATGACCGTGAGATCAAATTAGCCTTACTAGCCGCACAGTAATCCATTGCAAAACACCAAGATAATTAGAGCCAGGGCGTATAAACGCTAAATATTTAGTTGTTTATTTCATGTATATACAGAGTTTTGTTTAATTTTATATGCAATAAAACGAATTTTCTGCGTTAAATGACACCAATGTTGATAATTAGCTTTGTTGACAAAGGAATCTCGTAAATCTGCATTCAATGCTAAGAATGAATGTGGGACAGTTGCTTTTTGGCTTTACGTTGGTTATTTGTTTTAACGTCACCCGTTATTGAATAAGCATTTAACGTCCTCGTGTTGCAGTTTTAAAATATATATATCAGCAGATTTGCTGTCATTGTTGGTTTAGTCTACAAAGGATTGTATCAAAAGCGCTTTGTTTCTTATTAAATCGTCGTGAAGTGGCAACTGCAGCATATTCTTGTTTTGTGTTGCTATTGTTTGGAGGATGTCGATTGAGCAGCTGTTCACTAACACCTGTTTATGTGGCATTGAACAGATGGCATCTGCTGACGAGACTTACACCCTTCTGCCTCGTTAATCAGCAAACAAATGACCATACTTCAAGTGTAGACCTTTAACTATTCATGTACATCATCATGACCTTCTAAAATTGTATCTTCTATATTCTAAAAATGTGTTGTTTTCCCTGCAGTTCAGGCACCCCTGGATCTCCACTTTTCCATATTTTAGAATAACATCCATGGATCAGGACTATGAGCGCCGGTTACTGCGGCAGATCAACGTCCAAAATGACAACACCAGCCCTATGGTTAGTCTGTCATCTGGAATACTGCAAACTTGAATTAATTTGATGACCTAGATGTTTTTTGGTTACTCAAATATTTTAATTCTGTCCTCATTTACATTGCGATTCCATGCAAATGTCAACCATGCCATGAAAAAAAAAGTTTTCACCAAATTAGTGAAACCCTTTCTGGGTTTTTTGTGTTAGCTTGAATTTTTACAGTACTGTAACATACTAAAAAATGTTTCTGTCAATGTTTTCAAACTATTATATTTGATTTATCAAAGTCACAAAAGTGGCAATTTCACATCTATAATGAAGATTTTTCCTCATAAATGCAAAAAATGTAATAATTATTTTAATAAATAATTTTGTTCTATAGTGAGCCAATTTTCATCCTTTTGATTAGCATTATTTCTTTTGTTTTTGTGCAGTTTCATTCACAGAATTTTTACAAAGTATATTATATACGTTAAACACACATACTTCTTTGGTCACAATCATAACGCATGTTTTTTTTTTTTTTCCCTCATTTAAAATATTAAGTATGTCTACAGATTCATATTTTTCTGATCCCATAACTCTGTGGTTAGTTTATTTGGGAAATATAAATTGATGTTTCAATGTCATGTTACCAAATATAATATTATAAAACTATAGTTTGCAAATTCTAAATCATACTAGCAGCCAACGAATGTCAAATTACAACTTTGTTCACAGTTAAATAAATAGTGCTAATGTTGTTTTGAGTCATACTTGCATGTGATTTCAGACCAAATATTCAAAGCACCATGATATACGGAGCATGTCACAGGCTGTCATTTAACGAATGTGTAAATATAAAACCAATTTATCCTCAGTCATTGTTTTTCCTACTATGGAATTCAATGGTTACATGTTTTCAGCTTTCTTTAAAATACATGTATTGGTGTTTAACTGAAGCTCAAAGGTTTGGAACCACAGGAAGCTGCTTAAATTAAGGCTGGTTGAAAAATTCAATCTCCAGGGTTTTGGCAGGGTCTTAAAGTTTTAAAATGTCTTAAATCTTAGAAGCTAATTATTTTCCATATGTAACTATAAAGATGTATATTTCTATATAAGTTGTTAATGCTTCCAGATTTAAAAGAGTAACTTATGACACAAAAATTAGAGGGTCCATTAAATGGCATAACATATTTTCGGTTGTTAATTTTCAGTGCCTGAAAATTTGGTACATATCTAATTTCAGCACAATTTTAGATTCCCATTGTTGCATATTTCTGCTGTGTGATTGGCTCTTAGATCAATATAGAGTAAAAAAGTCCAGAGCTTATTGTTATTGACGTAAATGTTACCGCAATTTGATATAATATAGTTTATTGGCCCAGCCCTAGCATAAATAGTGCGTTAATTACTTATCAGTTATACTATCAGTTTTAATATTTTTACCTATTTTCTGACCAATAAATTTATCTGATTACTTCTTTTTTTTGTATACAGAAAGCAAAAGATGTGATCTGTCACCTGACCCCGACACCTGAGTCACCATTGTCATCGCCAAGCAAACATGGGGACAGATTTATACCATCCCGAGCTGGGGCCAACTGGAGCATCAATTTCCACAGAATAAATGTAGGTGGAATATATGAAAATATTAGCAGTGGTGCTAAAAACATTTAGTAGAAAAGCATCAAGTTAATGTTTTTTTTTTTTTTTTTGCCCTCATTACAGGAGAATGAAAAGTCGCCAAGCCAGAATAAAAAAACCAAAGATGCAACATCAGATAGTGGAAAAGGTGAGCCTAGAAAAGTACCCTGTTCATTTCCTCTTTCTTTATAAATCTAATCACAAATGACAAAAGTCAGTTTAGAAGATAAGTTTTCCTTTAGTCTTATCACTTTATGAGAAATGTGCATAACATCAAAGACCATTATTATTGCTGTGCATTGTGTTATTTTACAAGTGTGTCATTTTTTTCTTATGATTTAAGAAAATATATATTAAAGGTTAAATGTTTTTGTTTATTTTGTCTGATTTAGATATACAGCTTTTGTTAATTTTTTAAATGCAGTAATGTATTTGAGTAAAAAAACTAATGATAACATTTATTATAACATTTTTAGATACATTTTTCTGAAATTCATTTTTTTTAAGAATTCATTATTTTGTGGAATACAGGTATTTGCACACTGAAGTCCAAAATATTCGCATGCATTTTTTTGTATTCATTTGTGAAAAATTTGTCATGTAAACAAACCTTGCACACTGAGTCCGATGCGTATTAATTAATCCGTTATGAAAAAACACAAAACTTTTTGGCGTCAGTTCAAGAAGTGATGCTTTGTTTCCCGACTTCTCCAAAGTTGAAAAAGAAAAGTTATTGGCTGCATATTGTGTTCATTCAATACTGCATAGAGAGGAAGGAGAGTTCAGCTTATTATCAAAGAGCTGCGTTATGATTATCCCAAAATGCAAAAGTTTTTTTTAGCAAATCAGTTAAATTTTAATACATTGCTTGTGATATTTCACATATTACATACGTAAATAAATCTTGAACAGAGTCTGGCTGTACCTGTTCACTTGTTAAGTGTGACGTCACGTGAAGCGGCTTCTGGGTCCAAGCACTCTATCAAACTCTATGGGAGACTTATCAAATGGTAATAATAAACATTTACAAAGGGCTGTTATGAATATTTTTTCAATTCAAATGAGTAGCGGCTTGTACCTGGAAGCATTATTCCATATGTCACGACTTAACAAGCGGATAGACATTAGAATAGATGGTGGCCGCGTTGACATTTTGCTTGTACTGTAGCTCTGAACTGTCAAAACACTGGTTAATGATGGACAAATGTTTTGGTGGCAGTGTGTCAATACGATTTACACAATATAAGGTTGACTATCATCTTCATGCCAACAACAAATTAGGGATGCACCGATACCATTTTTTAAAAACTGATCCAATCCCGATACCAAAATTCTGAGTATCAACCGATACAGAATGAATCTTGATACTGTGCGTTTTTTTTTGTGTGTGTGTTTTTTTTTTTTTTTTTTAAACTTTATTCGAGCATTCATTATGACATTGATCTGTTCTGGTCCAGCTTATGTTTCTTTTTCAAGATTGAGATTTCTTTGACATATGTACTAGGCTACCACTATTGACCCTAATCATTGGTAAAATATCCAGCCTTTTAGCATCGCCTGATATTTTCCTGCAGGTTTGACGCAGACTAAACTAAACTGTCTGAGGCAAGTTTTACTTAATAAACGTTCCCTTTTCTGTTAATGACAATCCACACTGCGCTTGTCAGTTTCACTTTTATTAATATAATCAACTACTTTGACCGCAATGAGCCAGGCTTTACAAACTATTCGCAGCAGTGAAAGAATAATAAGAGAATGGTTTTATGGAGCAGTGCACATCTGTCTGCGCAGCCGGTGCGTGAATGAAGCACTTGATGCATCAGTGAGCGACATCGTGCAGCCCTTTAGTGTCTGTGGACACTTTCTAAGCAGCATAAAGGGAAGAAATCAGTGTTGAGGACCTGTCCAATGTATTAATGAGGCTTTTTTAATTTAAAGTTTCAGGTAGGCCTACTTTGTCTGTGAAGAGCAGGTAATAATAATAATAATTTGAATTGTGAATGAACGGAGAATGATTGACAAGCACAGCAGCGGGAAGCGCTGAACTGAATATGAATTTAAACACTTGAATATTCCTCTTTACTTCACATTAAACTGTAGAATGGCTTCAGAACATTTGGGACATAGTAGGTCTACATGACAACTTTCTAGTGCCTTATAATAGGCTACCTACATGGCTTTTGTTGGCTTATAAATTACACAGAATGTAGCGCAAGATCGGATTTGGATTGGTACCAGCTGGCTGATACCCGCTCCAGCAAAAATATGCGGTAGCAAACCAATATCTGATCCAAATATTGGGATCGGTGCATCCCTATTTTAAATAGAGCATCAACAAAAATAAAAATGCAATGAGAAATGGTCTCTGCTTTAAATGAACTGCGTTTTTGATTGTTTGTATTTTCATAATATACTCAATCATTTTGTTGTTTGGCAGCGGACGGGTTGGCGTATTCTGCTCTCCTGAAGAACGAGTTGCTCGGAGCAGGCATTGAGAAGGTTCTGGATCCTCAAACAGAAGATAGAAGACTACAGCCCTCCACACCCGAGCGGAGAAGCCTCTTTAGTGTAAGCATCTTTTCTTTATCCTGGGATTTGTTTATTTGAGTGCTCTTAATTCGAACAGTGCACTTTGTTTGTATGTTTAGTATTCGCTCAGTGCCAAAAGATCCACGCCCGATGATAACAGTGTTTCACCGTACTCCCTCTCCCCTGTTAGCAGCAAAAGGTAAGTTGACTCTTATCTGAAAAAAAGGGGAAATGAATTGTATTAATCAATATTTCTGAGTTCCATATCTGATAAGGGTTGGAATTTGGGTCGGTATAAACACAAAAAATTGGCTCAGATCAGATTTTTTTTTTTTACCTCATACATTTCCAAATGTGTTTTTTTTTTTTAGATCAGGTACATGCTTGTAATCTGGACATCTAAATGTTCATATAAGATTCTCTTTTATACTGTTATTCATTTCCTACCTTTTAATTGTACAGATCTGTACAGTGTAACAGCATATGCCTTTCTCCTTGATCCTTAAACAAGCACTTTCTCACTATTAGGGCTGTCAGAGAATTGTGAAATCAAGAATATTACATCTATAAGCAATTAATTAGTAAAAGTATACAAAAGTAAAAAATTGGTAATGCATGCAGGTCAGAGTTCAGTCAGAGTTTACAGATTATATATTATAGTTGTATAAAAGTGACTACAAGAGAACATCTTGTATGTTTTATATATATATATATATATATATATATATATATATATATATATATATATATATATATATATATATATATATATATATATATATATATAAAATACTTTAATAGCCATTAAGCAATATTCTGGAATGTTATAGTATAGCTGCAAAAATTAAAACACAAATGAAAACTCCTCTAAGCATGTGCAATATTTCATGTGATTTCGAAAGTGTACAAATCGGATATGGGTCATAACTGAATGAGTTTGAATGAGAAATGCCTAGTCTTAATATTCCTTACATTTCACAAATAACTTTAGGCCTTAAAAAGTCTTAAATTAGCTGAAATATTGTTTTTGTAGATCTTAAATCATTTTAAGCAGGTCTTTATTTTGTAAAGCTACCTAATCGGGCCAACACCCATCCAATCCCTAACATTTCATCTTAATAAAAAGTTTCATTTCCAGTGTTGGGTTTCAGCTGGAAGGGCATCTGCTGCGTAAAACATATGCTGGATAAGTTAGTGGTTCATTCTGCTGTGGCGACCCCAGATTTATAAAGAGACTAAGCTAAAAAGAATATTAATGAATGAATACAAAATTAAAATATACAAAATTAACAAAAGTTTATTTATTAACACTATCAATATGGTTTAATTATCTTCCTTACAATAACATTTGTTTTTATGGTTTTAATAATGTTTTTAACTAGGACATTAGAAAAAATCCTTAGTGTTTAGCCTTGTTTAAGTCCGAAATTTCATTCATAATAGTCTAAAAAAGTCTTAAATTTGTTCCACTTTTTTTTTTTATCACATCCCATTTTTATATTCTACCAAAAAAAATTTAAATGATTATTGTTTTATTTAAAACTTATCCTTATTATTCCAACATATCCATAGAACTTTTAAGTGCTTTCCTAATTTTTCCTACAGCTATAAAAGTGCATTTTTACATATATACACTAGTCAACATTTTTAGCTGAAAGTTGTCCTAAAACAACTCTGGTGTGAACCAGGCATAAAAAACAGTGTAATGTTCAACACACAAACGCAAAGAGAACCTCAGTATAGCATCGATCACTCTAGATTACTCACAGGACGCTTTTGTGTTTTTCCTCCTGCAAATTTTCCATCCAATTTGACTTGTTAATTTTAACTTGTGTGGGAGTCATGATTGTGGCAGATTCCATATATTTGCGGCAAATGTGCCAGGCATTTCACATCATTCTTGTTGCCTGGCAGAAATTTGTCTCTATTAGCGCATATGCATTGACTTTTTATGTAGTATACTCATGCGAATATTAAATTAGCATTTGGTGTAAATCCAGAGTTAGGACAATTTTTTTATTAGCTTCTCTATTTCTTTTTTTATTATATTGACTGCTACTGTATATACAAGTAAAAAGCATTATTTTAATCGGTTACTGTTTTTCTTTACAGTCAGAAGCTTCTCCGGTCACCAAGAAAACCAACACGCAAAATATCTAAGATTCCGTTTAAGGTGCTTGATGCACCAGAGCTACAGGACGACTTCTACCTCAACTTAGTGGACTGGTCCTCTTTAAATGTTCTCAGTGTGGGACTGGGAACATGTGTTTACTTATGGAGTGCCTGCACCAGTCAAGTATGAATGATAAATAGTTATATTCAACTGGTTTCTATCAAAATAAATCAAATTGCGTGTTTGATAAGTGTATTCTAGTATTTAAGGAAAACATTTCTTTGTTTTGTCTGTAGGTGACGCGGCTATGTGACCTATCAGTGGAGGGCGATTCCGTCACGTCTGTGGGCTGGTCAGAGAGGGTGGGTTAAAGTTTTGTGACATTTATTATTTGTTAGATTTTTATTTTAGAAATATATAAAGTCTTTTCCTGGGTTTTGGGATCTGACAGATTTCTGCACTGCTTTTCTTATAGGGAAATCTTGTCGCTGTGGGAACACACAAAGGCTTTGTACAAATTTGGGATGCCACGGCTGGCAAAAAACTGTTTGCCTTGGAGGGACACACTGCAAGAGTTGGTAAGAGTTTTTAAGGAAACAATTGAATCATTTAAGCTACAAGATAATTTGTTTACATTTATTGGTTAAACTGTAGTTATTAAAAAAAAAATAATTTAAAGAATCTTTAAATTCATTAGTGACATTAAAGACTTGCGTTATTTTGCTAAAATCAATGTAGAAATGGATTATCTTACCTTTTTTATGCAGAGAAACCTAAATAGAAGCATAACCATTTTCACCATTTATAGTAATAAATGTTGCTGGACCGGATTACTGATTGGCTCATGCTGAGTTAAAAAATCACCTTGGATTTCATAAGTATAAATTACACTTTACAATATATTAAGAGGGAACTATTAAAAGTTTCTCTTTAGGTTATTGTTGGAAATGTATATACCGTGAGACTTTTATCGGGCGATTAAAGGTGTTTCCATCGCAGTTTATTTGCATTTTTTCCTATCAAACAAAAAATTTATCCTACTCAGTTATGCGCTTGTTTCAAAATTATGCGCATTATGGCGTTTTCATCAACCACTTTTTTATGAGCATATGGAAAATGCACATTAAAATAGGTTGATGGAAACATAGCTACTGACTACTAAAGGAAACACAACTAAAGGAAAGTCGACAGTCAAATTTTTTATTTCCTGGCTATTGTCTTTCATATTCTTATCTCACTGTGTGACTCAAAGGCATACGTGGTTCTAAAAACTCTTCCCTCAGGTGCATTAGCATGGAATGCAGATCAGTTGTCATCAGGCAGTCGTGATAGGATGATCCTCCAGAGAGATATCAGGACTCCTCCTCTGCAGTCAGAGCGCAGGCTGCAGGGCCACAGACAGGAGGTCTGCGGACTCAAGTGGAGCACTGACCATCAGCTGCTCGCCTCTGGGGGAAATGACAATAAGGTGACCACTTAAACTTAACCATCATGAACACTCAACTTGGAACCATTTGGATCCTCTAATGTAAAAATCACAAGTAAACATTTAAAGTAATGTATACAAATGTGTCATATGAAAAATATGAACGATAGATGGATGAATGTGTGTGTGTGTATATATATATATATATATATATATATATATATATATATATCACGGGATCACACGGGTTCAACCGAGCATACCAGTTGCAAAAAAAGACTGGTTGCAATAGCAAACATGTCATGTTGTGCGGAAGGATGCCAAAAATGAAAGTCCAAAAATAGAAAACGTACATTTTACTGTACACTACACTGCTTTCAATGCCAGCCGCAGACGTCTTTGGTTAACAGCCATCGTAAGAGCTGAATGGAGTAAGTACCTAATTAAAAATGCTCGACCCTGCAGTTCTCATTTCATATGAAGCAAGTTATGCTGAATCATGCATATTTCAGCTGATTCATGCATATTGCTGAATTGATCGCAGCAATGATTTCAGCAAAAACAGTTAAATATGGTTAATTAAACTGCGGACATGGAATGTGAAAGTGTAAGTTCACACACCCTGTCATACAGGTGCAGTTCGCTGTCAGAATGCAGTTTTACTTGTTGATGATTACCCAGGCCTTGTGCAGTTTTGTCTTCTTTTCTTGTCTTTGGCTAGGCAGAACCTCAGTTTTTAACACTACAAAGTTTTAAATCTGGTAATCATGGAGCATTATTTATTGCACATGACCACACAGAACAACATTGTAGGCATCCAAAGACTTTTAGGCCTTTAACTTCTCTCTTGTGAAATCAGTTGGAGTTTCAATGAAATAGTTGTGTATTTCAGGCTGGATGCTCGGTCATTTCGTCTTATGCAATATCCATTGGGAGGGTACTATTGCAAATAGACCTGTCAGACAAACTCCGCTCACTTTAACGTTACTTTTGCCGAATAACTGTGCTTATCACTGGGTGACAAGCTGTTATAATACGCTGAAAGCATTATGTAAATAATATAAATAATCAATATAACTTATACAACAACAAACTGTACGTATCGGATGTCATTTCCTTGCTGTGAAGGCTAGTGCTTCTGGTTTTTCTGCAACCTCGATGCACAAGCATCCTGAATGTTTACAAACCAGTTATTTGTCTATAGAGACAAAACGGTTATTTAGCTGACTGTAAGCATTGCTGTTCTCTTTGCAGCTGTTAGTGTGGAATCACTCAAGTGTGTTACCGATGCAGCAGTACACTGAACACTTGGCAGCAGTGAAGGCCATCGCCTGGTCTCCTCATCAACACGGGCTACTGGCGTCTGGAGGGGGAACGGCGGACCGCTGCATTCGCTTTTGGAACACTCTCACAGCACAGCCACTGCAGTGTATCGACACCGGCTCTCAAGTCTGCAATCTGGCCTGGTCGAAACACACCAATGAACTGGTGCGCTCATTCTGAATAGTCTGGATGAGGATTACATACATGTATTATATTTACATGCACAACGTCTTACATGATCCAATGTCTGTCTTCTGCAGGTCAGCACACACGGTTACTCTCAGAATCAGATCCTGGTGTGGAAATATCCCTCACTCACTCAAGTAGCCAAACTGACCGGCCACTCTTATAGGGTGCTTTATCTGGTAAGATCTCTCGCTGATTTGTTTCAAGAGTGCATAAGTCGGGTTTCAGTCATACGAACTCTTAGGCCCAATCCCAATTCTATTTTTGTACCCAATTTAAAAATGCATCCCTAAGAAATGGGACACCACTACAGCACCTGCACACGTCATCATATGACAGCGTGAGCTCTTGCTTTATATGAGATCGCTCTACGATTGCGACTGCTGTAGTTATTCCAGGTGTGTTATTTTTGGGTATTTATCTTCAGGAAATCACTGAAGCCAACAATATCATGTTATCATACCCATATAATGTGGCAATAAGCTTGTAACTGTACTGTGTATTTACACAGTGGCCATTTTCATTAATGTAAATACAAGAAAACAATATTAACATTACACCAGACACTGTAAAAAGCTCATTCTCCATCACTAGACTTTTTTGACAGGGTATTCGGGTGTCATCGAGTGTCAGTATGTTGTGGAACTGCTAAACAGGAGTATAATTATAAATGATAAATTCCTATAATTAGGGATTACATATAGCGAAATTGAGCAGTTTTTATTTTAGTGTTTTTTTTAAAAAGCACGACGTTAAAACATGAGCGTGGTTATGAATGTATTACAACGTGTTTGTTTGTCGTTAAAATTTGTAATAGTGACAAAAAAATACTAATTTGTCCATCTCCTTAATTCCGGCTGCAGCTGTTGTGGCTGGTGTATTCTGGAAATTTTCTTACCTCTTGGGTTCAAATGTGGTCCTAAAAATCTATCAAGGGCTATCTAGCGCTACACCTTAAAGATAAAGAAAATTGGGCTGCATGATATATCATTTCAGCATTGATATCGCAACGTGATCATTCGCAATAGTCACATCACAGGATCTGCAATGTTGAGTTTGTATTATAATTAAAAATTTGCAGTTTTTTAAATGCCTGTTACTGTAAAATGTCTTTAAAAAGCATTTAAGTGTAAGAAATTGTACCTTTTTTGAGCATAACTAGGATTAATTTTATTGAATTATTTGTATTTTTATCATTCAGTTACTGTACTTGAATACTATTAAATATTAGATGGGGATGCGATAAATACTTTATTTCAATTTTATCTTTTTATTAATTGTATTTATAGAATTTTATGCATGAAAATACTTACAACACATACAAATACAGGAACGCACAAATAGCACAGACCACATCAAAAATGTGTCTGGGGACCCAAAAATGTATAGATTGTTATTATATTTTATGGAGATGCACTTACCCACTGCAGAATCATCACAGACAATCTAACATTATAAATTCTCTCCATATAGAGATATTAAGTCATCTGTTGAAATTGTATTCATATTTTACAATATATATCACAAAATAAAAAAAAATATCGCAATATTGAATTTTCCAACATTGTGCAGCCCTAGCAGCACTGTATGCAATTGACTAATATCAGTATCAAAATCAGCTGAAGCTTTTTAAATGTTGTATTAGACAAAAAAACCTTTACGTATTTACGTAATACGTATTTATAAAATAATCACTATATTAGTCATATTGCTGTAGAAGATGACACAAAACATTGAATGACATAAACAAGTGTGTCTCCATATGCTCACAAATCATTGAAATATTTGAGTAGATTCGATGGACTTCTTTTGTTGTCTGCTATGCTTCATTGGATTGTAGCTTGTTTTATCCTCCATTTTTAAAAATAGTGTATTTATGATTTGATTTTAAAGGCAATGTCTCCAGATGGAGAGGCGATAGTGACGGGAGCAGGCGATGAAACTCTGCGCTTTTGGAATGTATTTAGTAAAACACGATCAACAAAGGTATGTGTATATCATTTCTTTATTGTTAATAATCAATAAAGGTGCAGTAGGTGATTGTCTTCAGAAACATTGTTTGTTGTGCTGGTGGAAAGTCTCTACACATTTGAATAGTAATGATTAAAGTAAATGATCTAAATGTATTTATTTGTATTTTTACATTCTGGGTAAGGCATAAGACTAAAAAATGTGCGAGAGCAATAATAAAATATGCTGAATCAAAACTTAAAATCAATATTGGAGTTAGTTTTCCACGCTGGAGAAAGGACGACACTATGGCTGAAGTATTTCTTTTAGACAGGTAACGTTATACTTTAAAAGTATTTTAGTCACACAAAGCTTATGTAGATGTTTTACGAATGGGTTTTATGCACACAAGTGTTGTTCAGCCACTGAAATCTGTTTTTAGTTTCATAAGTTACCTTTTACAGCATTAATAATGTAGATTTTTATTTAGTTTAACAACAAAACATCAGTAAATATCACCATTCTGCCTAGCCTGCTTTACTGAGGTGAAGTTGGTTTTATATGCACATTGGTTTATTTTTGAACAATAAACCTGTTGTTATCCCTATATTGTTTATCATGCTACTTTGAATATTCGCTCTGAAATAGTTTGCAAGTATGGCTTAGTAACAAGTGTAATTCCTGCACGCCGCTGGCCAACCACCAAGCATGAAATATTGCACATTATGACAAGTTTTGCTTGCTACACAACTGAAAGCGTGCTAGATATAATACAGTTTTCGTTCAGAATTATAGTATAATACAATACTGTAAAGTTTTCTTACTGGTGAATGACATGATCTAGTGGGGTGGGGCGACAGAGACTGTTTCAAAGATATTATGCTAGCCAGTTAGCATTTAGGCAGATCACCTACTGCACCTTTAAACTCATGTTTCTTCATATAATAGGCTAATTCTCTCTTTTCTTCTGTTTTTCAGGAATCTGTGTCAGTTTTAAACTTGTTCACCAGAATACGATAATTGGGCTTGTAAAACAGATTGAATCTTTATAGCATATCTTCTTCTTCTTCATCATCATCAGTCGCATACAGTAGACTGGACATTAAAGATCAAGATCTACTGCTTGCTCTCTTTCTCTCTCGCTTTCATCCACACTTTGTTTTTCTCTCCCCTGACATTTCATCTTAAGTTTAAATGTTGTTTACTTTTATGTGTACAGTTCAGTTCATGATTTTATGTGTGCTTGTTTTTTTTTTTTTTCCTTTGGATACAAAGACATGTCCAAGATGTATGACGTATGTTATCCAAGCCTTAAGCCAGAAACAATGCCATTTGAATCAGGGTGTAAAGAAAAAGAAAAAAAAATTAGCCATTGTGAACAGCTGCCTCTGGAATCATTTGTAAAGCATTCTAATGAGTGATCTTTTGATTGTGAGGGTGAAAAAAATGTCTATGGAAGAAAATTCAGTTTTTAACTTGAGTTGCTTAAGATTGATATTGAGTATTATAAAGCACCCTGGATAAAAAGAAATGTCATGTTTAAGTGTCATTTGTTGAACACAGGAACTACCCACAGTGTCTTTACAGTAATGTTTTACCATTTATAGGGGGGTATGCACATTATACATGATGTACACCCGTCAAATTAAGAGTTTAACTTATGACCAAAATACTATTGCATGATAGCAAGAGTTTCTTAAAGGCATCTATGATGAAGCTGTTTGAACAGAACTGTGTGTAGGTATTGTGGTCACATTCATATTAGGGTGATAGAACCACAATAAGTCTCTTAATAAGTCTCTCAAAATTGTAACATTAAAACAGAATCCAAATTCCTCCCATTTCTCTGCAAAAGACTCATCATATATCTTGAAAAGGGGGTTAAAAAGGTGCTCTTTAAAAGTAATACTGTATTTTGTTTGTAATTGTTATTACTACAACTTTCTGTTCTATAATTTTACAGATATAAAACTAATTGAGAAACATTAAAATTACTTATACTTTAAAAAAATGTTAAATTAAGTTACATACATTGAAAATTCAATAAAAAAATCATTCTAACATTTAAAAATTAGAATAGAGTTGTAAGTAAAAATGAAATCTAGTAAATAAATATAGAAAAAGTTATACATGATAATTTGGTTTCGGTCAAATGGGTTCAGCTTACAAAAAAAGAAAAAAGTTGCACTGAGAGACTAAGGAATGCATCGTGCCTCTTAAAATAACTAATAAGGAAACCGGTCCTGACAATTGCTCTTCTGTTGCTTTTTGTTTGTCGGTGCGTTCTTTTTGTGTGTGTGTTTATGTGTGTGTGTGTCTGTGTGTCTGAGTATGTGTGAGTATATGAGTGCATGAGTGCTTCCCAGTACTGGGTTGCGGCTGGAAGGGCATCTGCTGAATAAAACATGCTGAAATAGTTGGCGGTTCATTCTGCTGTGCCACCCCCTGATAATTAGTGGACTAAGCTGAAGGAAAATTAATGCATGACAAAATTTAAAATGGCAGAAAACAAGTCATTGAACCGCTTCCTCATACCAGTGTCTATTATTGCTCATTTATTATTTTTTATTATTTGCCCAAAATATTTCTTGAACAGGGATGTACAAAGTAATAACTAGAAAACTATACTACTCACGTGGTTATTCAAAGACAAGAGAGAATTAATAAAGTATGAACGTTGTACAGATACATGTAAACTTCGCTTTATCCAGAGCTAAATCAGGACTCTTTAGTAGCAAGTCTCCACCTCTTCATCCACTGCTGGAAGGTCAGTCCTTCTCTCTGCATCTTCGGCAGCACAAACTGTGCAGGCTGATCCCACCTGCACAAACAAATCATCAGGGCATTAATAGGACTCTGTAATACTTGCAGAGTATTGTAGACATTGGAGAGAGTCTTGTCTCACCAGTGTGTGATGGCAGTCTTTACTTGTTCAGAGTGAAGCAGGCCTTGAGAGCTCTGTCTATTGATTAAAGTAAGACAATAGTAGGTCAATGCAAAAAATAAAGAAAAAGATGGTCTTATGACAAAAGCCAGATTGTGGATAAATCGTCTTTTCTTCACTTTCCTCCTGACCCCGGCATTAGGAAAGAATGTATCTGACAGTACTGTGGCTCCATGCAATTGTGAATACATTTTTTAAAAAAAATTTAATCTTGTTACTAAAGTTTTGTCTGTTATTAAAGATCATTTGACAAGTAATGAGCAACTATTATTATTATTATTATTTTCAATGTCCATCCATGAAGGAAAAAGATGCACCGATACTATTTCTTAAAGTGAACGAATACCAATGCATTTTTTTGGGATGTATTGACTTGGTGAGACCAATTACTTTATGAAGGCTTCTTTGCAATTATGAAAAACTGTAACTCAAAACTTGTAAGTGAAAACTGCAACACAAGGTTGTCAAAGTACAAACAATTTTTCAAGCATTTTTATTACTTTTTAGTTTTTGTTTTACTTATTTTTATTTTATTTTTTTATATAAAATGGTAGGGGTGTAAACGATCACGATTGATACGAGATTCGAACAGATCACAACACACAGTTCGCAACACCCGTGGATTAAGCTAATATATTTTTTGTACTTATAGATTAATCCTAAATTTGTTATGATCACAATGAGATCACCTCTTGCATCATTCACACCACATGTATGAAAGCATTTAGACTTTCCTGTAAATAATGATGGTAGAAGAGGCTGTGGTGGGTTATTCTCAGGATGTGATGGGTTTCTTTAAAGGTGTTTTCTGTCACTATTGTTTAGCCTGCGTTAATGCATTTAGATCGGGATCTTAACACCCACGCAACACAAATTATAAATGATAGTGATTTGCATATTTTTATTAATCCTTCAAATCACTGCCTTCAAATCTGTGTTTTAAAAAAACGCTGTTTTAAACAGTTTTAAACATCTAAACAGTTTATAGTTTAGATAAAACCACTGATGTTTATGGAAAAGATTAAAATCACCATCACATGCATTTACCACTCAAAAATTGTTGTAATGAAGGATAATAGCTGTCTAACATGCGGAAATTTACAGGGGAGAACACGCGAGTTCTGAGTTTTAAAAAATGTAAAAAATGCAGAACTGTAATTAGAACAGTGGCTGTTGACTTCAGAGTAAACAATTCCATTTATTCAACATTCAAACCATGCATGTGTTATGATGAGAGAGGGGTTTGAATGCAGACCTGGTGCAGTGCTATCTGAGCTGCATCCAATGCTTTTTAAAAGGCACATTTTTGTATCCAAATAGTCCACAGTGGTACCTAAAAGGTGCATATTAGTTCTCAAATGTACTTAAAAAGTACCTTTGAGTTACCATTATGGACCCTTCAGGTATAAATATGTACCTTTTGAAAAGGTACTGCCCCACTGACAGCTCCTGTACCTTTATTTCAAAGAGTGTACCTGAGAGTGCATTTCATTTGAAATATGACTTTCACTGTCAGTGGCTTGAAAAAAATACAAGGTTAAATTTGTATATCAACACTTGTTTTGCTTTAGTTCACATGATCCGTTGTCATTTGTTTTGATTGTTCCATTTCCTTATTGGAAGACAGTCAGTTTTTTTCTTTTATATCTGTCATGCTTTTCTCTGAATGTTGGTTATCAATCTGCACTGTTGTTTTTCCAGTGACGTTTTCCAGCATATTGTTTTTAAGCACTGATAACCATTTGGATTCACAGAGCAAATCTTATTATTATTATTATTATTATTATTATTATTATTTTTTAGAAAAGACAAAGGCAAATAACAGTATTATAAATGAAAATAAAACATTGTGTTTTTGAGTTCTATGCTGTTACTGTGCTGGTTTTGTTGTAAATAAAAATATCCGTTTATATAACAATTTATATTTCCCAGAGATGGATTGTGGCTAGAAGAGCATCCGCTGCGTAAAAACGTGTTGGATAAGTTGGCGGTTCATTTCGCTGTGTAGACCCCGGATTAATAAAGGGACTAAGCCGAAAAGAAAATGAATGAATGAATGGACTTGTTTAACATTTTTGTTGCCAAATAATATGAAGTTCAACGTAAAAAAGTTAATGTTTGTTTATTTGTGTGATTTCTATTATTATTATTATTATTATTATCATTATTATTATCAATGTTGTTAATGTATAAACATTACAGAGCTGCTCTAATTAGCCTACTGTTATCCACTTCCTACTCTGCAAAAAATGCTTTTCTTACTTAAATTTTTTTGTCTTGTTTTAGTCCAAATATCTAAAAGTTTTTAAATCAAGAAGCATTTTCTAGACAAGCAAAACATATTGTCTTGTTTTAAGAAATAACATGCCAAAATAAAGTGAGTTTTTCCTTAAATCAAGCTAAATAATCTGCCAATGGGGAAAGCAAAATAATCTTATCACAAATCGAAAAACAAAATTATTTTGCTTACCCCTTTGGCAGATTATTTAGCTAGATTTGAGGAAAAACTAAAAATTTTGGCATATTTTTCTTAAAACAAGACAATATGTTTTGCTTGTCTAGAAAATGCTTCTTGATTTAAGGATTTGTAGATATTTGGACTTGAAACAAGACAAAAAAAAATCTAAGTAAGAAAAGCATTTTTTGCAGTGTAGGTCAAATATCTATCAAAAGAGGGCATCAAGCGTAGTTCGACAATAGAAAGTCTGGTTGAGCAGGACAGTAAACTATAAATAACACTGACAACCTGTCGTCACTTTTCTCTGCTACCTTTTCTCTCGTATCTTTGGCAACAGGACATAACAAGGTATTTTCATACCCTAGTACTGACATCCATTTGTCTTAAGATACTTTGTTCACTTAAAGTGTTTTTTTTACTTAGGCCTACATCTGGATTTGATCACTGTGCTTGTTCTTGTGATTTTGGTCCGTTTCAGATGTCTGCTGTGCGCGCTCTCCTTTTGCTGATATTTGGATTTACCATGTTGAGGTTCATCTGCTGTTACAGTGATGGAAGTTTATTGACCGACCACTGTCAAAGTATGGCTATAGATCATGGAGCTCAAGCATCAGGACAAGATTCAAACCCTTTCACCGTCGCTCCAGATTACGTGATCGTGGACAGTTCACAAGTGGGAACGGGCATTACAGGTAGAATAGTTTTACATTTAGCCTACATTTTATCCATCTTATAGACGCTTCTTAGAAGAGCGGGGTACAAGGTAACACTTTTTGGTTTTGGGCAAATAATGAGGAAAGTAATGGGGTTAATGGGGTTGTTGAAATAAAAATAATCATAGAAATTTTATTTCTTTTAAATTTCTTATACAAAACGTTTAAGTATTTTTTTCTCACACCTGGTGCAAATTGATTTAGCCTAGATTGACTCCCGCTAGAAAAACTAGTTTAAAAACTAAAACAAGTTTATGCTGATGTTACATATTGCTCTACATAGTCATTTTGATATTTAATTGTAGCTTTATCGGGGCAGATTTTTCAGAGGAGTCAGATTTGTTCCTTCAGTCAGATTGTAACAAAAAGAGTTAGTTGTAACACTTGTTGGAAAGTCAGATTTTACATAATCAATTTTAGTTTAGTTTATACAGAATACTGTAGGCCTATATTTTCTCAGATCTTAACTCTACATTTTTATTATAGCCTACATAGCACAATATGTTCGTCTACTTATCTATTAAGACTCGAGAAAGGATTTATTTGCAATATTAGCAAACAGCTTCATTAAAATTGATTTGTTTAAATGAAATATATATTTTTCTTTATTGTTTTCATGTAAAAGGTTATTTAAATTACACTCATAATTAAACATTAGTTTGTTTTGGTTAAGTTATTAATGTTTGGTTATTAATGTACACATTGTGTGGCTCAAATGTAACACCCACAACTAACCCCGCTGAGTCTTTACTCAGAATGGGCTAGCAGTCTCTATTAAGGCTGCTCAATATTGGAAAAATGTATGTGTGTGTGTGTGTGTGTGTGTGTGTGTGTGTGTGTGTGTGTGTGTGTGTGTGTGTGTGTGTGTGTGTGGTGTGTGTGTGTGTGTCTGTGTGTGTGTGTGTGTGTGTGTATATATATACACACACACACACACACACACACACATACACAATTGAAGTCAAAATTATTAGCCCCCCTGAATTATTAGCCCCGTTTATTTTTTTTTCTCCAATTTCTGTTTAACAGAGAGAAGATTTTTAACACATTTCTAAACATAATAGTTTTAATAACTCATTTCTAATAACTGATTTATTTTATCTTTGCCATGATGACGGTAAATAATATTTGACCAGATATTTTTCAAAATACAAGCATTCAGATTAAAGTGCAGTTCAAAGGCTTAATTAGATTAATAAGGCAAGTCATTATAACGGTAGTTTATTCTGCAGACAATCAAAAATATATATTGCTTAAGGGGGCTAATAATATTGACCTTAAATTGGTTTCAAAATATTTAAACCTTTCTTTATTCAAGCTAAAATAAAACAAATAGAAGAAAAAATATTATAGGAAATACTGTTAAAATTCCTTGCTCTGTTAAGCATAATTTGGGAAATATTTATAAAAAAAAAAAAATCTCAGGAGCGCTAATAATTTTGACTTTAACTGGCAATGGTTTTGAATAATTGTGATTACAATTATGACCAAAATAATCGTGATTATGATTTTTCCCAAAATCGAGTAGCCCTACTATTATATATGTATTTTTAAGTACCAAAAAAAAAATCTAAACACATACTTAAAATTCCAACATAATAGTGAAAATAATTAAAATAAATAACTTTAAATAATTATTTAAATTTTGCTCACTCGCGCAATCTGCTTGTCAACGTGTCGTAAAGGCAAAATCAAAACAAAAATGGCAGACAAACGTAAATGCAGTGATTCTTCAGAGGCGAAGAAAAAGATTAGACAGTATGACAAAGCCTACCTAGATTTTAGTTTTATTGAAGGCCAAGACAAGTTAAAACTGATTAATTAATATTTTCTATACATATTACTATATATTAATATTACACAAAAACACACACACACACACACACACACACACACACATATATATATATATACGTGTGTATTTATATGGTGGGGGGGCTCCAATGTTTGTATATGTTCATGGGGGGGGGCCCCAAAGAAAAAGGTTGGAAACCACTGGTCTACACTACTAGAAAGTGTTTTTAATGCTTTAGTTATGTAAACAAGTTGTCTTTTTAAACTTGCCAGCAAAATGTTTTAACTTTTTCCACAGTGACGCTCTCGGCTTCTTCTGGTTCATTTATGGGGTTTATGCTAGAGGCTCGAGAGTGTGATGATTGTCCGCCTGCTGGTTCGTTTAGTGTGCTTGACTTCAACAGTCTGCTCCTCTGTAGCGTGAGTAGCCCTGCCACACACGCACACACGCACGCACGCACACACTGTTGGTTTTTGGGATTTATGAAGACTCTCCATAGGTGTAATCTATTTTATAGCCTTCTGTAAAGAACATTTATTATATAGCATTACCCAATCACTACCCCTAAACCCAACCCACACATTGGCTGTCCTCATAAATCACCTCAACATTGTAATATCTAGGTCGCACATATGTCATTTAAAAAATTGGTGTCCTCATAAACCACATAAACAAGCAAACACACACACACACTTTTACACTCTTTTGTACTGGCTTCTTAGAGCAATTGTTAAATGTTAGCAGCTGTAAGTTCTAGAACCTAAAGTCAGGTGTTTATCTTATGTATTTATTAGGGCCAGGTCGTGGCTCATTCTCTAAGCTCAGATAAATCTTCAGTACAAGTGACGTGGACGCCTCAAGCCACTGGACAGTTTTTCTTCAGGTAAATTCTTTTGATACTTTGAGGAAAAACAATATATACTTCACGGGTTGTCCAAAGCTTTTTAAATAAATTAAGTTAATTACATTTTATTGTATTTTATAAAAGGTTTTGCATTATGTGGAGATTAGGGATTGGTCAGAACATAGAAACCCCACTGGCAACACAAAAAAAATGCAGAAGTATAAATGCACAGCTCCGTGTAAGGCATGAACCATGGGTTATGGTGATCACTAGCTCTCGAAATATAAATCAGCCATAAGTCAAAATTATTCATTCATTCATTCATTTTCTTTTCGGCTTAGTCCCTTAATAATCTGGGGTCGCCACAGCGGAATGAACCTCCAAGTCAAAATTAATTTATTCTTATTATTAATTTATAATCAATTAATAATTCATGGTTTTACTTCAGTTTATACTGATAGTTTGTAAATCTGATATCTGATTGTCTTTTCAGAGCTGCATTCGTCAAAAATTTTATTGAATTTTGGACAAAAAAAGCAATCATACTCTCGACGACAACAACATCACCGCCAACAACAACGCTGATGACAACAACGCCACAAACAACGACACAAAAAACAATGCAGACAACGACACAGACAACAACAACAACTCAGACACCTACGACACTGAAGACGATGATGACTACAGCCACTACAACATCTACTGCCACCACCACTACTGTAACAACTAGGCGTACAACATTGGGTAATAAAATCTAATGTCATTTACTAACCCTCCACTACCAATAATGTTTAAGTTTATTTTTTCAGTTGAACACAAAATAATACATGGTGAAAAAAAATGGAAATCAGTAGCTTTTGACTTCCATTATATAATATAACCCACATAGGAAGCTACATTATCGCGACCTTGCGCAACGTTTCCTAAAAATTATTTAAAGGTGATAAAAGTCCGAAAACATTACAGAACATTAGGGATCCTCTTTCCATCAAATAATAATGGGGACATTCTATATAAGTTATTCTGTGGTCACATGATAACGTTACAAAGAGAACCTTTGTGACATTAACAGAATGTTCCCAAATGATCCTCTTTTAGTCATATCATAACATTCCCAATATAACTTTATGAGGAAGTTCTGTTTTGAAAAAATCCGCCAGATAACATAAAAAAAATACATTTGACAGTCACTCGATGATTAAAGACAATCTAACCTTCACCTCAACACACATAACTAAACGAAATATTTACCCTCACCTTCAAAAACATTTTTTAACAGGAAACTAGCATTAATCAATTTACATCAATACAAAACAATCTTACATAATAACGTTACAAAGAAACATATGTGATGCTAATTGATTATTCCCACATGGTCCTCTTTCAGTCATAAAATAATGTTCTCAACATGACTTTATGGGGTCGTTCTGTTTTGGGTATTTTATGGTTACATAAAAACGTTACAAAGAGAACATTTGTGGTGTTAACAGAACGTTCCACATGGTCGTTTTTTAGTCATGAAATAAAGTTCTCAATATGACTTTAGGAGGACGTTTAATATTGGTAATCATACATATTAACAAAAGCAATGTTTAGTATAAAAATTCTGCAAGGCGTTTTAAATATAACAGGTTGTTATTAAAAACTAAAAAATAAGTTTAAAATTTAAAGGGGTGGTCCACTATATCATATTTTAAACTTTAGTTGATGTGTAATGTAGCTGTGTGAACATAAACAAGATCTCTGAATGTAAAAAGTTCTAAGTTCAATGCTAAGGGACACCTTGGTTTTTACAGAGTTAGCTTAGCAAAGTCTACAATGAACGAATTTTGGGGACTACAAAAAATACTTCCTTCCCCTGTGAGATCACAAAGGTTCGTTTACTGTGCATACAAACTGCGCAGGTAAGGGCTGTGGCCAGAGGCGCTGTAACGTTATAGCAGATATGAAGCTAAAAATGCGTCCAAACCGCTGTTTCCACAGAGCTTCGGCTGTTTCTGTATTTGGGCTTCCAAAGGACATGACACAAAGACAGAACAGAAGTGCTTACAGTTCAATATTAATTATGTTCCAGAGAATTATAAAATACACAGCAAGCATGATTTGACAAAACATCTCTTCCAGTTCAGTGCTGGATTCGGCAAAAATTTTCTCAAAGCAGAAGCTGTGAACTACAACCTGTAAGTGTTTTTATTCATTAAAATCATGACATGTACAGTGTCTAGCGTTAATGGTATGCTGTAAGTTAGCAACGATGTAAACATTGCGAAATGCTGCTTTGCGGGCAAACGATTTAGCTACAAATTCATATTTATCAGTCAAACTGTTGTAAACACACACTCCACCAGCACGTTCGTGTCTCTTATGTGTGTGCTCAATTGCATTGATTGTCTTTAGGCAACTTTTTCATGCGTTTCACATCTCATATAATGAAGTCGCAAAAGATATGTGGATGATTCATATTACTTACACCTGCATATTCCGGATATATATGAAAGACGTCGTGTAACACATAAAAAAAATACAGGTTAGCTCACCTGACTCGTGGTAGCAGCAGAATAAAAAAATCAAGGCTCACACAGGTCGCATCCCACATCTTGTGCTTTATTATTCTGTCACGATATATTACAGAAAATAACTTAACACACATACATAGACACACACATAGACGCAGACAACATGCACACACAGACACACACAATTTCACCCCATTTTCACTCGTTACAGACACTTGTCAGATATTATTTTAGATAGCAGGCAGGAGGTTGACTGATTGTTTACACAGCAGAAAAGCGCGTGCTTTTATGGGCGTGTCCGCGAATAGCAGCACATTATGACAATGACCAGTCACTTAAGGGCGGGCCTTTTCAGAGGAACTAGGAAATATATCAGTCGTTTTCATGTTAGCTGAGTAGCTGTGTATAATCAAAGTGAGATATATGAAAAAATAACTTTTCTTCATGTGAAACATGAGCACACATTGTGTAGTGACACAAATGACCATTTTGTCACTTGAGGTGTTGTAGGGTTGTTTCTGACGCGTGAGATCTCAACAAACGAATCATCTTCCAAATACTGCTTATCAGATTTATTTTTTGCACAGACAGTTCTTATGGCTCAATTTCCACTTACAGTCTGATATATAAATGCTCATAAAATCACATTGAATGCCTCCATAAAGCTCTTTCAAACACGGTCAAAAAATGTTGTGCTTCCCTCTAATTACACACCTGTTGTTCTAAGTCTTTGTCTACTTATATACTCCTCTAAACCCACACTCCACCCAGTGGTCAAAAACAGCATTACAACAAACATAATTTCTCTTACACATTGCTTTGCATCTTATAAACACAACCAAGCCTTAAAATCACATTCTGGACCACCACTTTAAGATTTAGAATCAAGTCTATTGGGCATTGCAGTGGCGCAGTAGGTAGTGCTGTCGCCTCATTTCAAGAAGGTTGCTAGTTCGAGCCTTGGCTGGGTCAGTTGGTGTTGCTGTGTGGCGTTTGCATGTTCTTCCTGCGTTCACGTGGTTTTCCTCCGGGTGTTCTGGTTTCCCTCACAGTTCAAAGACATGCTGTACAGGTGAATTGGGTAAGCTAAATTGTCCGTAGTGTATGAGTGTGAATGAGTATGTGTGGATGTTTCCCAGAGATGGGTTGCGGCAGGAAGGGCATCCGCTGTGTAAAAACGTGCTGGATAAGTTGGCGATTCATTCCGCTGTGGCGACCCTGGATTAATAAAGGGACTAAGCTGAAAAGAAAATGAATGAAGGGTCAAGTCGTATTATTTAATTTGTTTATGAATTGTTTGTAATGTTTATTTATGCAAATGCCTAACTTTAAAGTGTCTGTTATGTGAGTCTCAGGCCCCATTTACACTAGTTTTAATAAAAATGACCCACGTCCACATGGCGTTTCATCCAGCATTTCTGCAAAGATTTTCGACCACACTACACCACTGGAAACGCACATCACTTGACCACATACACACACTCTGGTTTGCACTGCAGCATATGTGGAGGTCTGAGCTCCAGGCAGTCAGCATGTGCTTTGAGGATGTACCGCTGGGTGTCATCTCACTATAGTTGATAAACGTGATATGTAATTTATCTTGTCACCTTCTAACAACTCTTTGCTCTTTTGAATCTATTACTTGTTCTCAGGTAACGTGTTTTTTTTTTTTTGTTTGTTTGTTTTTTTGGCTGAGTGCAAAGATAAATTAATATAATAATTTGTAACCACGCAAACTGATTGTGCACATTTACTGATTCTGCCTCTTCAGTGTTTTCAAAATGCTCTGCTTTTTGGGGTTTGAAAACTCTGGGGTAGTGTGGGCAGAATGCGTAACCGTAGCAAAAGTTATGTGTTTTAAGACTAAGACATATTAGTGTAAACAGGGCCTCATTTAAATACTGAAGCGGAGAGAGTTGCCATGGAAATGGATCATGGTGGGGTTCGGTTTTAGGTTTTTGAAGTCGGTGGAACTGACTCTAGAATCAACTCCAATTATAAGGATTAAGCAAATTACGTTTTCTCCTCTGGCCAGACAAAACCAGCAGTTTAAATGGGCTGCAGTCAAAAATAAAATAATTATTAGCCAAGTTATTTACTACATATTTTAATCGTATAGTTTAGATAATTAGCAGAAAGCTAAAACATTAAAATATAATTGAAATATTGAATGAAAAGAATTGTAGCAGTTCATCAACAAAGAAAAAACACCCCAATTGAGCATACAAGCGTTTTAAAATCATAAAATAGCCTAACTATTTTCTTAATAAATGTTTGATACTTGAATACTGAGTAATGTTAGGCCTAAGCTACTGAGTGAGTGAAATCTGGCGTAGCGGAGGGTCACGGAAGGCATGCCACCAAAATTGCTTGTTCTTTTCTTTTTTTTTTTTTAACAGAAACAGACACTCAATCGTTGATCAATAACCAAAATAACTATATTTTTAAATTTGATTTATGACCAATAAAATATTAAATCCTATACATGAAATGTTTAACAAATAAATAAAAAATAATATAAAATAAATAAATAATTCATACATTAACATAACCCAAAATAAAAATAAAAGCAGCGTGAAAGACTGTGCCTCACATATTGCTCTCTCTAAAGGTGTTTTAAATGGCCTAATACTTTTTTCTTTATTCATTCATTTTCTTTTTGGCTTAGTCCCTTTGTTAATCCAGGGTCGCCACAGTGGAATGAACCGCCAACTTATCCAGCATGTTTTATGCAGTGGACACCCTTCCAGCTGCAACCCATCCCTGGGAAACATCCATACACACTTATATGTCACATGTCTTTGGACTGTGGGGGGAAATCGGAGCACCCGGATAAAACCCACGCGAACGCAGGGAGAACATGCAAACTCCAATGCCATCTGACCCAGCCGAGCCTCTAACCAGTGACCTTCTTGCTGTGAGGCGACAGCACTACCTACTGTGCCACTGTGTTGCCCTTATTAGATTTTTATCTTAATAAATAAATCTTCGGCTAATTTTGTTATTATGATTTATTTATTCTTGAAATAGGCGTAGTTTAACATTTTACTTGAGCATGTAGCATCCAATAACATAACAACATAATTTTACCTGCAGAGCTTAAGATGTTGATCCGCTCAAAATTTACTAACACACACATAGCTATATTTCAGTTATAACAACAAACTTGACATCGCAGACTAAAGTGCAAAAGGGTGTGTTTTATAGCCATTTGAAGTAAAAGCAAACTTCATCCCGCAGCACTACTTCTAATAGCCAGTGCTCGTGGTTGCGAAATTCAAAAGTAAAAGCATTAAATGTGTGTGCACGCTTTCAAAGCGAGCGCCTTCGATGTTTGAAGTGCTCAAGAATGAGCATTATAACTGTAGTGCAGCGTGTAAATGCTCCATTCTGGAAGGTTAGAAAAAACTGACTTGACTCTGGGAGCCGACTCCTGTGAATCAATTCCGGCACTAGGTTTATTGAGTCAAGGAATCAACTCTTTTAGAGTCGACTACCTATTCCTAATCTTGTTTATAAAGCTATTAGGTTAATGCATCTTTCTGTGTGGATGAGAGGTTTTGTCAATGACTAATTAGAGAAAGTCTAAAGTATATTTAGCCTAATATATGTGCTGTACTGTCCAGAAAAATTAATAATAACCCTTTGTGAAAAAACAGCTTAAACCAGCCTAAGATTGGTGGCTGGTTTTAATTGGTCGACCAGCTAGGTTTTCAGCCATTTCTAGCCTGGTCTTAGGTGGTAAGGCTGGGAAATGCTCAGCTTAAACCAGCTAGTAATTTCCCAGCGTGATCATCTAAGACCAGGCATGGCTTAAACCAGCCTGCAAATGGCTAAAACTAGCCAACCGTTAAAGCAGTTTTTTTCAGCAGGGACATTAAAGTTAGTACATACTTTGATATTTCACTGTATTGATTTAAAAAGTGCTTTGTGATTTCAGGACTGACAAAATTACTCCTACAACATAGGGATAGAAGACCCAAGGGTTCTAAATATCAAAAGGGAGCTGATCACAGAGATAGAGGAAACAGGGGTAAGTAATCATTAAATTAAGCAATGTGCATTTTTTTTTATAATAAATCCCTCAATTATCATTACATGTCTATTGCAGTTATTATAAGGTTTTGACATCCAAACATAAGTCATTGGTTTTAAAAATTATTACATTGCTGCTGTCAAAGCTGAATTTACAGCATCAGTACTCTAATCTTCAGTGTCACATGATTTTTAGAACTGTAATATTTGATTTATGCACTTATATATAAAGATGTTCAGCAGCCCAAATGTTCTAGATATGCTAAACATCTTTCCATGTAAGTACAGTTTTGATTGCCAGACAGTGATGAGCAGGATATTTTAGTGGCATTTCTTTAAAAAAAAACATAAACGGGATGTAGATAAAGATTTAAATTCAAATTGTATTCATTTAAAAATATTTCATAAGACTCAAGCACCACCGTATACACCTATTCTTTGTTTCAGGCAGCAGAGAAAGACAACCGGACGAGAGAGAATGTGACTAAGACACACACACACACACACAGACACAGCATATTAAAAATCATAGTTTGACAAATGCTTTATATTTTTGTCTGCCAATGAAGACAACTCTTATTAATTGATTGAGCTCTCTCTCTCTTCAGGACAACAAATAAATGAATAACATTTTAGGTTGGTCCCTGAAAATTTTTAAAACATCCTGAATGTTCTGGGAAGATTCCCCAAATAACATTTCCCCCACCTTTACACCGGGTTTCTGCAGTTTTTTTTCGATTCAAATTTAAGACTTTTTAAGACTTTAAGATCATTATGACTGAAATTTCAGACTTATATAGAGCTTAACACTAAGGATTTTTGTCTAATGGCCCGATTACTTTTGCAAATAGTATTTGTAATAATGGAAGATTACGTAAAGGAATGTCTTGATTTAGTTTTCTTTCTCTGATTAGAAAATTTAATTTGGAAAATTTGCTGTGAAAATGTCTAACAGCTGTTGCAAATTGTATTTCTTTGCAATAAAAAACTATATAAATTTAGAAAATAAGTTTTGAGATGGATTATAGGAGACAGATTGGGTAGCTTTACTTGGAAATAGGGAAATGAAGACTTGTTTAAAATGATTTAAGACCTACAACACAATATTTCAGTGAATTTAAGACTTTTTAAGGCCTAAAATTTTGTTTTTGAAATTTAGAACTTATTAAGACCCTGTGGACACCCTGTTTACAGAACTTCACACCATGATCTTCTCAGAACGTTCTGTGAACATTACTAGACAACGTCCTTAACACCAACAGGACTTTATGAGTAGGTTGCATTTTCCAATAAACTATGGTTCCCTAAACGTTCTGAGAATATTCTGTAAAGCTCCCCCAAACAATGTTCCCCTCACCCTTAAATAACTCCACACTGTAACCTCAGAACATTCTGGGAACATTACTGACAACATCCTTAACATAGACAGGGGCATTCTGAGAACTTTCCTGGGAACATCAAATTTCTAGCTGGGAATATACTACAATGGATGTCAATGGGTGCTTCAAGATATCTTTTTTTGTGTCTAATAAAAAAATTAAAGGTTTGAAACCGTTTAAAGGTGAGTGAGTGTAATTTTTATATATGAAATACTATCTGAAACAGTAGCATTTCTGTGTCATTTTTAAATGTTTTTTTTTTGTGTGTATGGAAAGCACAGTTTCCCCTGCCCTCTACTATTCAAAAGCACACAAACCAACACAAACTCAAACGGAAACACGCTCATGAAGAAACACATACACTACAGACAATTTAGCTTTACCCAACTTACCTGTACCGCATTTAATTGGACTTGTGGAGGAAACCCACACAAACATGGGGAGCACATGCAAACTCCACACAGAAACACCAACTAACCAAGCCGAGGCTCAAACCAGCAACCTTCTTGCTGTGAGACGATCATGCTACCCACTGTGCCATCGTGACACCCTAGTCTAGTGCTACCTGTTTTGCATTTCAAAATAGTGGTGTTCTTGAAGCAGAATATTTTATGTGCAGCAACACTGCTGCTGCAGGATATACACTATTCTTACCATTCTAACTCTAATCTCGGTATTGAATGCATTATTAAGTGCATGAGTCTGCTTTTAAGAGTCAAGTCTCTTCTAGCTATAAAAACATTTTAAAATTATCAAAGGCTTCAGATGCACAAGTAACTATTACAAATATGATTCATGAATAAAAACCTGATAAATGTCTTGTATACAACATCTGAACATGTCTTGACGTGTGGTTGCCGTACTATAAGGGAAATAAATAACAATGGGAAATAGAATTAATATAAAATTAAGCACACTCGATGTAGTGAAATGGCCACGACTCGAAAACTGATATCATTGCCTGATATTGAAACCTACTGATGTTGTTAATGTACTGTAAAAAAAAAAAGTTTTGATCAGTCCCATCTACATTTTTTAATTGGCCCAAATGAAATTCTACAAACTGACTTTTTTCAATTGAAGCAACAGCCCGATAACATTGGTTTAATGGGAAATAATGTGATGAGCCAAATGACAAACTACCAAGTCTGCCCAATCATGTTTTTGGTCCAATTGAATAGTTCAAATTGTTGTAGCATGCTTTTTTGGTTTCACCAAATTTAAAAATGTGCATTGGTAGATTTAGATGGTTAAAGCCACTTCAATGAATTGTTTATTCTCCACTGTCCCAAAAGAAAATGAATAATATAATATACAAAATAATCATATTCTAAACACTGCCCCATTTCTTATATAGGCACTTTTGTGAAAAAAACAACGACATTAAAATAACAAATACATTAAACATTTCTACAACATAAACCTTGCGAAATCAAGCATTTCAATTCTCATTATACACAAAGCTGAAGTGTAACTAACACAGATGTGCAAAAAAATGTCAATTTATATTACACAAAATGTAATCTGAACTCATTAAATGGGTCATTCCTGGCATTCTGTAATATTTTAGTCCCCCATTTTTTTAAAAAGTGTTTGTTAACTAAAATGAAATTGTAAAAGAATTTTTCATTGATTATTTAATTCAATAAAAGCATTGTACCATAAAAAATATAATATTTCTGTCACAAACCATGCTATTTCACATGTCCCCAAGGCACTTTTTTGAAATTGCATGTAGAAAAAATTAATAAAATGCCCACAGTGTAAATTTTTTCAGTATTACAACTATTTATTTGTGTTCTTTTCTTGTGATAAATGAAAATTATAAACACAATTGTTTTTTATAAAAATAATAAAAAAAACAGGCTACAAAGTTATGTCCCTCAATATAAACTCAACCCCATCACACCAGCAATTCTTCACCTATAGCAATTGTCTTCACAGACAAAAAGTGACATCATTCAGCTATTTTTAACAGCATGGTGCAAAAGGCAAGTTATATTTTAATTTATTTACATTTTTTGATGTTTATTATAGTTAGGAAGGATACAGTCAAGCTGAACTATTCAAGCCAGTAACGTAAAACTAAGATGATTTTTGATTTTTGATTTTTTGACTAAGAAGTTTTTTTTTCTTTTCCAAACAATATAACATTCTTTTTAATTGCTGCCATGTGGACCTTCTCTTTTAAACCACACAAGGAGCAATCAACCCCATCACACTCAACCCCATTACACATGTCATTGTTTTAGGGTTGTAAACTTGTAACAGAATTGAGATACTCACCTAATTTATCAAGAACTTTTATTTAAAAAAAAATATTTGAGTAAATATATACTTACTAAAACTATTTTTGATAGAATATATGAAGTAGTGTTTTCAGTGTTGACAAGTTTATGTCAGACATGGCACCCGTATCAGCAGCAGAAATATATAAAATGTGTCATTAGTTTTCTCATGAGTTAATAAAAAGCTAATAAAATCAGGACATGTAAAGTAAAAAATACTTCAATTATTTTAATAGTTAATTTGTTTATCTCTACGCCATGTGACAATTACCTAACTTAAAAGAGGGGGTCATTAGGACATAATTCATTTTAATATTATAGATAAAGAAAGTTAAGTAATCAAAAGGTTTAGGAATCCCTGGTTGAATCCCCTGCTGGTCTTCTGCTGCTGTAGCTTATTCTCCTCTGTGTTGTGCATTCAAAGATGCTCTTCTGCAGACCTCGATAGTAACGAGTGGTTATTTGAGTTACTGTTGCCTTTCTATCAGCTGGAACCAGTCTGGCTATTCTCCTCTGACATCAACAAGGCATTTGTGCCCACAGAATTGCCGCCCACTATATAATTTTCTTCCCTCGCGATTGTTGTGCATGAAAAAAAAGATCAGCAGTTTCTGAAATACTCAGACCAGCCCATCTGGCTATATAATTGTATTTATTATTATTATTATTAAGAATTTTCATTAATTTCATTACGAACTTTTTCTACTGCAGTTTTTATTTATGTTCAGGAAATTTTACCTGTTGCTCATGTTTACTGTATGTTCTGTTCAGCAATATATTACAGTAATAAGCCTTTATCAGCATTTTTAACGGTCCAGCTACCTGCAGCAGTTTACTTTTTTGAATTTTGACTGTAGTTTGGTTTAATGAAGTTTAATTTCATCTCAGTGTAATAATGCCTTTGCTAAATGTTTTACTAAAACAAGTGTTTTGGTTAAGTCTTAGATGTAATTTCAAATTAATTAAAACAAAAATAAAATTAAATTAAAGTGTCCCCTTAACCCTGTTACAGTTTTCAACCCTGTCACGGTATTCTCAACCCTGTGAAATTTATATTTTTTGGAAAATAAAATAAGGAAAACTATTAAATATAGAAAAAATTCTTGCTGAGTACCAAACATCGTTTTAAGGCCTAACATTGTAAATATGTGGTTTGGGTAAGATATCTAAATTTAAAACTTTTTTTTTTTTTTAGAAAAAATTAAGAGACCACAGAATGCATGAATTGTATAATTGTAACTTCAGTCACAAATAAATCTAAAACTTATAAAAATTGTATATTTTAGCCATTAAACTGATTTGAGGCACACATGAGCAATAAGTAAAAGTGGGTTTTATAGCAAAAGCTTTTTAAAACAACTCAGTTTAGTCGGTTACGGGGTTGAGAATAATGAATGTCCAAATAAGATTAAAACTGAAAATAATATAAAGGTCTAATGACTGAAATGGGAAAATATGATTTTTTGAAAGTTTAAATTGTGTGTAATTATGTAGGCTATTTAAAAATATAATCAATACACTTTTAAAACTGAGTTTGCTCAAGCTGAAATATTACCGAATGCCAGGAGTGACCCATATCACAATTTTAATGGTTAAACCAGGTCATTAACATTTAACATCAAATACATTTACATAATAAAAATGTCAAAAACAATGGATTACTTAACCCAGTTGACATTTGAAAAAGTGAAAGAAAAAACGTCAAGCATGTGAAGATGATCTTCAAATATTTACCATGTGACTCAGACAGTACTTGTTGTATTCCATGTTGAGTTACACCTCACTCTGTAAGTTGTGGAGCACCATATCCTCTTCCAGGACAGCAGACATTCAGCACAGCTGACAGGGCTCTGAAAGTTCATCGTACTGCTGCTTAATATCTCAAGAATTCCCATCTCCATTGTTGTGTTTTTTCCAATGGCCCTGTATGTACAAACTAGCAATGTCAATACCAAGTTTACATATATCAAACACGTCACCATGCCATTATTATCATTTTCAAAGATACTACTGCTGTTGGGTCACAAAATGTAAGCTTTTTCAATGAAGAATGTGGTTGTTAACATAACCATTAGCAAGAAAATGTTTTTACTGCATCTTTAAATGTTTCAATAGTAATGATTAAAGTAAAAGATTTAAATGTATTTGTGTATTTTTATATTGTGGGTAAGACATCAACTAATAAATGTTCGCCCAATTAAAATTTGTCTTTGGGTGTATGGTCAAACACATTAAATATGCTATAAATACACATTACATTAAAGGCACAGGCCACAAAAACAGCTACAGTGTTGAGAGCAGAAACTTTCAATGTTCCAAAAGGTATAATAAGGAATCTGATGGATTTTTTAAGCTGAAACTTTACAGTCACATTGTGGAGACACAAAAGACTTCTCTTAAAATGGGTAAAATTGGTGCTCCTTAAATTTGTTCTATAATTGTATAGACATAAAATAAATTAAGCAAGAGTAAAACATTTATTAGGCTTGATTTTTAGTTCTACTTTTAATAAACTGTTAAATTAAGTTACATGAATAATAATAAAAATATATATATATATTTCTACCTAATTAAAATAGCTGTTTAAAAATGGAATCTAGTAAATAAATATATAAAAATTTATACATGATAATTTAGTTTCAGTCAAATGGGTTCAGCTTACAAAAAAAAAAAAAAAGTTGCACTGAGAGACTAAGGAATGCATCATGCCTCTTAAAATAACAAATAAGGAAACCGGTCCTGACAATTGCTCTTCTGTTGCTTTTGTTTGTTGGTGCGTTCTTTTTGTCTACAGAAACAAGATAATTATCTGCCTTTGAAACAGATTACATTTTTATGTCATGAAAATGACTATGATTAACTCTCTGTGCGTCAAACAATTACTTTCAATCAGGAAAGGTTATTTCTTGTTTATAGTAACAGTAAAAACAGCTAATTAATGTGGTTCTAAAACATTTTTTTTTTGTCAGCAGAACAAATGTTTTCTAAAACTGCTCGTAAAATATTTGTAAGCATCAAATTAGCATATTCAAATTATTTTTGCAGGTTTGAGGGAGTTTATTAAAGGAATAAATTACATATTGAAGTGTGTCCAAATACACCTGCATTGTTAGATTCTTGGTGCTTGTTTTAAGAAGCAGCCAGTGATCCACACTCATTTAAATATTTTGGCTTTGACAAAATAAAAATAAAAGACAAAATGGAAAAAAAAATGAGTGCAGATCATTGGCTACTTAAAAGCTAGTGTATCCAAACAGAAATCAAATGAGAACTATAATATTTCACAGCATTACAGAAATATAAAACTGAGGTCAATGCACTAAAACAAGTCAATGCAATTTAGAATGGTGGCTCAGTGATTAGCACTAATGATCACCAATTTGAGTCCTGGTTGGGTCAGCTGGCATTTCTATGTGGAGCCTGCATGTTCTCCCCGTGTCTGTGTGGGTTTCCTCTGGGTGCTCCAGTTTCCCCATAAAGTCGTGGTAAATAGGATTAACTAAATAGGCTGTTGTGTACAAGTGTTTGCCAGTACTGCGTTGCAGCTGGATGGGCATAAGCATAAAATATATACTGGAATAGTTGGTGGTTCACCCCACTGTGGCAACCTCTAATAAATAAGGGACCAAGCTGAAGAAAAAGGAATAATCAAATATAGAATACCAGAAAACAAGTCATGAATCTGCTCTCTTATTCCAGTGTCTATTATTGCTTATTTATTGTGAAATTCATTAAAAAGTGCCCAAAATATTTCTTGAATAGGGATGTACAAACAACTGAACAGGGTAATAACTAGAAAACTATACTACTTATCAGGTTATTCAAAGGCAAGAGAGATTTGATAAAGTGTGAACGGTGTACAGATGCATGTAAACTTCACTTTATGCAGAGCTAAGTCAGGATTCTTTAGTAGCAAGTCTCCACCTCTGGAGCCACTGCTGGAAGGTCAGTCCTTCTCTCTCCATCTCCGGCAGCGCAAACTGAGCAGGCTGATCCCACCTGCACAAACAAATCAAACGGCATTAATATGGCGCTGTAATAGACATGGTCTAATATTGTAGTCATTGTAGAGTGTCTTGTCTCACCAGTGTGTGATGGCAGTCTTCACTTGTTCAGAGTAAAGCAGGCCTTTAGAGCACCTGTGCATGAGCTCACGAGCCCGAGGGAGCAGCGTCTGCAGAATCTCCTCATCTTCCATTTTCACTCGCTGCAGCAAAGCTGAAACACAAGAACACAACTGGTTTTTAACCGTTCACAATACCCTGAAGTCAGGAAAGAAAGCTAAGGAAATAAGGTTGTCAGTTCTTCAACAGGTCATAAAATGAGAATTCCAAATTTGACTACATCTTTTGCCATTCATGAGGTACTGGACTATAAAAACAGCCTGTAAGTTTCAGAACTCAAAACTTTACCATTAGTCTAAAACAGCTAATATTGATAATAATCTGCCAAAATGACAGGATGTGGAATGAGACACTTTTATACTATATGTATTAGTGTGTCTAAGCTCCGATGGTTGATGCGTGATTTGTATGGATCACAACTCACGGTTTGGAACACACGTGACCCACAGATTAGGCTAATATATTTTTTGTACTCTTATGTTAATCCTAAATTTGTAATTATCACAAAGAGATCGCCTCTCGCATCATTCAAACCACATGTCTGAAAGCATTTAGACTTTCCTGTAAGTAATGATGATGAAAGAGGCTGTGGTTGGTTATTCGGTATGTGGTGGGTTTCATTAAAGGTGTTTTCTGTCACTATTGTTTAGCCTGCATTAATGCTTTTAGATCAGGATCTCAACACCCACGCAACACGAATTATAAATGATGGTGATTTACATGTTTATTTATCCTTCAAATCGTGAATAAAAATCTGTTTGAAAAACGCAAAAATCAAGAAAGGGATTTAGTCTTCAGTTAACGTCAAATACCACAGTTTTTAGTTTAGATAAAACCACTGATGTTTATAGAAAAAATTAAAATCACCGTCATATGCATTTAACATGACGCTCAAAAATAAAGGTTGTAGGCAACAATTATATTATCACATCAAAAATATGCCACTGAATATTGCTTCAAAAATGACACATCTAGCAGTAAAACATGAAGTTTTATGAGTGAATAACTGAATCATTTATTGAAAATGAGACCAAAAATTAATATATATTTTACAAATGATGTTAGATTTATTTATTTAGCGTCATCAGCAACAGTAGTTAGTAACAGTGAATTTTTCACACAACTGAATATTTTAGAGTTTGTTTTTATTCAGCTGATTATTTATTTATTTTATTTTTAATAAAATTACAGGTTCTAAGTTCCGGCTGTTAAAGCCAAAAGCGTCTTGAACTGCTGTTTTTGTAATAATGGAAAGCAAATGACTTTTGTCTCCTCCCTTTTTGGCTGATCTGAAAAATGGGCTAATCTGTGACTAAAAAAAATTATGTGATCCGAACTGTAAGATTTGTGATGTTACACTACTATTAAAAAGGTAGGTTATTTTTTTACCTCTCTGTATTTTTACAGAAGTTTGCAAAGTTCAATGTATGTGTATGGGTGTATGAGTATGGGTTTTCTATACTTTATCTAAAATCTGTTCACTGTACAATACAACAGGCACACACCTTTTTCTATGCTCAAGTATTTTTTTTGTTGGATAACACGACAGAAACATTGTTACAAAGATGTCTCAAATTTTTTATCAAAGCTTATATCAAAGCTTTCAAGTGAGTTTTCTTATCGATTAGTGCAGTAACTAGTAATCATGTGTGTTCAGGCATTTTAATGGCACCGAGCATCATTAATTTTAAAATACAGGGCTCGACAATAAGGACTGCCCAATGGCCCGGGTGCGAGATGCTCGGGCCAGTGTACAGAAAAGTTACTGGCTCAATCGGGCCAGTGCTGCCTTGTCACAAAAGTTTGGCAGGGACTGTCTGTCAATTGCGTGCAAATACAATCTTAGGGTGCTTTCACACATATTTGTTTGTTTCAGAATCTGTCTCGTTTCCCCTATTAGTGCGGTTTGTTTGGCATATGCGAGTCCAGCAATCGCGCTCGGATCCGCGGCAAATCAATTGGTCCGAGATCGCCTGAATGAGATGGCCTCTGCTCGACTGAGTGGATCGATTGTAGTGAGAATAATCAATCCAATGAACTATCGACCCAGGCTATATCACAGTGTATTATGATGATGTAATAGCCATAATTACGGCTATATGAAGAGAATAGGGCGAGATGTCATTCCTACTGGCAAATGTGCATTTCATGTCTAATATGAAAGTGAAAGCATGCTGAACTATTAAAGAGAGCTGTTTATCCGTTAGGTCAATTGAACGAAGTTACCATCTAATACTTTCTCCATATTTTAGTCTTATAATATGTTGTATTAGGCCTGTTGTTTTGTCAACACTGATCTGCTTCATGATCTGATGCAGTCTCTGTTCATCTGTTATTGCTCTCTATAATTTAAGTCTATAATGCATAATTCTGGCCAACGTTTCTTTAATAGATTTATTAATTCAATAGATAGATTTTTACAAAACTTGACAACTGATTTGAGGCTCTGTATGAGAAAGTCTGACCTCTCTGATTTATATTTGGTGATGTCTGTGGGGTGTCAAAATTAAAGTGCACATTTTCGCTTATAAAATATAAACACAACCCTGAAATATATTTCCACTTTTGAACCTGATATTGCTTTCTTGCTGCTGGAGCTTCTAAGTGAACTGAAAACGTTGAAGCTTAGTAACGGGCCAGATAGCAATACCAGTATCGATACCAGTGCATCCCTAATAAAAGATACAAGCAGAAATGTCCTAATGAACTATATAATGTACATGCAGAAATTTACATCGGTGAACACACGTTAAAATGCAGAACTGTTACCAAATAAGAACAGTGGCAGTTCACTGCTCACTTCAGAGTGAACAATTCTACATATTCAAACTATGTGTTATGATGAGGGTGTTGAAAGATGACAGACAAAAGCCTATAAAAGTAGACATACTCTGCTGATCGGGTGATGGTAACTGTGCGGCCCGCTTCTGCAGGTCTGCGGCTGAATCTGAGAAAAGCTGAAGAAGCCTGCGCAGATTTCTGAACTCCAGCCGTCGAGTCACAGCCTGAGACCACAGCTCTTCTGGAGCCTGAGAAACAAAGAGGAGAACACAGACAAGATTAAAGATGACATTGTGACTGGAAGAAAAGTTTAGGATATGGATGAAGTCCATGTTTTACAATAATATAATCTTTATTGGTATGCACAACCATCAAGGCACTCAAAAACTAAAATGTACTCTATTTATTAACCCTTGAGTGACTGCAAACATTTATCTTTTTTTCCCCACTGCTGAACACTAAAGAAGGTGTTTAAAAGAATGTTGGAAACCAGCAGCCATTAGCATCTATAAAAGGAAAAAAATACTGGTTGGCGGATTGCATTACTTTTTCAAAATAATGAAATGGTAACAATATACAACAACTTTTATGTTCAGCAGAAGAAAGAAAATCAAACAGGTTTGTGACAAGTGAAGGATGAGTAAACGAGAAAAGAATTTTCACTTTAGAGTGAAGTAGCTCTTTAAGGCCCCAGATATACTCACAGAAAAAGACTTTTTCATTCTGAGTTTAGGGGTTAAATGTTGTTCAAATAGCCAAGCTGCTTTTTTTTTTATCTACAATGCATTTTGCTTTCAGTAACAAATACACTACAAACGTCACAATCTGATCATAGTGACATAAGCTCTTCAATTCAGCACTCCAGTCAGACCACACCTCATGAAGCCTTTATAGAGTAGATGTCAGAAAACTGCTCAACAGTATTAAACATGAAAATAAAAAACATTGTCAGTGTTGTTTTCCATTATAATACATTTTGGCTGTCAAAAGAATGAGATCTGCAGATATGCAGTGTTTGCTTTTTACACAGATATCTGTGTCAGACTAAACAGACGAAGAAGAGAAGCAAAATATTCCCACAGTCAAGCCTAGCTATTATTAATCCTACGGATCAATGGCAGTAAAAATGTGTTTACCAGCAAATCAGGTAAAGGCCTGAAATGAACACCAAACAAACTTTGATTTGGCCTCGGGCTGTATTTCAGTGTATTCTATATCTCAAGGCTAAAAGTAGCTTCTAACTTGCAGATTTAGAAAATATTAAAAGTGATGAGAATGGCAGTCATAAATGTAGGACTTCTAAATCAATGAAGCATTCATAGTAGTGACAAGGATGCCCAAAAAGTAAGACCACACTACAAACTATGCAAAAAATCTGCCTTGGAAAAAAGAAAAAAAAAAACATTGTTATCAAATATTTTTCAAATATATTTTTCAAATATATAACCCCCCTTGACTTCAATTCATATTTATAATTTTTTAATTAATATGGCAACTTAATAACAAAGTCATTTTAAGGTGTATCTATAGTCTTGGATAAACATCACTCACTACTGTTTCCATGAATTCATCTCTGACAGTGACCTCCATCCTCTCCATCGACTAATCAATGTGTGTTTGTTTGTTTTTTAAATTACCAGTATTTAATATCATCAAAATAGCTTTCAGGACTATTAATAAACTGTAAGTGAGCATCTCACCATGTACATAGGAAATGAGAGGCTTTCACAGAGTTTGTGGAAAGCTAGTGATTGTATCCGGTGGATGGAAAGCTGAGCCGCTGGTGCCCTCTGTCCCCTGAAGAGAACAATCAAAAAAATTCTGTCAGAGAAATTCATTTAAAATTGAGAATGTTTTGCAAAACCAACATTAATGTGTAAAGGATAGAAGTAAAACATATTTATTGTCTATATGATAATATTGCACAGACAATACTGTCTCTTACAATGTTGCCATAACATCATAGTTGACAAAAAAATAAACGTCTCGAGAGTCCAAAAACATCAATGCATGATGAAGAATATTAGAACGCCATGACAAATCCCTGGTTCAAGTTATAATGGCAAATAAAAATCCCTTAATGGTTTTGGGGTTTACAGACCAAGATAAACTTAAGTAATGTCACATATTAAACATAAGTGGCTTTTACATAAACATCAGCACAATTGATAATACGATACTGACCTAAACAACAGTCTAACAAAGTAGACATTACTATATTGAGCGAGTTAGAAACAATAGATTTTTTTAGATTTTTTTTGTCATTCACACTCCTGGACTGCTTTCCACTCTATTTTAGACAAACACGCAAAAATAACTAAGCACTTCCAGTGTTTCCTCTAGGATTTTTTCCAGCTGTGATGGTAAGCCTTTTTTATACAGATCTACCTACTACCTGTGGCATTATTTCAATGACAAATGTCGTGAGTGCAGTATTACAAGTCGATATCGCATTTATGTCATAGCCTACAAGCATGCAAATCTCTTTGCTTGCACCCTGTTTTCTTCTGTTAGTGCACAAAATTTCTTGCACATCCTCAAATATATGCTGCTTAAGCGCAGATCTTCTTGTGCGCTATCAAATAAATGCTGCTGAAGTGCGATTTAGTGCGTTTATGTAACAAGGATGTCTACAACATTTGTTAGATTTGCTAGGAATATATATATATATATATATATATATATATATATATATATATATATATATATATATATATATATATATATATATGAACGTCTCCAATAGACCTACAGAGTGGTTTTAATGTGTCCTGAAGTAAAACGGCTATACATCGTGTTTGCTGGCCTTATGCATCACGCACCAGTCTGTCAACCAACACGTAACCTTAAAGGGTTAAACAAATGACGCACAGCATTACTACGGTTACAGAAAAGTTTGCGATGTTATAATTAACTTACCTTTTAATATGTTTTGGTGCAATTATCACCTGCTATTAAAAAAAAAAGTGAATGTTCAGAATGAAAGGCTGTAATGTAGCCGTGGCAGGATCATTTTTGCCATGGTCCCCCGCAATGGAAGAATGAATGTAGTGGAAACCATGACTTCCCCTTGAGTGGATCATCTGCACTATTTTAATGTGTGGTCCACTTCATACAAGGGATGAAGGACGTTTACAGTCACAACAGGGACTTGCATTCAAAGTGTTTAGTATTTTCCAAGTGCTCAAGGGTAAAGAGCATTCCAATTAAACCCATTCCTCCAGTAATAGACACTTGTGTAACAATCAATAACGTACATCCAAGTTATTGAGAATGGGGATAAAAAAATCTGAGGATAAAAATTTGCACTGGTATGCAGCCCTTATAAACATAAACTAAACTCAACTAGCCTCTTCCTTTGTTTTTTTTAAGGAATTAAAAATGCTAGTGAATCATGATATAGAGTTCAGAGCCATTGAAATCCTGCTATAGGTGGTTGAAAAAAGATTAAGTTAAATTTGCTCACCCCTTCATGACTCTGCGATCCAGTGCTGCAAGTGATACACAGCTAAAATGCTTGGCACCCTGAGACACAGAATTGCGCTGTCTACTGCTGGCTCCAATCACAGTGACAAACTGAGGACTGAGCTCATCCTTAAAAAACTGTCCAACCTGGAAGAAAAAAAGTGTTGTACATGTACATTTATGTGCACACATTTCACTGTAAAGGTTGCGTCAAATTGAGTAAGTAATAATTATATTCAGCAATGATGCATTCAATGTTTTTAAAATTTTGTGTAACTATGTAAACGTCCTAACTATTAAGTTTGAACTTTATTTAAAAAGAAAAGTCCAACTTAGTGGGCATAAAGATCTTTTTCAAAAACAAAAAATAAAATAAATAAATAATAAATAAAAAAAACTTACCAACTCCAAGCTTGTGACTGTGTTTGTTTGTAAGTGAGATATATTATTTCATAATTATCATTAATATTATTAAAGAGATGAACTCAAAAATGAAAACTGTCTTCATTTATTCATTCAAGATATTTTCTTTTAAACACAATAGAAGCTATTTTAATAAAGGCTGAAGAATTTTAACCATTGACTTCATAGTGTTTGTTGTTCCTGCAATGGATTTCAATGGTCAGAGGTTTGGAACTCAAAAAAAAAAAAAAAAACTGGTTTGGAACCAGTCAAGGGGTGTGTAAATGATGACAGAAGTTTCCAATGAACTAGCGCAATAACTAAAGAATGTATTGAATGAGATAATACCTCTTCATGGACACGTGTTAATTCAGCCTTCACAGATGAGTTTCCCTTGATCAGGCTTCGTATCTGCTCTTGTCTCCGGTTCTAAACAGAAATAATAGGCATGTAATAACTCTACACTATGAATCTTAAATCTTAGTCAGCAATAAATACAGGTACGCACCACAAGCTGTCTAAAGTCCATGACAGTCTGCCAATGCGTCTGCAGGGCTCTGATGGCGTCCTGACCCTGTCTGGCCTGCTGCTGTAGCTGAACACACTGATCTCTGATGCTGTCCCGAACTGATACCTGCTTCACTGCCTCCATCTCCAACTCAAACACACACCTGCTCACACACACATAACAAAACTTATGTGATTTACAATATTACACATTATACATTAAAGCAAGCTCCATCTATATAAGTTTTGCTACAACACAAGACTATGTTAGTGTAGTAATATTTTAATATATGATAATACAATGATAATGTCCGAGGCTCAGACACACTCTATCAGTTCAAAACTAGATCTGTTTATTAAAGCATACACACATTGCATCACATAACGGTATGATGCACGCGTGAGTGAGTGGGCCCGACACTCCAACCACCTGTAGGACACACTCCTCCTGTTTTAATGCACCAGACATTTTGTTAGAAACACTCATATGCTTTACATGTTTGTTTCTGTTTGTTTATATAACTGCTCTTTTCATTTATAACAATCCATTTCTGAATCTTGTTTAGGCAAGGCAAGTTTTTTTTAAAGGCGAATTTCATACACAGTGACAATTTAAAGTGCTTTACATAAAGAGGAATAAAAGAAAAATGTATAAGAAAATAAAAACAAATAATAAAAATTATTAAAAACAGATAAAAACCGATTAAAATGTTAAAACATTATAAAAGAATGAAAAAGAAGAGAAAACGATAATAGTGCAATCTGTCGGACGTAGCACAGTGCTAATTCAGTAAATGCACAGCTAAACAGAAGCTGATTCCAGCAGTGAGGGATGTAATAGCTGAAAGCCGATTCACCCTGCTTTGACTGAACTCTTGGAATTTCTAGTTTATATGATCCTAAAGATCTGAGTGATCTTTTAGGTCTGTATTCAGTGACCATATCTGTAATGTATTGAGATCCCAGGGTATTTAGTGATTTATAGACAATACTTTAAAACCTTTTATGAATGTAACTGGGAACCAGTGAATGTGACTGTCTTTTTGGGGAGGCCAGTGAGGAGGCTGTTACAGTAAGTCTTCACTGGAAACAAAGCATCTGATTCTTGCAATGTTTTTAAGATGATAGTATGCTGATTTACTAATTGCTTTGACATGACTACTAAAACTCATATCTGACTCCAGAAACACACCAAGATTCTTGATCTTATTTTTTGTTGTTTGACCCTTTGTGCCAAGGTACGCATTCACCTTGAGAACCTCATCTCTGTTCACAAACGCAATGACAGTTTTCTCTTTGTTTAACTGAAAAAAGTTCTGGCACATTCAACTGTTAATTTCATCAATGCACTGGTAGAGGGTGTCAATGGGGCTGTAGTCATTAGGCAGTAAGGCTAAGTATATACTCAGTGTCATCAGCATAGCTGTGGTAGGAAATTGGTTCTCTCATTATTTAGCTTAGAGGAAGCATATAAAGGTTGAACAGGAGAGGTGCCAGAATCGAGCCTTGCCGGACTCCACGTCATGAGTGTCCACCTTGACCTATGGTCGCCTATACTGACATAGTAACCTCTCCCTTCAAGGCAAGATCTGAACCATTTGAGGACTGTCCCAGAGAGCCCAACCTAGTTTCGACCATCGACCATGTCAAATGAAGCACTGAGATTGAGCAGTACCCAAACTGTTAGTTTGCTTGAATCTGTATTTAGGCGTATATCAATGTTTATCTTTATAAGAGCGCTCACTGTACTGTGATGTGCTCTGAAACCAGATTGAAAATTGTCTAAACACCCCTTGAAGTTTAAGAAACTTGTTAACCTGGTCAAAAACAACTTTTTCAATGATTGTGCCAATGAAAAGGAGATTTGACATTGGCCTGTAATTGCTCAATAGGGTGTTATTTAGGTTGCTCTTTTTCGAAAGGGGTTTTAACAACTGCAGGTTGTTAAAGAAGTGAAGCATTTACTACTTTTAGAAGATCCATTTCTAAACAGTTAAACACTGTTTTGGAGAATGATGTGGGGAGTGTATCAAGACTGCAGGTTGATGTTTTCATTATGTCTGATTTCTTAAGTTGTGGTTGAGCTTGTCTGACTTCGACACAACTTGGCTGATCGGATAAGCTGATTGCCTTTCTGATATTATTGATTGTGTTTAAATACACTATAAACAGCAGCTACACTAATTATTTTCTTTATTCTCTATTTCCACCTGGGGATACTCATCGCGATTATGCAGCACCATTGATGCGATCCAAGACCTGTAAAGAAATGATGCCAAGGTACCCATAATCCTGTATCAGGCCATATAGAGAGCTGATGCTGTGGCAGTCATGGAGAAGCAGACAGCGTGAGACTGATTCCTGAAAGACCACAGTGACAGACAAATCTTCGCACTGATTCCATGGGCCAGCAGATCACCCACCACTGACCTACTAACACCTGTAGTTCTCCACGATAAATGTAGTGTTCTCTATCTATTATCCATGCAGTGTGTCAGTAGGAAATATTATAAGCAAGCATTATTTTTGCTAGCAATTATTATTTTAATAATCTACTGAGATTTTGGTATGCACAAGGACCCTGAATCAGATTTCACCATCTGCGCAAAGAAACTGGACACAGACTAAATACGGTAGAACTGTGGCCACGTCTCAAAAACACTTAGAGAAACCTGCATGCAAACTAGCTACAGTCCTGTATTAAGTTTAGCCATTTGTGAAAAAAACTGTAAAGAATGCTTTAAAAAATAATGATGGTAATCAGGTTGTCAATGAATCTCTATTAACTAAATTAAATCAACCTTTAGTGTAACCATCCTTAACATTTCAAACTGGGTTTGTCATAGGTGCACTAACACATAGTGTTCCATGTAGCATTGAGTAATTATAGTTACTAATGTTAATTATAATTATAAAGCACATGTTTCAGTGGTTAGTAGTGTTGCCTCACAACAGCAAGGACTGGGTTCGAGTCATGACTGGGCCAGGTAGCATTTCTGTTTGGAGTTTGAATTTTCTCCCTGTGTTTGTGTGGTTTCCTCCAGGTGCTCTGGTTTCTCCCACAGTCCAAAGACATGCTCTATGGGTGAATTTAATAAACTACTATTGGGAGTGCACAAGTTGGTGTACTCTCAGTGCTGGGTTGTAGCTAAAAGGGCAACTGGTAGGTACCTGGCAGCTCAATCTGCTGTGGCGACCCTTGATAAATCAGTGACCAAGCCCAAGGAAAGTGAGTGAGTGAATTATAGTTGCTTAAATAATTAAAACCATATAATAATTAAGTGATTATAACCATTTCTTTAGTCACAAAGAGATCTAAGGAATTACCTGGACACAGAGTCTGTTTTGTGTGTCGCCTCTGCTTTTCTTATCAAAGCCGTGAGTTCAGTCTCCATCTGCCGCCTTCTACTTCGAGTCTGAGCCAACTCAAAATAACTCTGTTCCACCTCCTCCCAGGCAGACTGTTAGCATGCACACAGATGTTTAACATTATATATATATATATATATATATATATATATATATATATACATACACACACATTCATATACATACATACACACACATTATATATTCACAGTAGGGCTGCACAATATATCATCATTCCTTTTTAAAAATGTATTTAAAACCTAATCTAAATTAGTGCTAAAACCAGAGGAAACTGTAGGTTAATAACACTGATGTAAAATCACATAACACTGATTGAAAGTCTAAACTTTAAAGTTCTCCCTTAAATCAGATTGGTTGACTGGAATGTTGCTCCAGGATCAACACAGATGTTACTCCAGCAATATGTTGCAGATTTGCCGTACAACATCAGCCTTACGACACAGAAAGTAAAATACACTATAAGAAAAGAGAACACTATCTCAAACGATCACCTGTAACAGACTGCGGACAGGAGTTAACTCCTCAAGCTCAGAAGACACATCTATTAGGTGATCGCTCTCATAACGAAACCTGCAATAAATACAATAATACACAAATTTATAAAGAGATAATGTGGGTGTTTTTGTTAATATACATCATGTTACACAAACTCACCCTAAAGCTGAAACGTCACGCTCCAAATTTAAAGCAGTGATCTTCTCCTCCAATGCCACCTGATGTCTGGAGGTCAAGGCTTGCAAAGCTGAAAGCACTTGGTTTGGTGGATGAGATCGTAAAACATTCTGAGGAATCAAACATGTAGAGGTTTTCATTAGGTGATGTGTGGAACAAAAACATTTGCATAAAGACACAAAGTATTGTCCACTACCTCCACAGCACTTGTCCAGTGCTGGATCACAGCATGCCTTTGATCTCGAGTAAATCTGGGTGTAAACAAATGAATTGGGATCTATGAGGAAACAACACTCAGGCTCAACTATCTGTAATTTCACCATCAGAAGCCTGTGTTTCTTACTGCGTGGATGGATTTGCTTTTAGCTCGCTTTCCAGCAGGCACTGGAGGAAGTGAACCCTCTCGTTGCAGAGCTCTCTCACATCCTTCTGAAATGAGACAGAAATGGTATTTCATAATTCCCAATCAGAGAGAAAATGAGATTCAATGAAGACACTTTTGACTGGTCAACTTGTTTCTATTAAGCCCTAATGGGAGTTGCTGTAGCTGCAAATTCTAGCACAAATCTTTAATTTCAGAATTTAAATTGATATCAACTATGATAAGCAATAACATTGTAGCTTTAATTATAATATTATTGTGTGCTTTACAAATGTCTTTAAATACAGAATCCAAGGTTTAACCTGAATGCCTTTATTCACTATTTTTTCGAATGGGCAAGTGAAAGAGAGGTTAACTTAACAAGTAACCTAAGAATTAGCCTTATACACAACAATGCAAATATGAAAATGACTTAATATAAAGTATTGTTGTAGTGATCTTCACATTTCAAACCCAATATTGTCATGCTGACAGTTTTTGCTCTATTTCATTATGAAAAGTAGTTACAAACCAAGAAAACAGCAGAAACATTTGAGTTTTATTCAACTTTGTAAATACATTTAATTTAATTTAATTGCATTTGTATTTTGAATGGTGACAGCCCTTCAGTGTTTTTACAAGTTGAATTTATATTTCAAATTAGTAAAATTGCCCTATACATAGTGAACAAATGTATTTTACATTCTGTTGTGAATGACAAACATAATCACAAGGCTGATTGTTCTGCCCCTGTAAAAACACTTACTAAAACTAAGGGGTCTGCTCCAGCTTCATTGTCTGATTGGTCAGATGGTCCAAACACCAGCTTCACTTCAGCTTTCCTGGACAAGTGGAAAAGAAGAGATATGGCCAGATGTTGCATTAAACACTATAGTTTAAAAGTTTAGGGTGATTAATTAAATGAAAAGTCATAGTAAAGACTTTTACACTACCACTATGCTGATGCTGAACAAAAGCTTTCTATTCTAAGTTTGGTTCTTTTTTTACTTTATATTTATGAAAAAAATTTATTAATTTTAAATTAATTTTAATTTTAAAAGATAATATTTTACAGAACTACTGTTTTTTACTGTATTTTGATCAAATAAATGTAACTTTGGTGAGCATAAAAGCTGGAACCTTTTAAAATTCTGCATCAGCTTGACAGCGTAAAACCAGTTAGTGTTTTATACGCCCAAATGAGCAAGAGATGTCTCAGAGTTCCTCTGCCACTGCTGTTACAGATTTGCAATAATATCACTTGTTTGCTGCACATCTACAGTACTGCCCCAAAACAGGGAAATCCACCAATAAATGACCTTCCTGCAGTGTAACCTTAGACTAGAGAAAGTATCACTATTTCAAGGTAAAAGGAGAGGCTTTAACACATTTTTTTATGAGGCATTGATAAATCTGCCAAAGATATGAAAGTACAGTATGGATGTGGTATTTGCTTACTTGGCCAGTTCGTCCAGGGACTGTCTTTGGTCACCAATCACGCGTGTATCCTCTAGCAAAGCATTTCTGTCCTCAGAGCATCGCTGCCTGAAACAATCCAACAGGATCTGTCTGCATCTGCTCTCTGTAAAGCCGTCCCAGTTCCTGTTCAAGCTTTGCTCTGTTCAGTAGCCAAAAGGAAAGAAATTAGAAACATCATTCCATAAATACGATGCACTTTCAGAATGTTAAAAAGATAGTTTACCCTAAAATGAAAATTTCCTCATCCTCAAGTGGTTACAAAACTTTGAATTTGTTTATTCTATAAAACCTGTAACCATTGACATCCATAGTAAAAACATGCTATGGAGTACAATGGTAACCAGTTTCCAGCTTTCTTTAAAATCTCTTCTTTTGTGTTCAACAGAAAAAAGAAAGACCTTCAGGTTTGTGAAAGTAAAGTGTGAGTAAATGATGACAGAACCTTCAGTTTTGGTTGAATGATCCCTTTAATTGAATAGAATAAAGAAACTACAGACAGTTTTGATCTCATGATATGTTCAAATATGTGTGTTAGAAGCAAACAAAACCACTTTAGCTGAACAGAAAGAAAAGATTCACCTTCAGCAGCAAGTTGATCCTCCACTCTAGTGATCTTTGTGTCCAGTTGACTGAGTTCAGTCTGAAGCGCATCAATTTCTCTCTGGAGCTCAAGCTTTCGTGCATCATTATTTTGATTCTTCAACTGTTTTAACTAAAAACAAAAATCATCATTATATGCTGTACTTATAGGAGCATCACATCAAATAGGAAACTGTAAACGTGCTACATTTACTTACCTCTTTATCTTGTAAAACTTTGTACCTTAGGATTCAGATAGTCAAGGAATAATTTCACAGACCAATATCATCAAAAGATGGCATGCCTAAAATAACAAATTAATTGACAACATTTTGGCACATTTTGGTTTATTAACCAAACTGGAACTAAAGTGAAACTGAAACCATGATAAAAGTATATAAATACTATTCGAGTATTTATACATTCTATTTTAACAGCTTTAATGTTGATGTTTTGCTCATTTTAGCTTTTGTTTTAAGTATTTCTGTTATGGGTTTTTATTTTATAATCTTTCTCTAGCTTTATTTAATTTTAGTACAACTTACTTTTTTATATATTTTTGCTTGAATCCAAAAGCTAATTTTAAATATTTATTTTATTGTTAACTTTATTTCAGTGGTAACACTTGATTTGATTTACTTTTAAAATTTTAATTGTTTAAAAAATTCTTTAAACAAAATACATTTCAACATGGCCAAAATGGAGCGTGATGAAGTGCAAGCTTATTATTTTCCCCACACCATTAACACACACATTCATTTTCTTTTCGGCTTAGTCCCTTTTTTTAATCTGGGGTCGCCACAGCAGAATGAACCGCCAACTCATCCAACATATGTTTTACACAGATAGCCTACCCAATTTACCTGTACCGCATGTCTTTAAACTGTGAGGGAAACCAGAGCACTCGAAGGAAACCCACACGAATGTGGGGAGAACATGCAAACTCCACACAGAAATGCCAACTGACCCAACCGAGGCTCAAACCAGCTCTACCTACTGCACTACGCCTACCACACACATCATTTGTTCATTACTTTAACTTGTTTTTCTTTTAATTATGTTTTCTTTTTACATGAGACATATGACCTTTACATGAGAGATTTCATCCTTTTGGTATATTTGACATATTATATGTCCATTTGTTCATTTACATTTTATAACACAGACCCAATAAAATACATAGTATTGCAAACAAGGTATATTTTGCGATTTGGAAAAGTCAAGGTTTTAAAACAGCCAATATTTTCTGTTATACTGTTCCTACACGATATGTAAGATTATTTATTTATTTATTTTTTGTTTTTTAGGACAACGGTATGTCCAGCAAAAAAGATATCAAAAGATTCCGTTTTAAGTTTGTTTTAATGCAGTTTAAATCGTCTACAACTCAGTAGGTGCTGCCTTTGAATTTACTACTCGACTGGAAAAGTATGTTCTATACAGTATGAACGGGAGTAGTATGAATAAAGCTTGGATGTACTACATCTGCCATTTTATCACGATTACGTGACACACCTGCTTTATTACCATTCATGAATTCTCTCGTGGTGCATCATGGGATATTGTAGCGTCTATCAGATGTGCAGTTTAGAATCTTGCCAGAAGTAGTAGGTCATTTGCGTACTTCTCGTATACTGTTTTTCAAATACTATGAATTTGGACATGCTACTCAGCTCGCATACTGTTTTTAGTATACTATTTAGTATGAAAGCATGCAATTTCAGACGCAGCCATTGTTTTCAGAGTGGAAAAGTTGTTGTTTACAAAATACATTTAAAAAATATATATTTTAGAGCAGTAATCCCAATATCATAAAACCATGATATTTTTATCCAAGGTTATCATACCGTTAGAATCTTATACCCGTCCATGCCTATTTGCAAACAGCCATTAATTGAAATTTTATCATACTTTTCTCATTTTGTTCTTTTTCAATCACCTCTATTAGTCATTATATTCCTTAAATAATATATATTTATACAACTTTTTAAATTGATTAATATTCTGGCATAGTTTAAAAATCTGTTCCAGACTGTTTTATATTTTCACACCACACACATACAAAAATGTTTAAAGTCGACCTTTTTCTCAACCTCCTAAGATTCAGTTCTTCTCTCAGATTATATCCCCCTTGTCTTTCATAAAATAACTTTAGTGTGCATTTCGGAAGTAATTTATTTTTGGCTTTAAACATAAATTGTGCCGTATTTAAATATATATTGTGCCGTATATTGTATTTAAATTTGAACAAATTATTGAACTAAAGTATCCTCAATTTAAAACACTTCACAATAACATTTCCACTGTTAGCTTAACTAAATTCTACTGTAACTGTTTTATTTTACATAATAAAAATCCTTACTAAATTTGTTAACAATACTTAATGCACTGTAAACAACAGCACACATTGTCACATTGTTTCATTGTCAGAAAATGTAAAGGATACCACTGGATATTCCCCCGCACCACCCGAACATTCCTGTGAACATATATTACATGTTGAATGTTGCATTATTGTAAACAAAAACAAGCATTAGAGATCAAACGAGATCTAACCTCTCTTTATAAACATGTTGTGTGATATACTTCCAAATGGATGCTCCAGGACCGACGCACAATCTAAAGACAAATTTAAACACATGATCAGCTTAAACACGTTGATAAAGATGCATAACTATAATTCATCCTGAGTTAGCAGCCCACTGACGTCTTCATATAGCCGTCGTCCGGGAGTCTGGATGCTGGCAGCTCAAGCTCCTCAACAGCCCAGCGCTTCAGTTCCTGACTGAGACTCGACATCTTTTTCAGTCACTTGATAATAAAACAAACCTAAAACTTTCAAACTCACATCATATTACAATGTACGCATCGGATACGGAAAAGACAGATCAAAATACGCGGGAGACGTTTCTTCGCTCCTGTTTACTTTGCGATTTGTCATTACAGGGGCCGATGCTGCCCCTACTGGACAACAAGTTACTTCAACATCAGCATTAAAATACTTTTGAGCCCACTGGGGGGTCCAAACTCGCTCCTGCATAGTTTAGCTCTAACTTCCTTCATCTCACTTGCCTGGAAGTTTTAATATTTGAAAGAGTTTGATTAGCTGGTTCAGGTGTGTTTAATTGGGGTTGGAACTAAAATAAGCAGGACACCGGCCCTCAATGACAGAGTTGGGCACCCCTGGCCTACATGATACAAACATGACACAATATTTTTGTATTTTATCTTATCCCAAGTTATTCTTATAGACTGACAACACAGTTATTAATACATGTTGACTAAAACTGGTTTCTAAACATTAAATAAAATGTAAATGACAGGGATAAAATCTGAAGACCCAGCCCTCATTGACATGAGCTTGCGTCCTATTTTGCCCGCTATGCCATCATAAAATGTGAAAATAACCCATTGAAAAAGATTATAAGACCAAGTGTAATCCTGGTGTGACTTGAGTTAATCAGTTTTGTTCAATGCAAACAATTATTTTTCAAAAAACAGTTCTCCCCTATGATATTGTATTTAATTTTCTCAAGTTTTAAAAACAAGACAATCTATGGTCATGAATCTTAACAAATGCCACTGCATGATGACGTCATATATTCCACAATAATAATAAAGCATGCTAATATATAATCACATAGTCAATAAAAAAGTAATTAGAGTTCTCAGTATGTTTCTGAATCTGAGAATTTTAAAATGTAAATTAATCTAATTCTCAAACATTTTTCATCAAGTACCACCTCAAAAAAAAAAATTGTTTCTTTTAGTACCACCATTAAAATGAGCAGCATTGAAATACAGTAGCATACTTGGCCCAGTTAAGCAGCTACAACTCTGCACAGTTAAAAAACTTGGCAGATTACCTCAGAAATATAGGATATATGTCATATATGACATATTAGATACATATTTTTGATAAATTTTGAAATGTGTGTAGCATGTACAAGACATATTTCATTTCTCCGAGTACCACTAGAAGGAAGTACGCCACTAGTGGTACACGTACCACAGTTTGAGAACCACTGATCTAATTCATAATTTCAAAAGTTATTTGATTACATAATACAGATTCCAGGCAAGCAGTTAGCCAGCACTGTCCCTGGAGATAAAGAGCTGCTGGTTGGTGGGGGAGTTATGGTGCGGGTCATAGTTTTTTAATATAAAATATATTTATAATATATACAATTATAGTTTATTGGCATAACTTTTATTTTGGCTAACATATGAAAAGGCTTTTATGCTAATAATTTATTATTCCCGTGACATGTTCATGTGTACCAAATCTTTGATTCTGCAAATAAAAATAGCAAATGAATGAAATAATTTTAGAAAAGAGGCAAGATAACCAAACAAACAGTAGACATCAAGTGAAGTCTGATCATATAATATGCCTTATTGGAGAATTCTAATGTATTTAAACATTTTGAAATCAATTTATAGCAGTGATAAGTGTTGAGTAAAGTTACTTCAGAAAGTAATGCATTGCAATATTAAGCTATTTGCCCCCAAAAAAGGAACTAGTTGTGTTACTTAATTGTTTTTTATAGTAAGTAATGTTACATTACTTTTGAGTCACATTTGCGTTACTTTGAATTATTTGGCTGAGGTTTGATCTCTTTCAGAACTTTTTTCCTTTTTTACCAGAGTTTTGCAATTTTTAACGGACTGTATAACCTACAGTACACTAACTTTTACCTTTTAAAAAACACATCAAAACATAATATTTTAGGATAATCTTATCTGAGAACTTCCTTGTCACCCGTGTGGAACACAACAAACAAACTAACCTGACAGACACTATTATATTCATTGTGTAATAGGAGATGAAAAAGAGCGTATATGTATAGATCATCCTAGGGCTGCACAAAATTGCTATAAACGCAGTATAAACAGATAATTGAAAGTTCAAAGCAAGGGGTTTGCTACTTTTGTACTATTTGCCTCAAGTAAAAACACTGTCCATCGAGATAACACCCTTTTTCTTTTCTTCCATGCATTCAAAACAATGAACACATTTTCTCAATGACTAATTTATTGTGACTATTTTCATTTTAAATCAGCAACTTATTTTCATAAAAGTGAATACTTACACTAAAATGTAACTCACATTACAACTCAAATATTATTACTTACTAATTAAAAGTATTGAGTACATTACTTGTTACTTAGAAAAATACTATAACTGGCACTACTTGTAGCATTACCCCCTACACTGGCTTTGTTTATTTTTAACTGCTGCATTTCCTTTGACATATCGAACAGTCAGTGGTTTGAAAAACCCCAAGGTAATTTGTACATCTGACTTGTTTTCTTTAGTTCACATGATCTGTCATCACTTGTTTTGACATCTATTTCCTTATTGAAAGACAGTCAGGTATTTTTTTTAAATATATCTGTCATGCTTTTCTTTGAATGTCGGTTAACAATCTGCATTCTATCCAGTGACATACCTTGTCTCTAACTGAACCCTTTTGACGCAGTGAGCCCTAATAATCTTAGAGCATATTGTTTTTAAGCACTAATAACCATTAAAAGTTAGTATTCACAGTGCAATCTTATTCTTTTTGATAGAAGACTGAAAATAACAGTAAACAAATAAACAAAACATTTGAGTGCTGTTGCTGTGCTGATTTTGATACAAATAAAATGATCAGTGTATATAACCTAACACAAACTTATATTGGCTGAAAATTCTGAAATTTAGCAAGTTTTAATGCATAAACAATACAGAGCTGCTTTAATTAGCCCACTGTTACCCACATCCTAGGGAAAGTAGGCCTACTTGAATTGGCCAAAAAAAGGCATCAGTAATTTCACAATCGAAAGGTGTCACCGGGTGTCAAGGGAGCGAAGACAAGAGGTTGGACCCAAATGCAATATAATAAAAAAAAAATTTGTGGAGACAAAAACAAGTGGTCAAAAAACAAGAACTCAGGTATCACGAAGGGCATTGAAAAATGCAAAAACAAAGTTATGATCAAAGTACAAAAATTAAGAAAACAATCAACAAAACATAACTAGAAAAACTGAACAGGATTACACACACTGAAACAATACAGGTACTGACTAACAAAAACTCCGCATTAACTGGCCTGTGCAAGGTGTATAAATAGTCCAAACATTTCATGATGACGGTATTCAGCTGTGTGTGATTAATGGTGACCGGTTTGTGCAAAAGCATGCTGGGATTTGTAGTTCGTGAATGACGTGAGTGCTTTATGCCAGCGATCTTCCAGGAACAGATCGCTGGTAATGTGACAGTATGACATAAAGGCTCAATAGTCTGGCTGCTGGTTGAGCAGGACAGTAAATTATACAACACTGATGACTGACAATGAAAAAGTTTTTTTCACCTTTCTTCTCCTATCTTTTATCAGCAACGCGGTAAAGCAAGGTACTTTCATATACCTTTACCACTGACATCCATATGTCTTAAGATACTTTGTTAACTTAAATTGTTTTTATTTTCATCTGGATTTGATCACTGTGCTTGTTCTTGTGATTTTGGTCTGTTTCAGATGTCTGCTGCGCGCGCTCTCCATTTGCTGATATTTGGATTTACCATGTTGAGGTTTATCGGCTGTTACAGTGATGGGAGTTTATTGACCGACCAGTGTCAAAGTATGGCTATAGATCATGGAGTTCAACCACCAGGACAGGATTCAATCATTTTTAGTGTCGATCCAGATAACGTGATTGTGGACAGTTCGCAAGTGGGAACTGGCATTACAGGTAGAGTCTTATGTGTTTAAATTGTCATTTTATGCATCTTAAAGATGCTTTTATCCAAATCGACTTAGAGGAGAGCAGGAGCAGGGTATAATAATTTAAAGTAACACTTTTTGGTTTTGGGCAAATAATGAGCAAAGTAATGGAGTTAATGGAGTTAAAATAAAAACATTCACAGAAAAATAATTTCTTTCCCATTTCTTATACAAAAACATTAAAGTACACAATTCTTTTCACAAATGTTGCAAATTGATTTTAAATAATGCAAATAGAGTTTAAAAGGTCACACATAGACCACATTTATGCTGATGTCGTATCTTGCAATATAGAGTAATTTTGTCAAATGATTTGATTGTAGCTTCATCAGGACAGGTTTTTCATGGGAGGGGAGTCAGTCAGATTTGTCCATGGAGTCAACACTGGGACCTTTAATGTAGTAGCGCCAAATGAACAAAGAGTAAAAATGTTACTATTTACCCCATAGTGTAAAATAAAGAGTTAGTTATAACACTTGCTGGAAAGTCAGATTTTACACAATCTATTTAAATTAGTTTAGTTTATACAGTATATTTTCTCAGTACTTAACTCTACATATATATCATATATAGCACAATATGTTTGTCTATTTAAGACTCTAGAAAGGATTTATTTGCAATATTAGCAAACTGGTTCATTAAAATAAATTATATAAATAATATTTTTGATTATTATTTTTATACTAAAAGTTATTTAAATTACACTCATCATTAAAAATGTTTTGTTTTTAGTTAGGTTTATTAATGTACACAATGTTGTAACACCCTGTTACAAGTAACGACACTGTCGTAATTCCTCAGGACAGGCTAGCAGTCTCTATTAAAGCTGCCAGATATTGAAAAAATCCAAGATTGTGTTTTTTTTTTATTTTGTCATATATATTGCATTGCAATATGAAAACAACTTCACTAAATGAGTTGCATAAAGAATTTATCATTTTGAATTTGATTGGGATGATTTTGTATAGGAGTGCATAAAATATAATTATCTACAAGCATAGATAAATTCAATAAAATATACAAATTAAATAAGCAGCAATTTATTGTTTTCTGAGGAGTGGAACTGTATTCAGGTATAGATCAATTTAATAATCAAATGTAAAAAAAATAACATAGTCTATAGTCTACTGCGAAAATGATACTGAATATTGCGAAATGATAAATTATAATCCAGACTCAACATTGATGTGACTATTGTGAATGAACAGTGAACACATTGCAATATCAATGCTGAAACAATAAATTGTACAGCCCTAGTCTCTATGTTTTTCACATCTTTCAAAATGTAAAAACAATATTGATAATAAAAGAAATACTTTTATGTTGGCAAAATTTTCTCCTGTGGTTCCCATTAAATTATTTTTCAATAAATGGCAGGATGGTGAAATGCTTGGAAGTTGTCGTGGTTACCCCTGAGCAACTTAAAACTTAATCTTATAACTTAGTGTTACTTTTACCCACGTTACTTTGTGCCCCACTCTCCACTACATTTCATCCAAAATTGCACTAAAATTGTATCAGTTCTTCTATTTGAGTAAAATATATTAAAGGATAGTTGACCCCAAAACTCAGCATATTAACCCTTAGCCAACATTCTTCAAAATATCATTTTTATTTATTAAACTTTGTTAAACAAAATAATTAAACTAAAACAGGTTTGGAACAGGTAGACAGTGAGTAAATCATTCATTCATTTTTTTTTTTTTTTTTTTAGCTTCCTTTTACTTATCAGAGGTCACCAAAGCGGAATGAACCACCAACTTATCCTGCACGTTTTACACAGCAGATGCCACAGCTACAACCCATCACCGGGAAACACCCAAACACTCTCATTCACACACATGCACTACGGACAATTTAACTTTCCCAATTCTAGAAAAGAATAAATAAATAAATATTTCAAAATAAATTACAGCACTGGTGACACAGTGGCTCAGTGGTTAGCACTGTCACATAACAGCAAGACGGTCGCTGGTTCAAGTCCTGGCTGGGTCAGTGGGCATTTCTATGTGGAGTTTGCATGTTCTCCCTATGTTTAAGTGGGTTTCCTCTGGGTGCTCGAGTGTCCTCCACAGTATAAAGACATGTGGTGTAGGTGAGTTGGATGACCTAAATTGTCCGTAATGTATGTGTGTACAGTAAATTAGTGTGTATGGATGTTTCCCAGTGGGTTGCAGCTGGAAGGACATCCGTTGTGTAAAAACATATGCTGGATAAATTGGTGGTTCATTCCACTGTGGCGACCCCTGATGAATAAAGGGACTAAGCCGAAAAGAAAATGAATGAATGAATGAATTACAGCACAAAAGAGAGGGACATATTTCCACTATTCAGCTGTCGTTTCTTTATGTCCTTTATGTCCTTGATGATACTGTATATTGCCTTGGCTAAACTTTAGCTACTTAGGTAAATGGTTTGCTCATGAGTCATGGAGGAAGTCAAATTGGCATTATTTAGCTCAGTTCACACTGAGCACCGAATCATTTGCTTGTCAAGCTAAATCCCGAGCATGCAATATTCTGTCTCAAGCCCACCAAAAAGCTCACATTCCCAAAGCTCTTGAGCCCCTCTGCACATAGGCTACCTGGTACTTGCTATCCTTAACTCTGCTAATGTGATCATCTACTATAGTCTACGTTACAGGAAAGTTGTTGTTTAATGCTTTAGTGGTGTAAACAAGTTGTCTTTTCAAACTTGTCAGCAAAATGTTCAACTTTTTCCACAGTGACGCTCTCTTCTTCTGGTTCATTTATGGGCTTTATGTTGGAGGCTCGTGAGTGTGATGATTGTCCACCTGCTGGTACGTTCAGTTTGCTTGACCCGGTCAACAGTCTGCTCCTATGTGGCGTAAGTCCTGCCACACACATACACACACACAAGTAGTGGTTGTTTTTTGTGATTTATGAGGACCCTTTATAGGCAAAATCTATTTTTGTAGCCTACTGTAAAGAACATTTATTATATGTCATTACCCCACACCTACCCATAAATCCAACCCCCACAGGAGACCTGCGGAAAAAAAAACGAATGTGAAAAAACCCTGTTAGGTATGATTTTAAACAGTTTTATATTTTGAGGACACAGGGCTACATGTCTTCATAATACACCTTAACTATTTCAGTGATAGGACTAAAAAGTGCTCATAAACGAATGTTTTCTCAATTCATATGAGTAGCAGCTTGGACCTGGAAACAATATTCCATACATCACCTATACGTCATGACTTAACAAATGGATACAATCCTCAAAACAGTCAGTTCATGTTGCAGTGCATGACCAATTGCGTGACTCTCAGACGCACTCTATAGTGATAAATAGATGCTGTTTTATAGGTTCAAATGGGTTCTGTACACACGACTTGAAGTGGAGCAAAAGTCTGGGTTTTGGGTGCGTGTTTAAACAGACATATACACATAATTAATGATAACATCTCAACATATCGATCTTGGCGCATTTTTTTAAATGAAACTAATTTTGTCTTAAATGAGCATAAAAAGTTAGGAAAGCCATTGAATGCTTTCATTTACGATTTGTGCATTTTTAAGTGACACCTCTGTTATTTAATGTAATAAAAAATAATCTAAATTGGGAGGGTCCCTTATTTACACATCCCAATGTTGACAGGTATGACACACACGCGCACACACACACACACATGCACACACGCACACACGCACACACGCACACACACACACACACACACACACACACACACACACACACACACACACACACACACTTTTACACTCTTTCTTACTGGCTTCTTAGAGCAATTTTTAAATGTTAGCAGCTATAAATTCTATAAACTAATATCAGGTGTTTATCTTATGTATTTATTAGGACCAGGCTGTGGCTCAACCTAATAACGACGATAAAACTTCAGTCCTAGTGACGTGGACTCCTCAAGCCACTGGACAGTTTTACTTCAGGTACATTTTTGTAATGCAGTAAAAGCAATACATTGTGCAATGGTTGTATAAAGCTTTTTAAATAAATTAAGCAAATGAAATTGTTATTGTATTTTATAAAATGTTTTGCATTATGTGGAGATTAGCACTGTGGGTCATAGCGATCACTAGACCCAGAACTAAAAATCAGCCTTAAGACAAAATTAAAGATTTATATTTACAAAAATATTTATGGTTTTATTGTAAATAAAATTATTATTTTTGTATTATTATTGTATTGTATTGCTCGTTTGTAAATCTGATATCTAAATATCTTTTTAGAGCTGCATTCGTCCAATCTTACAATTTCGGTTCGCCAAAAAAAGCAATCATACTCCCGACAACAACAACATTGCCGCTAGTGGGAATGACAATGGCAACGTCACCGCCTGCAACAACACCAACAATGACGCAGACAATGATGAAAACCGACTATGCTTTTTCGTCGACAGTGACAAAGACAATCACACAGACAACAACGACGCAGACAATGACACAGACAACAACATCGACAGACACCACCGCTACTGTAACAACTAGTCGTACAACAATAGGTAATAAAAAACATCCATATACAGCAAAAGAATTAAAACTCTCAAACAGTGACCAAATAAATATATTAAATAGACAGTTCACCCAATGTAGTACTACTCGATGTAGTGATATGGCCACAATTCCCATTGTATTATGTTATTGTATTATACGTTGGGAATAATAGAATCCAGTGTAGGAAAACTGATATCTTTGCCTGATATTCAAACATACTGGTGGTAAATAGATGTAGATTGTTGAAGAAAAAATAGTTTTCCATAAAAACACATAATTAAAAGCTGTACTGCTTTTTGTAATGCTCTCATCATGTCTCATAGACACATCCACTGCACCACCAACCTCTGCAGTCGGCAGTACACAAACAGGTCTAACTGTATTCACAACACCAAACCTACAGGCTACAGGTAAATATTGTCTTCATATACAAAATCAAATGTATTAAGTAGATTTTTAAAAGTAAGTAAACATATTACCTAGAGAACAATCAAATATAACAAGAGTTTTGTGACTGATCTTGTTACAATAATCAGAGTAGAAAACATTTTTGATGTCACTACACCTTATGAAGTCTTAAATTATCAGGTTATTGATTTTTGTTTAAACCTTTAAATCAGGTTGTTTTAATAAAGCAGATTATTAATTGATATCAGCATAGCGGTGTGCATGTGAGCAGTGAAATAACTCACAATAGGGATAATAACTACTATAAAATAATGCACACTTGAGGTGGTGATATGGCTACGACTCAAAGCAGATTAAAATATACACTCTCAAAATGTCCAGCCTAGGCAAACTAATATCTTTGCCTGATGTTCAAGCATAGTGATGATATGTTTATGTAGATTGTATACATATACTGCATATTGGTGTGATTTTAGAGCACACAATCTTTATAGGCCAAATCAAGGGTGAATTTTCCATTTCTGTGTGTCCACAGTCAATATTATACACAAACAGATCCAACTACAAACACAGCATCATTTACAACATCAAACACACACTCATATATGGAGAAAATTATTATCCCTTTGTGAAATTTGTATATTATATATATAGTGTAAAATATGTTCTACAATTAATGATTAAGAGCAAGGACATTTTTTTAACAGTATATCTCTAATATTTTCTTCTGGAGAAAGACTTATTTCTTTTCATTTAGATGCAATAAAAGTAGTTTTTAATAGAAAATTTCAATAATAATAATAATAATAATATGTTATGTAATGTAATACTTTATGTAATGTACTAACAATATCATTAACCCTCTTAAGAAATAATTATATTATTAAGAAATTATTAAGAAAACACATCACTGCTGTCAAAAATAACAGAAAAGTAACATAGTACCTTAATTGTGCCACTGGTGGTTTATATATACAAACTTTATTAGGTACACCTGTCCAACTGCTTGTTAACGCAAATTTCTACACTGGGCTTTTCCTTCCATAGACTTCCATTTATACGCACGCGAATGCGTCAGTCCGGAAACTCAGGGTCATGCGCTGCGGTGCAAAGTTCAAATGTGGTGAACTCTGACCTGCGAAATTGCATCACTTGACTGCATGAGACCAACCAAGGATCAAAACATGACCTCTCTGGACAGAAATTTAAAACATGGAGCAATCGCTTGCTTTTTTAAAGCCTAATAATCTTGTTTATTCCCGCCCCTTTTCGCACCACCGCACTGCAGAACTTCGCATTATCAAACTCTGTGACCGCAGCTTTAGGTTGTGTTCGAAACTGCATACTCAAAGAGTAGGTACTCAATTTCAATAAGTACTTAGCGAGGACCAAATTTCGATAAGTATTATTGGGATTGTACGCCATCCGCCATGTTTACGTTATCATTTGACTGACGTTACAAGGGCAACAACTTTAAAGAAATTGCAGGTTTAAGGAATCTTCATTTATTATTTTTCATCCACAAGTAACCTGCTTAAATCTCTGTTGTTTTCCTATCTTGTTTGATTATTCAACGCTGATATATAACCTTCTCATTGTACATTTGTGTGCATATAATCTCATATAAGGAACCCAATCAATTTATGCCGTTTTTTTAAATTGTAAAAGATACAATCATGTTTTTCTGAGCTTGTATGAAATTATAAGTCCTTTTTCATAATAGTGGTTAATAATAATTATTAATAACAATTCCATAAAGATAATATAAATAAGATAACAAGGACAGAAGCACCTCATAGCATCTGTAATGTAACTCTACCAAATAGTTTTTTTTACACATAAACACACACAGTCCACACACACACACACACGTACACGCACATGCACGCACACACACACACACACACACTCGGGCAAGCGCTCCAGCATTTCTACCCAGATGAGAGCTCTGCTTGTCGGACTGCTCATCAAGCATCTCCCGCTGGATCTAATCTCACTATATTTGCTAAACGTGATATTTCATTCATGTTGTTGTCTTTATCTAACGACATAGGCCAATTCTCTGACTTTGGTCATTGGAATCTATTAAGTTAGGCCTACTTGTTCACGGGTAACATGTTTTGGTTAAGCTAAGTTAATGATTAATCCAGGTACATTGACCGATCGCTTGCCTTTATTTCCTGCAATGTATAAACTTATTGTATGTTATACTTTTATAATTGTCGATTATTAAAACTGATATTCAGCAAAAGAGAGGGTGCGTTTCGTATTTTTACTGAAATTGAAAGGAGGCAGTTGTTGTAGGCTCCGTTTTGTTATAAATATCCACACAGTGAAGATGATGCTCATAAATGCAGCACGACGCCTCAACATTTCTGCTGTCTGTTAAGTTGCTAATATTAAATAGAAAATAGGCAGTTCCTTAAATCATGTTTACATTTTATTGTTGAGAAAGTGAAACAACGTAGCCAAGGTGATGTGAATGAAGTTATAAAGTACACTGTTCCCTTTGAAGATTTACCCGTGTCCTCGGTATGTTTTCCATATCAAACTGAGAAGGGGGAGACTGCAGCCTTGATCAAACTTGCGAAGTCTTAACTTACAAGAAGAGGATGCGAGACTGAACTGTGTGTGGGCTACTTAATATTGAGGAAAAGCCCCAATCAGATAGGCGAGCGTTTGCAGCCCCGCCTCCGTTTTCAGATGTCTCCGTCTATCCCCATCCACACTGAGACGGAGCAGCAGCGTTTTAGAATGAAAACGGCCTTTACAGCGTTTTCAAAAAGCTCAGTTTTCGGCGCCCGAGAACTCCGGCGTAGTGTGGACGGATGGCGTAACCGTAGCAAAACTTATGCGTTTTCAAACTAAAACGCACTAGTGTAAACGGGGCCTAAGAAGGATTGGCCAAAAATAAATTACTCCATTTTTAACCGGGGAGTATTTTGCTCTGGAGGCTCTCAAAAATTATGATTATGAGGCTTTAAAGAGAGAAATTATTGAGTGGGACTGTCACTAGTAAGCGCTGCACAACAATTTAACACCTGGGGCCTCATGTACGAAGACTTGCGTGGAAATCTTACTAAAACATTGCGTACGCACAAAGCTGTAAATGTGCGTACGCATAAAAAAATTCAGATGTATGAAACACTGCGTACGCCGAATCTCACTCATATTCTTTTGTACATCCGAATGAACGTGAAACTGAGCGCAACATGGACAAGCACAAAACCCCTCCCTGCCTCCTCCCCCGTATGAATATGCTAATGACTATGCTAATGGCAAAACCCAACAAAAAGCAATGGCAAAATCAAGCAAAAAGAGAAACTTTGAACAGAATGTGAAATGGAGGTGCTGCTTTCGGAGGTAGACCGGAGAAAACTGTGTTATTTGCAAGTTTGTTCTCCGGAATTAACAAAAAAAAAAAAAAATAGAGTGGGAGAGTTAAGCTGATGCGGTCAACACAGTTGGGTCTGAACATCGCACTGAGTGCATTAAAAAAAGAAATAGTGTGGTTTATATCTGTAAAATGTTGCAACACCCTTAGCAGTCTCAGTAGCGCACCTCGTAAGACGTATGTGATCATGTATTGACACGTTCGAGCATAAACTCGGCTCAAATCCAGCGTCTAATGAACTCTATCTTCTTTTTTTCCCCGCTACATATCAGATTTTGGCCACTATTTATCACGAAAAAGACAAGTAGGAATCATCAATAAGTTTGTGCATCATATTTTATTTGCACATTTATTGAATGGAAATGTTTCTGATTCACTCATGCAAATTCATGTTCAGATAGTGTCTTTATAGCAATGTGCGTGCAGTAGATAGCTCAGATTACATTGGGAAAACAGGCGACTGCTGCAAATTGTGCTTTAATGTTTAGCTGGTCAACTGTATGGTATGGAAACCTTACATACCTACTAGATGAACCCGTCTCATACAGCTGCCATTGCAAGGCTCAGACACTTTGTAGAGAGGAATTTAACACAACTGCCTCTAGGAGTCGCCAATGGAAATAAAACAGACACGCACAAAAAATGTGCGTACGCCAGCCAGAAAGCTGCCGTGAAGCTGCGCACATTCCCACGTTCAGTTCATCGTTAGTAAATCCAAACGTGATCGATTCTGAGCGTGAAACCTGGCGTACGCAAAGTTTTTGTGCGTACGCAGCGTTGATACATGAGGCCCCTGGTCCTATGATGATGGCTCCCCCGTGCGGTTGCAAGCAACCCACATAACCTGTCTACCCCGCTTGTGGCTCCTCGGTGACAATCCCAGTGCTACTCAAGTTGCAGAGAGGGTGGTCATCGAGAAATTGCTGCGCATGCTTCTAAGGCAGCTTCGCAGGCCAGTAAGTATGAAAAACCAGACAAGGTTGGCAACCTTAGTGGAAGCAGTGGAGTTGGTGAAAGCAAACCTCAACCGCGATGGAGGAGAGAGAGCAGCCGCGCAGCCCTGGAGGGTGACACATTCCTGGCGACTGGCGGAAGGTAGCGCACAACCAGACCTGCGATCCCAAGCCTAGTAGACAAGCCCGTGCCAACCAACCCAGTTTGCCCAACGGCACGTGCTGTCTGGCTGACTTCATCCTACACAGAATAGTTCCCCCTGATGCTCCGACACATAAAGTGATGCTGAATAGAAACCCCTGCTGGCCACCCTATACAATGGGAGTGCAATAACTTTGGTTCAACCTGGTATCATAGCAAATAACCCTAGAGATAAATCAAAAATATTCATCACATGTATACATGGCGATACCAGATATGTTCCCGCACAGCAGGTGATGATCTCAGCAAATCCAGGCGCATGGTCCATGGAAAAGAGAATAGTCCCCGACCTCCCCATACCCCTCCTCTTGGGGGGTGACTGGCCAGGGCTCCAAGCTCTACTCACCATGGCAGCACAGAAAAAGGGGAAGCCAACACGCCATTCATGGGCTCGAACATCACGGGACTGCCAACCTGCACTCATGGCCACCGAGTGGAATAGATGTATTCTTTGATCTGTTTCAACAAGTGACATCATGTGGTTGATTCAAGAAAGCACATTGAGAAGATGATACATTGAGAAACTGCTGGTCGCAGGTGAGAGTGGTAGAAAAGGAAGATCGACTACCGGCACCTCATCCTCTTCCATATTTCGCAATTGAAAACGATCTGCTGTACTGTGTTCAAAGAGTAGTGGGGGAGAAAAGACTCTCCTGGTAGTACCAAAATCCTTCGCTGAAGTCTGCTTGGGGACATGAAACATCCTAGTCATCGTGAATTATGCTACACACTACCCCGAGGCGATGCCCTTGAGATGCCCTTCTCGATGTGGCTCAACAGACATGGAAACAGGACCTAGCCCCTCATTCGACAGTGATAGAGCATGTACAGGACATGAGACAGGGGATCAACCGGGTTTGGCCTTTGTCGGTGACAAAGAAAGATGTTTTTACAAGTGACTGTTTAGTGAACACTGGAAAATTTTATAGAGAAGTATTCTTATGAACTGCTGTGTCCTCTTTGCTTCATGAATATGCATAATTCTGACAAATAATACCTTTGATGTATTAAATGACATAAATTTCACTTTAAGTGTATTGTTTTTAAACAAGGTTGATTAAGCTCTATTTGTTCAAAACTATGCTGTTTAAAAAGATTATCAAATTTCTTGGTAAAATTATCAGTTTGTTTAAATGTACATGTTTTATTGTGTATTATATGACGTGTTGTCTTTTATGAGATTGTTGTCAATCTGTTTTGTGAATCTCCACAGTGCTGAACAGTCTCCACTAATTTGAGCTAAATTTAATAATTATTTACTTAATCCATACTTGTTGAATTTAATTAATAATATTGCTTGTAATCTGTAACCTCAGTTTTATTGTGCAGATATAGGGTATTATTTTTTAGAGCTGATGAACAGGCTCCATAAATTTTTAATTAAATCAAAATAAACATTGAGTAGTTTTCATTAACATTGTGTTGGTTCTGTTCAATTAAATTAATACTTTTGTTTAAAAAAATGTAAGTACTGTTTGCGGTTACTCATTTTTAATGACTAATTTTAAATAAGTTAATTTAATGATTGTTACACAATCCATATATGAAGAATTTAATTATTAAACTTACTTGTAATCTGTTACCTCAATTTTATTGAGTAGATATACTGTAGGATATTATTTTTTTTACAGTGTAAGCTGTGAAGCATAGTTATAGTAGTGACATGGCATGGGCATGTATGGCTGTCAATCAAACTGGTTCTCTTGTATTTATTGATGATGTGACTGCTCTCTGAATCTGATCTCCGGTGTCATCAAGCGGAGGCGCAGGCTTTCTGGGGGACGAACCGACATAACCACTCGAAGCTTGAATGGGGCACGCTGTGAATGAGTGGGGGGGGTCAGCGGGGAGTTGGAGGCAACGGATAAACCCCCACTGTGATCCTTAGATCTGCCCGGGTGCTAACTGCTTTCACGGGGAGCAACGGGGGTGGCGTGCGATCCCACAGTGAGAGCTTGAGCTGTCCGCGAGCATCGCACCAACATGCTGGACCACATCATCCGGAGATAGAAACCACTGCATCCAGAAACGCACAGCGTCTTGAAAAAGACTTGTTTATTGACTGTGCTGCTGTCTTAGGGAATCTGCTCTTTTAATGCACTTTTTGTGTACCAACAAAACGCTCAGGGGACAGGAAAGCCCAGATCAACCACCGATGTCACGTCATCTCTCGCACTGGCGAGTATGCTGGTTTCAGTCTTGAAATCAGGTTGGCAGATAAAGTGTCTTAAGTCTTGTGAGAGGCTCTGAAATGAAATTCTAATGCTCATTTCCCAGCCGCCTGCTGATACATCCCACTAATGGCTAATCCCTCTTCAGAGTGATTGTTCACCTGGCGTACTGCCATAGTCTGTTAGAGATTGACTCTTATCTCCTCCCAGGATCCTGTCGAGAGGCTGGCAGCAATTGGGCTCCCACACCCAAAGGGAGGGAAAGCCACTCTTTTCGGATCGCTACATTAATTCGTGGGGGAGCCCCAGCCCTCCACTGGGGAAAAAACATTCTTCTCTTCTCCAAGCGGCCCGCCTCAGGTTCGCTTTGCAGTCTGATTACCGGACTTAACGATGACATGTGACGGGAGCATCAACTTCTTGCGGGGGTACTCGGCGTGTTCACTAGCCAGTGGAACGGGCTGTGACGGCGGAGCGTTTTGGAGCTGCGGAAAGAGCGCTCTCAGCGAGAAACAGTCCTGGGTGGGTAGCAGTTTTTCGAGCCCACCAAGAGATGACCTGCTCCATTGCACATGGCTGATCTCTCATCACCAAGACTCCTGGTTAAAGTCCTCAATGGTGTCACCAAGTAGGCCTGCCTGGGATATGGGCACACCAAAAAAGCGTATTTTGTCCAAGGGTGCCATTTCCAGACCACTTTGTGACCATAGAGTGTCTTGAGTCTTGTGAGAAACTCTGAAGCGAAATTCTAATGCTCATTTCTCAGCTGCCAGCTGATATATCACACTAATGGCTAATTGTTCTTCAGAGTGATTGGTCACCTGGCGTACTCCCATAGCAGGAACTGCTTTTGAGACCTGGCAGAGCACCACCAGGAATGAAACCCAGCATCTGGTGATGTCTATGCGTTCCAGACTTCAGGCTGTAATTGACTGCAAAGGATTTGTAACCAAGTTAAAAGCAAAAGTCTGATTTGTGATTATTATTCTGTCAAATTACTTTTGGTCCCTTAACTAGTGGGAGGCACATATGCAAACTGCTGTAATTTCTGCACCGTTCACCGGATTTAGATGTACAATTAAAGCTCTCTAGTTAAAGCTTGAAGTCTATTTCTAAATTCAGTTCTAATTTGCGCCACACTGCGCCGGGTGTATGATAGGGCCCATTATGTCGGTGTGTAAATCCAAATATGCTAGAATTGTGTCAATGTCCAAATATTCATGGACCTAACATCTAGCGGAATGAACAGCCACCAGGTTATTTTAAAAAGCAGATTTTTTTGGCAGTAATCAGCATATAGTGTGCGTGTAAGCAGTGAAATAACTCACAATGGAAAAAATAACTATTATAAAATAATGCACACTCGAGGTGGTGATATGACTCAAAGCAAATACAAATATACAGTCAAAAAATGTATATTTAAAGATATTTAAAAGATATTTTAAGATATATTAAAAAAACATTTTTTTGTTGATGTAGATTTTCTACATATTGGTGTGATTTTAGAGCTTAAAACATTTAAAGGCTGACCATTATAAGCATTAATGCTGTTAATTTTCTGTGTTTCTACTTTTCCCGCAGTCAATACTACACAAACAGATCCAACTACAACAGTAATATCAAGTACACAATCACAGACTACAGGTAAATAACATCATATATAGAAAAAATGATTAACCCTTTATGAATTTTATTGTTTTCAAATATATTTTACAATTAATGTTTGAGAGGAAGAAAATGTTTACAGTATTTCATATAATATATTTTTACTGGGCAAAGTATTATGTTTTAGTTTGGCTGCAATAAAAGTAGTTTTTAAGTAAAATAAATAACAATAATAATTTTAAGGTTAAAAAGTAAGATCCAACAGGACAGTAAAATATTACCATAATTGTGGCACTAGTGTTTTTTATGTCTGTAATGCTGTTAATCGAGCTATATGAATAAGCTTTATTGCAGAGTGAAATCTGTTTCTGTGTTTCTACAGTCAATACTACACAAACAGATCCAACTACAAACACAACAGTAATTACAACATCAAACACGCAATCACAGAATGCAGGTAAATTACATGATTTAAATATAAACTGTTGAGGGGGAAATTATTTAACCCTCCTGTGAAATATTTATTATTTTTCAAATATTTCAAGCAGTAATAGAGCAAGGAAAATTTCACAGTACTTCCGATTAAAAAAAAAATCTTCTGGAAAAAGTCTTATTTGTTATATCGGCTGGAATAAAAGCATGTTTTTTTAAAACCAATCTAAGGTCAATATAGCCAATTTTTTTAATACAGCCTTTTTTTAATACAGACATTATTGCTGAGTGTATTTTCTGTTTCTACTGTTTCTGCAGTCAATACTACACAAACAGATCCAACTACAAACACAACATTAACATCCAACACACAATCACAGACTACAGGTAAATAACATCCTTTTACAGTGCATCCGGAAAGTATTCAAAGTGCTTCATTTTTTTCACATATTTTTTATGTATCAGCCTTATTCCAAAATGGATTAAATTTATTTATTTCCTTACAATTCTACACACAATACCCCTTAATGACAATGTGAAAAAAAAAAAATTTTAATTGTTGCAATTTTATTACAAATAAAAACCTTAAAAATCATATGTACATAAGTATTCACAGCCATTGCTCAATACTTTGTTGATGCACCTTTTACAGCCTCAGGTCTTTTTGAATATGATGCCACAAGCTTGTCACACCTGTCTTTGAAAATTTTTGCCCATTCCTCTTTGCAGTACCTCTCAAGCACTCTCAGGTTGGATGGGAAGTGACAGTGTACAGCCCTTTCAGATTTCTCCAGAGATGTTCAATTGGATTTAGATCTGGGCTCTGGCTAGGCCACTCAAGGTGATTCACCAAGTTGTTGTGAACCACTCCATTGATATTTTGGAGATGTGCTTTGGGTCATTGTCCTGCTGAAAGACAAACCATTGCCCCAGTCCAAGGTCAAGAGCACTCTGAAGCAGGTTTTTATTCAGGATGTCTCTGTTCAGTGCTGCATTCATCTTTCCCTCTATCCTGACCAGTTCTCCAGTTCCTGCTGCTGAAAAACATCCCCACAGCATGATGCTGCCACCACCATGCTTCACTGTAGGGATGGTATTAGCCTGGTGATGAGCGGTGCCTATTTTTCGCCAAATGTAACGCCTGGCATTCACTCCAAAGAGTTTAGTTTTAGTCTCATCAGATCAGAGATATTTGTTTCTTATGGTCCGAGATTCCTTCAGATGACTTTTGGCAAATTCCTGCCGGGGATGGCTTCTGTCTGGCCACTCTGCCATACAGGCCTGATTGGTGGACTGCTGCACAGATGGTTGTCCATGGAGCTCAGACAGAGTGACAATCAGGTTATTGATCACCTCCCTGACTAAGGTCCTCTACCCCAATAATTCAGCTTAGATGGCCGGCCAGCTCTAGGAAGAGTCCTGGTAGTTCCAAACATCTTTTACCCTTTGGATAATGGAGGCCACTGTGCTCATTGGAACTTTCAGAGCAGCAGAAAATTTTCTGTAACCTTCCCCAGCCTTGTACCTTGAGACAATCCTGTCTCTGAGGTCTACAGGCAATTCCTTTGTCTCCATGCTTGGTATTTGCTTTGACATGCACTGTCAACCCTGAGACCTTATATGGAAAGGTGTATGCCTTTTCAAATCATGTCCAATCAACTGAGTTTACCACAGGTGAACTCCAATTAAGCTGCTGAAACATCTCAAAAATGATCAGATGGAAACAGAATGTACCGAAACTCAATTTAGAGCTTCACAGCAAAGGCTCTAAATACTTATGTACATGTGCTTTTTCAGGTTTTTTTTGTTTTTAAAAAAATTTGCAACAATTTCAAAAAACTTTTTTCACATTGTCATTATGGGGTGTTGTGTGTAGAACTTCGAGGAAATAAATGAATTTAATCCATTTTGGAATAAGGCTGTAACATAAAAATGTGGAAAAAGTGAAGCACTATGAATACTTTTCGGATGCATTTTATATATTATTATTTATTAATTTCTTTTCAGTTTAGTCCCTTTATTAATCTGGGGTCGCCACAGTGGAATGAACCGCCAACTTGACTGGGAACCGCAACCTATGATTGGGAAACACACTTACACATTTCTTCACAGACATACACTACGGAAAATTTAGCTTACCTTGAACCAGTGACTTTCTTGCTGTGATGTGATCATGCTAAGCACTGCGCCACCGTGATGCCCATATAATATATTGAACACACATCGGCCACAACAGGAAATAAAAAAAGAATTGAAAAAAAAAAAAAAAAAAAAAAAATATATATATATATATATATATATATATATATATATATATATATATATATATATATATATATATATATATATATATATATATATATATATATATATAAAATATATATATATTCAATTCTTTTTTTATTTCCTGTTGTGGCCAATGTGTGTTCAACATGCAAAGAAATATGAATAGGACCAAGGAAGCGCTTTTAGAAGGAAAGTTTCAATACAAAACAATTATTGTCGCATTACCAGGCTATCCAGCGTTTCCTTCAGAGTTTCATGCAATTTCAGTTGTTTCATTTTTAATCTTTAGACTTGAACTGCAGTTCAGCAGTTCACTTACATTCAGCAACATATTGTTCATGCCTCGTGACAATTATTGGATAAAAATATGAAGTAAGGACTGCTGGAAGAGTGCTGTTTTAATGGAATTTGATACTGCATGGGTAGGCTAAATTGTCCGTAGTGTATGAGTGTGTGTGTGAATGTAAGTGTGGATGTCTCCCAGAGATGGGTTGCGGTTGGAAGGGCATCTGCTGCATAAAAACTTGCTGGATAAGTTGGCGGTTCATTCCGCTGTGGCCACCCCAGATTAATAAAGGGACTAAGCCGACAAGAAAATGAATGAATGAATGAATGATACCGTATGGATGGCGAACAGAAAGAAAAACCTCCGCATTTCGGGACTCGGGTGGTCCTTTAAAGTAATCAAAAATCGCTACTTACATGGTAGACTCTTAAAAAGAGTATTATCTTTATTATAAAATCTGAGTATTGGTGTCCATGTAAATGTACTCAGTAAAAGTGCCATATGATGTTGCAAGTTGTCAAAGACAGCCCATTCCAAGGGCGAAATTATTTAAGCGTCTTGTGAAATATATTTTCTTTTTCAAATATATGTCAAGCTCTAATTGAGCAAGAAATATTTCACAGTATTTCCGATGACATTTTTTCTTATGAAGTCTTATTTGTTTTTTTTTCGCTTGGAATAAAAGCTATGTTTTATTTGACTTTTATGTATGGTCAGTATATTATTAGCCCCTATAAGCATTTTTCTTTTCAATACAGACATAATTGCTGAGTGTATTTTCTGTTTCTACAGTTTCTGCAGTCAATACTACAAAAACAGATCCAACTACAAACACAACATTAACATCCAACACACGATCACAGACTACAGGTAAATAACATCATTATATATATAAACTGTTAAGGGCAAAATTATTAAACCCTCCTGTAAAATATTTATTATTTTTAAAATATTTGTCAAACACTAATAGAGCAAAGAAGATTTCACAGTATTTCCAAGAAAAAATTTTCTTCTGAAGAAAGTCTAATTTATTTTATTTCGGCTGGACTAAAAGCATGTTTAAAAAAAAAAAAAAACATTTTAAGGTCAATATAGCCCATTTAAGCATTCTTTCTAATATAGACATTAATGCTGAGTGTATTTTTCTGTTTCTACAGTTTCTGCAGTCAATACTACACAAACAGATCTAACTAAAAACACAACATTAACATCAAACACACGATCACAGACTACAGGTAAATAACATCATTATATATATAAACTGTTGAGGGCAAAATTATTTAAGCCTCCTGTGAAATATTCCTGTGAAATAATCTTTTTCAAATATTTGTCTAGCACTAATGGAGCAAGGAAAATTATAGATCAAAAATAAAGTGCATCCTCAAAATTACATATGAGATTTTTACAGCATAGATAATGTAATTTCATTTCAAAATATTATTAACCAATTTAAGCATTTTTTTCCCTACAAGCATTAATGCTGAGTGTATTTTCTCTTTCTATATTTCTACTGTTTTTGCAGTCAATACTACACAAACAAAACCAACTTCAAACACAAACTCAACAACAAACACACAATCCCAGACTACAGGTAAGTAGCATCATATAAAGAGAAAACGATTAGCCTTTCTTGACCGAAAATGATACATACTTCTTACAACAGTTAATAAGAGGCATCATTGTGGAAAAAACTCGAACAAATGCAAGGAGTATGAATAATTTCAAGCGTCACTATGTATTCTTGATTTGTCTGTAAACCTATAAATCAGGTTTTTAAAATAAGCATACTGGTGTGCACGTAAGCAGTGAAATAACTCACATGGTGGATATAATAACTATTATAAAATAATGCACACTCAAGGTGGTGATATGACCACGACTCAAAGCTGATTAAAATATGCACTGTCAATAAAATAAATACAGCCTAGGTAAACTAATACCTTTTCCTGGCAATCAAACATACTGATGTTATATTGACTAAAATTATGTATTTATATAAATATAAGTATTATTTTACAGCATAGAACTTTTATAGGCTGAAACTTATTGGCATTGTAAATTATATTTCTATTTCTGTGGTTTTACAGTCAATACTACACAAACAGATCCAACTACAAACACAACAGTAATTACAACAGCAGGTAAATAACATCTATAAACACAGACACACACACACACACACACACACACACACACACACACACATACTGTATATATATACATATATTTTACAAGTGATCTTTAATATTTATTACATACTGTATAACATACAGAAACATAAACAAAAGAAAACATTTTGAAGAATGTTAGTGCCTCCACAGCGGATAAATCAGATCACATACTTTTAAATACATAAATTAAATGTATTGGTATTTATCAACCTTGAATTAAAAACAAACCAAAACAGTATCTTTAAAAATAAAGTGCATCCTCAAAATTACATATGGGATTTTACAGCATAGATAATGTAATTTCATTCCAAATAAAGATATATTAATACAAATAAATAATAGACTTAAGCATGCATTCAGTTGTTCAAAAACTTAAAAACGAGGCAGCTCTCAGATTTCACCCAAATATCTTAATCTATGATTTGAAGAAGAACAAAGGCTTCAATAGTTTGGAATGTCATGAGGATGAGTAATTGATAAAGTAATTTTTTTTATTTTTGCATGAGCTAAACTAACCTGTTTTTGGTGGTTAAATGTTCTCTGTAGACCCTCTGATTAAAAAAAAGTTGATGGATAGATTCAACATTAACTCTTGTCATCTGTTTTTATTTACATGTAGTGACGTCATCATACCTGTTGCGGTGTGTGCAGTATATGGTATGACTATAAATATATATTTCAATACATATGCTAATGAATCAGCAGGTTGCATGATAATACTACAGACATTTTTAAAGTTTTACAGACTTTGTTAAATTGTTCTTTATTTTCACCCTGAAAATTGTCATGTTGGGTTTATTAAAACATGTATATTTGACAATCTATACATGAGTTTTTTTAGCTTTATGTCCATATGTGTACATGTCTGTCTGTCTGTTCACACCAGAGAGGTGGTGTGGCACTGTTGTTATTCAGCAGACTTTGTTTTCTTGGAGGCTCTTCTCTCCTCATGATCATCAAACCAGTTACAAAGATGGTAAGTGTGTCAAATAACACATGCACAACATGATTCTTTCAGCTTAAGAGATACCATTGAAGTAAGATTTATTAGTCCCAATTTTTTTTAATTTTTTTAATTTTTTTATATTTCCCAAATGATGTTTAACAGAGCAAAGAAATTGTCACAGTATGTCTGATTATATTTTTTATTCTGGAGAAAGTCTTATTTGTTTTATTTCGGCTAGAATAAAAGCAATTTTATAAAAAAAAAAAAAAAACCTTTAAGGTCAATATTTTAAGCCTCTTTAAGCTATATTTTTTTCAACAGACTACCGAACAAACCATTGTTATACAATAACTTGCCTAATTAATCTAACCTGCCTGTCATCATAGCAAAGATAAAAGAAATCAGTTTTTAGAAATTAGTTATTAAAACTATTATGTGTTGGAAAAATCTTCTCTCCTTTAAACAGAAATTCAAGATAAATTCACTTAGCTGATGATTGATTATAAAGCTTGTTTGGCATGCTGTCCCAGGAGAGAGCTTTGGGGCTCACTTGTGTTTGCAAGGCGAGAGGGGAGTTTGAGCTCAGGTAGATCTTGAGACCTCCCCTGCTGTAATAGCTAATGAACAGATAGTGATTGCTCTTAAGAGTAAACTAACATGTCTATGGTGTGGATTTGGATTAGTCAATTAACTTAAGTTGCATGTATTTGGACGGTGGGAGGAAACCGGGGGAAACCCACATGAGCACGGGAAGAACGTGTAAACTCCACACAGAAATGTTGGCTGGCTTGGTAAGGACTAGAATCAGTGACGTTCTTTCTGTGAGGCAACAGTGCTAACCACTGGGCCATCGTGACACGGATCTAGGAAAGGAGGAGGAGTAGGGGTGAAAGGGGTAGTTCAAAACGAAGATAGCTGTTATATGGAACTCATTAGGGTATTTATAGTGGCTTAGGAATCGTCTGATTGGTGAATCATGAATTGAATAATGTGTGGCCGGCTGCAAGCAATCATACGCATGTGATCCTCTCGAAATTAGTTTATAAATAAACTTCACTTGGGGGAAAAATAAACAGGGGGCTAATAATTCAGGGGGGCTTTAATAATTCTGACTTTAACTGCAGATCACACAAAATTGAAAATGTACACACTATTTACTCACCCTTAAGTGCTTCTAAACTTTTATGAGTTTCATTTTTTTTGTTGGACATTATTGACATCCGAAGTATAAGAACAAACACTATGGAAGTCACCAGTTTTCCAGTTTTCGGACATTTTTTGTTTTCAACAGAAAAATAAAACTCAAACTGGTTTGTGACAAGTGAAGAGTGAGTAAATGATGACAGAATGTTCAGTTTTGGGTGAACTATCCCTTTATAAGTCATTAAATTCATAATGTAAATAACAAATATATACACTGTGTGTCTCCTCACAGCCCACCCAGATTGCATCCATCATTGAACTAATATCCAAAATTATCACTACTGTCCTTGTACTAATAAAAGCGGTTCATGTAAGTATTTTTTTTGAGTATATTACAGTTTAAAAACTTTCTTTAAACTGAATATGTGGTTAAGATATGAAATAAATTTAACATCTAATTTAGTTCTCATTGTTGTTTTAATGTTTGTGGCAGTATGACTGTGAGAATGCTGGTCTGCAGTTTGTGTTTGCTGCTTTAATAGTGACTGCAATGGGCACAAGCCTGATGCACACCATCACTGTTTTCCTTCACCGCGGACCAAGCCATGAATTGTGAGTACTAACTTTACATATCAGCACCAATATAATGTGACCAAACCGAAATGAAAACAAACTGGTTTCCAAACCGTTTTTTTGGGTCAGAAAAAAGAGAGACCCAGTCTCAACTCATCATTAGCTGAAATGGTTTTGTACATGGTTTTTACTGGTCTGGCGTTTGACTAATAAGGCCAGAACTACTAACAGGACAAATTAACATGAGACCAAAACCCCATATAATTGCAGATGAGAGTGGATTGTCCTGCAAGTAAACTAAAGACAATGTTCATGTGGAAAAACTACTTAAAAAAATATTATTCCTTTAAGTATAACCTAAACCATTTAAAAAAATCTAAAAACAAACATTATTCTATAAAATACACAGAAAAATTACATACTCATTTGAGAAATGGGCAGTATCTGTATTGGTATTACCATTGTAGCTTTGAGTATGTGAGTCATATCAAATGATTAAAAATGTCCCTGGAAATGGACAAAAATAAACAAGCACACAAGGCCTCAGACTCTGTTTACACCTGATTTGACAAAAATATCTTAACACAATGCCAGGACGTTATTTATTGATTTACAGTCTGTGGTTTAAAAGAATTTAATCTACTACATATAAGACTCTTGAATATATTACTGTATTTTTAACTTAATGTTCAAAAATCGTTATCTTACAGAAGAACATGTTGGATTGTTTCTCTCATAATAGTTGACCTACTGAATACACTCATTACATGTAAGTTTTTCCCCATATTCTTTAATGTTGAATAACAATTTTATTTATTTGCTATTTTGTACAAATATTTATTAGTGACCTCATATTCTCAAATTGGCATAGATGAAAATGCTTACTCCTCCAAAGCTCTTTAAAGCTCAGATAAAGCTGATAAAATCTTTTGTTTGTTACTGATCTTCTTTTTTCTGTTTATACTGTAGCCATCTCAATATTTTATGGGCTATGGTGGTTTCAAGAACGCTGGTTAATTATAGTAATGGCAGTTTATGTGATATTGGAGTTCATCCTTTACCTCGGAGCAGTTATTTCTAAACGGGTGGAAAAATACAGGACAAGACAGAGAGGGGAACGTAAGTATATTTGGTACAAACATGCTAAAGACCACATGGCACTAGACTCAGTTTAATAGATCTAAAAAAGATCCATTAAACTGAATCCTACATCACATTACTCATGAACACACATTAGTCTCATTAGATTATATTTGTATTTTACAGAAAATGGCCCTGTTCCAGAAAACAGGGTATGTGGACTATTTATCTGTTCTCACTTATTTTTTATACATAAAGTAATTGCAGTTTCACTAAATCTGCTTAAAGGGATAGTTTAATTGTTGTTTACATGTCTTTTACCCATGCTATTTTTACTACAGCAGAACATTAATTAATATTTTTAGCAGAAAACCTTTATAAAACATTAGGCATCTTTCACCCTGGTCATCCTGATCTAGCTTACTACTTTCCATGGTCAACAGTATCCTGCAAACTTGTCAGGTGTGAAAAAGATGACAAACTTCCTCAATATATATTAGAAGTAGTATAGTAGAAGTCTGATAATATTTTTTTCTTCTGTAGAAAGTCTTATTCGTTTTATTTCAGCTAGAATAAAAAGGTTTAATTTTTAAAAAAACATTTTAGCCCCTTTAGGCAAATTTTTTTTTTCGATAGTCTACAGAACAAACCAATGGTTATACAATAACTTGCCAAATTACCCTAACCTGCATAACCTAATTAACCTAGATAAGCCTTTAAATGTCACTTTAAGCTGTATAGAAGCATCTTAAAAAATATCTAGTCAAAAATTATTTACTGTCATCATGGTAAAGATAAAATAAAAACAGTTATTAGGAGTGAGTTATTAAAACTATCATGATTAGAAATGTGTTGAAAAAATCTTCTCTTCATTAAACAGAAATTGGAGAAAAAATTAAACAGGGGGGCTAATAATTCTGACTTCAATATATACACACACATATATATATATATATATATATATATATATATATATATATATATATATATATATATATATATATATATATATATATATATATATATATATAAGGCAAAATGTAAATATTCCCTCTTATTTTTATATCAGTAGTATATGTATTCAATATTAATGATAGTAATATTAAAATATTCAATAATTAAGATATTAATAATTAAAATAAGGTGTTACAAATAAAAAAAAATTACAATCAACTAATTTTTTAACTACGTACATTTTTTTATTTTTTTTGTCTTTTTAAATTTTTTAATTGTATATTTTTTCCGAACATATTTATTAAGGTGCATTCATATTTTGCACTGTGATCTTAAATTATTCTGTCAGATTAGATCCAGTTTGGGCTTTGGTAATGAAATAATTATGATATCATAATAATGAAATACTATATAAATGATAATCTCATCTATAATCTCATAATCTCAAACTGAAGGCCTAGTTGTAAAATGTTTGGTGCACACCTCCTCAGAGTAAATAGACATAAATTTGAAATGTGCCAATTCGAATGTTATCACACAATTTAATGGATGTTATCAGTGGTTCAGCTGATAGATATGGGCCAGTAGGGGCCTTCTGTACCTACTATCACATACAGCTACAACCGGAAGTTCAATCATTCATTTAATTCTTGTCGGCTTAGTCCCTTTATTAATCCGGGGTCGCCACAGTGGAATGAACCGCCAACTTATCCAGCAAGTTTTTACGCAGCGGATGTCCTTCCAGCAGCAACCCATCTCTGGGAAACATCCACACACACATTCACACACACACTCATACACTACGGACTATTTAATCTACCCAATTCACCTGTACCGCATGTCTTTGGACTGTGGGGGAAACCGGAGCACCCGGAGGAAACCCACGCGAAGGCAGGGAAAACATGCAAACTCCACACAGAAACCCCAACTGAGCTGAGGTTCGAACCAGCGACCTTCTTGCTGTGAGGCGACAGCACTACCTACTGTGCTACTGCCTCGCCCTAGCCAGAAGTTTACATGAATTATTTATATTATTCAATAAATTTCCCATTAATTGTATTTTATTTACGTTAACCCCTACCCCAACCCTAAATCCAATCATAACAGTAATGTAAAAACAGATCTGGATCTGGAGTCTTCTCAGTTAGTATAGCTAATTGACCATGTGGATGGATGAATACAGTGTTCTGAGCCTACCAGTAGCCCCTACTGGCACATATCCAACAGCTGATAACCACTGATAATTCCAATTCAATCAACAATCAACATTTTTAGAGACAATAAAAAGTATAAAAACATATAGAGGAAAAACAGAATTGATAGAGTGGCTGCTGGTGATATGTTGAGATCATATGAAGCCATTTTCTTTTGGTCTGTGCAAAAACTTGAAAACAGCTCAGCTCACACTTTAGAATGTTTTGAATGCTCTCAGGACTGAGGCTGTGGATAATAACAGGTAATAACATGATATGTAACGTTTCATTTTGTGCACAGACCAGTCATTTTGCTTCATAAGCCTTCACTGTCAGCATCCACATACAGGATATTATTTTGATTTAACTGTATGTTTATATATATATATATATATCATTTATCACCATTTAATGCCACAGCTTACATTATTTTTTCTTTTTTATTTGCAGAAATCCTCATGGTTCTTCATGTTTGTCATTTGTTTAGTGATCTTTGTATTGTTTACAGTTGCACTTATTGTAGGAGTTTCTTTGCTTTGCTTTCAAACTGGGTCTTCCTGTATATTGTTCAGTTAGTGTATATATATTTTGCATGCATCTTCATAAGGACCCATTGCTGGGTTCGGTTCTTTTGACCCAGTGCTGGGTTGCCAATATAACACAAATTGTGTTGTTTTTAACCTAGCATTTTAGAGTGTAGTCCAGCAAGCTTTAATGTGACGATGTGTCTGCAGCACTTATTCTAATGAAATGCAGACATTAATACACACCAATGTGTGTTGAATAAATAAATTCCAATAAAAAATATAGCTCAAGGATCGTATATTCTGTAAATTTGCTTTGTAAGATTGTCTTGCAGTATGATATTTTTGTGATTACAATGAACCACCATAAAACAAATGACAAAGGACATTTTGCATTACACTTCCTCCTGTGTCAGTCAGTTCATAAGCCTAACAATGATTTTTAATCTGAGGGAAAACCAGTTCTCCTGTCAAAAGTTCACTTTTCTGCCCATTTTATGCCTGAATTATTTTGGGCTTGACTTTCTAACAAAAAAACTAAATCTATATTTTGCATCAAGTTCCAGGTATTTCGAGCAGCAGTTGACAGATCAGCTTGGCAAACAAAACCCAGTTTGTCATTTCCACCATTTTCAGTTTGGTTTAAATCTGGACTGTTTGTTGGCCATGCTGACATGCTTTTATTTTTATTTTTGATTAGGCTCATTTTTAGCTAAATTTAGCAAGATTTGGGACTTGAAACGCAAAGACCAAAAGTTTGCGGTCTCAAACTTTTTTCCTGAAATTTGATGACATTTTTAGTACTTCACAAAACCTTTTCATTCATTGTTCCTCACTGGTGGAATAATCTTTCCATTCCCACAGACTGCTGATTTACTTCAGTGATCACAAAAATCCCCCTAATTCTCTGAGCACTAACTGTTCTTTTGTAAAATGACCACTTGTTTATTGCCTCTGCTTGTTTTATTATCAAATTACAATTACAATTGGGAAACTTTTAAAATGAGTTCACTAAAGCCAAGTGTTAAAACCCAAGTGGAGTCTTTAATGTAGCAATAAACACAGAAACAAAACTCAAAGCTTGACAAGGTATAACAAAACAAACCCACTGACTGGTTACACCAGTGGTTTTCAATTTTGGTCCTCGGACCCTTCCGCCCTGCTCATTTTGTATGTTGAGAAGTACCTACTACTTCCAGCGAGATTCTGAAATGCGCATTAGATGGACACTATGCTATCCCATGATGCCAAGCAAGAGATTTCAAAAATGGTAGTGAGGCAATGCAACTGACATGGGTTGGTCATGTGATAATGACAAATGGCGGATGAAGTACCATTAGTTTTATTCATACTAATCACATTCATACTATACAGTATACAACAATTTTTCTAATGGTCATGAAGAAAATTCAAATGTAGTACCTACTTGAATAGCACAAGCACAAGACAAGACAAAAAAGCACAGCACAACATGACACACCTTTTCCTGGTTCAGTCTTACTGTGGCTTTTTTTAAATTTAAATCTCTGTTTATTTGTGTCTGTTTCTGTGCTGTTTATCTGACGTGATGCAGGAGAAGCAGTGGGTGGAAAGAACCAGCTCATTTGCATTTAAAGATTCAGGCTAAAGACAGCTACAATTTTCTCTGACCCAAAAACAAACATCTTCAGCAGAGTATAAATGTTCTGATGGGTATTGAAAGCTGAAACTTTACAGACACATTCTGTAGACACGAAAGACTTATCTTACATGTTGTAAAGGGAGTATGGAGCCCTTTAAATCACTAGAATGCAAATTGTATCCAAAAATCTCAGTCCTGTTACTTTCAGTTCTTTAAAAAGATTAGCGTCCTTTGGTATTTTGATTTATTAATCTACATATTACAATACATCCATATTAATCAAAATACATTAAGAATTTTTTTCTTTGTTTTAGTCTGCTATCCACTAATGAAAAACTCAAGCAAAATATATGTGCCAAGAGACCAAAACAAAGTGTTTCCATGTTGTCATGTAATCACATGAATAAATTTGGAAATGATCACATGAGTTTGACATGAAATGTTACAAAATCAAATTTCACAGTAGTTTCGGTGAGGACAATAACACCTCAGAAGTGTAGTCAAACTTGTTCACATGAGGAAACTCATTCCTTTTACCCGTTTATTCATGTTACCAAATGGTAGATTTTTTTTATTGTTAGGTCCAGCATTTGAGTCATTGCTTAATGAATTGCATTATAAAGCAAATTATTAACCTAAGGGCTATTCTGCCTTCAAAACAAAAATATGGTTTTGTGATTTTTAGAAATATAAAAATTACATGGACATATAGTATGTAATGAAAAGCCACAAACTGTGGCTGCATAATAATGTTCTTTCTTTAAATTAGAGAATCACAATGAAATGTCATTCGGTTTCTAGAGAAAGCTGAATAATGTCATGTTTTTCAAACAAAAAATACAGAGTGTATCAGTATTCAGATGTGTGAAATAAAATTGAAACTGAAAAATATGCTATGCAAAAGTTTGGGAACCTTCTCTTTTCTGTGGATTTCAAAACCTGTTGTCACTTAATGATGATTGATTACAACACAAAATTGATTTGAGTGAAGTTGCGGTCACACTAGAGTTTGCGTGTGCAAAATTCTGTCATGCGGCGCTGCAAAAAGGGGCGGGAATAAACAAGCTTATTAGACATTAAAAAAAGCGAGCGATTGCTCCATGTTTTAAATTTCTGCCCAGAGAGGTCATGTCATTGAGGTCATGTTTTGATCCTTGATTGGTCTCACGCAGTCAAGCGATGCGATTTCGCAGGTCAGAGTTCACCAAGCTTGAACTTTGCACCGCAGCAAACTTAACGCATGACCCTGCATTTCCGGTCTGACGCATTCGCGTGGGTATGAATGGAAGTCTATGGGAGGAAAAGCCCAGTGTGACCGCAGCTTGACTCTGTGAACCTTAACAATCCCAACACAGGTGCAACCAATCATGAAAAGGGATATTTAATGAAGCTAAGGTTGTGCTTCTCCTTATTGAGAACCTGAAAGTAGCAACATGGGAACCTCAAAAGACCTCCTTATAATGACCTAAAACTAGGATAATTCATCAACGTGAATTAGGAGAAGGATGCAAAAAGCTATCACAAAGGTTTGAATTCTCCATCTCTACAGTCAGAAATATAGTAAGAAAATGGAAGGCCACAGGAACAGCTCTTGTGCAGTAAAGATGTTCTAGACCAAGAAAAATATCTGAAAGGCAAATAAAGGCGAGGAATGAATAAAATGGTAACAGACAAACAACAGACCACCTCCAATGAGCTCCAGGAACATCATGCTGCTGATAATGTCATTATACATCGCTCCACAGTTCAGCACATTCTTCACAAAGAACAGCTCAATGGAGGAGTGATGCAGAAGAAGCTTTATCTGAATTCTGCCAACAACAAGAGTCATTTGAGGTATGCAAAGGCTCATCTAGTTTAAATAGTTTTGGAAAAATATTTGGACAAATGCCACAATCGGCACTTTCTGTGGCAGGTAAAAGAACACCGCTGTCCAGGAGAAGAACCTGCTCCCTACTGTAAAATATGGTGGGGGTTCCATCATTCTGTGGGATGTGTGGCAACTGGCAAGCACATGTACTGGAAACCTTGTCAGAGTTAAAGTTCACATGGATTCAACCCAGTATCAGCAGATTCTGAAGAACAATGTTCAGAAATCAGTCAAGAGGCTGATTTTGGATGTTTCAGGACAATGACTTAAAGCACAGTTCCAGATCTACCAAAAAAATCATGCTCAGACATGATACAATGATCTAGAATAGCCATACTATCCTCAGTCACCTGCCTGTTCTTGTTATGAATCAATTTGCATTGCATCTGCTGATTAAACATTTTGTCAGAAAATAAATGTTGTTTTTCCCTAGAGTATAATATATATCCAAATGAAATTGCTGATTTGAAAGGCCAGCACGTTATGGCTTGCAATTATGCAAATAATCAGGGGTGGCCAAACTTTCGCTAAAGACTGTACATATTTTTAAATGAAACCCACAACTTCTTCAAAAACATCTCTTGCAGATGAAAACAAGTTATTTTGTTGAAAAAAATTTTTGCCAACAGGACTCAAAACTGCATCCATCTTCCACTTAATGGTGGTGTAAAAACGAAATAAAGTTAACTGAAATGGACCAGTACATCTTAAATATGTGTGATTGAATTCAGTTGTGAAAAAGGATTAAAAACAAAGGAAATGGTGGAATGGCCCTTACTTAGAAAATGTGAAAAAGCAATTTTTCTGACGCACAAGATGTAAAACTACTGTTGCAACTTGCAAGCACTTTTAACTTACAATATCTGGCTCTGAATCTTCTTCCTGGACCTGAAGAGTCACGTAAACAGGTCACCACCAATGCATGACTCTCACAGGATTACAATAAATTTCCATTGAAAGCCCGCCCGCATAGAGCTAACATTACTCACCCTTTCATGCCTTAGATGACTTGAAGACTAAAAAATATTGACTTTGGTTTGATTTGCTTTCACCAATGACATGTGTTAAACTCAGTAGCGCAAAGCTCTCGAACAGGTTAAAGCAAAGTCTTTGTAAATGGATAGGCCAGGCTATACAACTTTAATTCATCCAAAAAATGAATTACAAAACACGGTGTTATAGTTTATAAACAGTAAACTCCACAGCAACTCCCAAGACTTGCTGCGATAAGTAAAGCACATTAAACTACCATGTTGAATTCATTTTTAAGATACACACATTCATAATGTTACACAACACTTTTTTATACCTCTAAAATCCCATAAACGTGTTAATTTGCACCTGTTTGATATTTGTAACACTGGGACAGCTGCAGATTGATGATTAGTCGCGGGCGCCATCTTACGGCAAAACGCGAGAATTTATTCGCACAGACTCTCATAGTCATAGTGCATTATAGTCTGAGCGTGCAGATCTGAGCGTGTAGCTGGGTCTCCGGGCCTGCAGCTTCATAATCTTGAACGTTTTCGATGATTTGATGTTTCCCTCAAAAACCTTCTGCAAAATAAAAATGTAGGCCTATAATAATTTATTTTCTAGTTTTACCCTGTATAGATTGTAAGCACTTGGGAAAAAAACCCTGATTTTTAGACCCTTTTACTTTTTTTGAAAATGTTCTGTCCTATAGCTATTCTTGGTAGGCTATAGGCTTTTTATTATCATTAAGAATATGGTCAAGTTTGTTAAAGTTTTACATTAATAAATATTACACATAAAAATACAGCTTAAAACTTATCTTATAATTAATTGAAATAATAGTTATGGCCTTTGATTGCAGATCAGAAAGTTAAAAGAAAACCTTAATTGGCTATAAACAAAAACTCTAACATAAAAATTGGTTGTAGCATCTTGGGAATAAAACAAAACATAAAAAATTATTGTTTTGACTTACCATGACTCAAGTATAAGTAGAAAAAGAAACAGAGAAAAATGTGTCATTTGTGCAAAAAAAGTAACTGTTAGATAATAATAATAATAATTATTATTATGTTGTTGTTGTTGTAAAGGCAACACAGTGGTTCAGTAGGTAGTGCTGTTGCCTCACGGCAAGATGGTCTCTGGTTCTAGCCTTGGCTGGTTTCTGTTTGGAGTTTGCATGTTCTCCCTGCATTTGCGTGGGTTTTCTCCAGGTTTCCAAAGTCCACAGTCCAAAGACATGTGATACAGGCAGGGGCGTTGCTAGGGTCGAAAGTGATGAGGGGCTTAGCCCCAAAGAGGGTTAATATGTTTACTTCAAATTTCTTTAGAGGGAGATTTTTTTTAAGTTTTCTCAAAATAGGTTGATGTGGGCATTGTAACACTTTAAATGCATGTAATGCCTGTTTCATTCATACTTGAGCAGAAATTCCATATATGCCTCACAAAAGTATTAGAACATTCAGAACATTAGAAAAATAATAATTGGAGTAATAATTATTTTTTTACGTAGAAAATAACATCAAATAAAATAAATGCTTTACATTCTTATTGGGGAGATTTTTCATTTCTAGAGCAAAAAAACTGGAAATATCTGCAGTCTTTGGTACACTGTATAAGTGTTGGCACAGACCCACTTTTAATAAAAATTTTTTTTATAATTAATTAATAATTAAAAAATGATTTTGATTTCACCTAATAGAGCTCATATTGTAAATTCTATGCAAATTTAATTGATATTTTGATTTCCAAAAAACATGTTTGTAATCATTACATAACTTGTAAATAATTGATAAACTGTTATTGTGTTACTGTTATTGTCTTAGGTAGCACTCTTAGATAGATAATACAGAAATACGTACAGTAGACCTATACAGCACTAAAATATGTTAATAATAATTGCGCTATATATTATAGGCTGCATTTTATTTTAACTTTTTTACTTTAAAGTTTTTTTTTATTTTGCCAGAAAACATTGCTAGAAAATTGTCCCAGAATTGTACAATAATAGATAAAATAAGAGCAAGCTGTAAATATCATAAAATAATGCTCTTTTGACACAAATTTTGATCAAATCAAACACCGAAATAATTCTTTGTTAGTGTAATATTTTAC